GCCCAAGACGTCAGGGTGGAAACTAACGGACCAGATTTCCGAGAAAGTGCCGAACGATGACAACGGCGAATCAATTCGAGCACAGAATCCAAACCCTCGGAATCGTCAGGCGGAAAGGAACAGAAATTTAGCCAGGGCTCCATTTGATCCGCCAGGATGCAATTCTGGGAGCTCCATGAGGTCGAGTCAGTCGGAGATAATAACTCCAGAATCTGGCCTATTAATTCCATCAAGGTCGGGAAATCCTGGTGCGCCAGATCACGTGTAAACCGAACGAGAGCTTTACAACTCCAAAGCTTCCGAATCCTGGTCCCAGCCAACGCCTCCGCCGCGACAGTGATGAAAAAATCACTGGAACAGCCAGCCTGAAGCCACCGAGAATAGAGATCGAGGAGAAACCTTGAGTGTGCGGGGTGGCATAATAGGGGGGTGTCGTCCACTTCGGAACTCGGTGAAACAGCTGAGAAGAGGACATAACGCAGAAGGTGGGATGCCTCGTCAACTAAAGCATACTGGAGCGCAGTCTCAAGTAGAATGCCCAACATGGCTGGACTTGGACAGGAACGGAGGATTATATCCAATGCATGGGACAGAACGGCTGGTCTACGAGCGTTCAAACAGAAATCGCATTCTGAGAACAGATTCATGCTCACCTTCTATGTTGAGCAGGGATAAGCTCGTACATGGCCTCCACTTCCGCTAACCTCTCCGAGTCCTCATCGCCATCTCGATCCTCCTCTTCCTCTTCAGGTTCCAAATGTCTTCCAAGTATCCCCGAACACATTTCCGAGAGACCTAGGACCCGATGGGATATCTGATCCTCTAAAGAGAGTGTCTTTCCGATGATGTCACGGAAACTATCTCGTACCGCGTAGATGGATGCTATGATATTTCTACAGCATGCATCGTCACGCAAAGGCGATCCAAATCTGATTTCTTCACCAGTGAAAAGGATTTCCAAAGGGCCAGGGCTAACTCGAGCCGTCTTCGATCCGTACGTGACAGTCGCTTTAGTTTTCAACTTGTTGAGAGCCAAGCACTTTGCTCGAAGAGGTCGGAGAAGGCGACTGATCCTGGACGGAGAATCCCCTGCTCTACACGGCTGCATTTCACGGAGCGCGCCATATTGGGTGCTAGAATGTCGTATAATTGTCGCGGACGCGAGTGGGGGCTGGCAAACCAGAAAGGTGACGGTAACAGTAACGTGATCGCGTGTGAGTCACACTTGGCTGATCTCAGTTGTCAAGCATGGGGACAAAGGAATGATCATGAGCCTTGAAGCCACCGCGAGACTCAATGCTGGACAGTGCCATATAGTACATATAGGTAAAAGACGGTGCCCCTTATTCGATGTCGTAACCCTTGCCGCTGCGTTGCTTGACTCTCTTCATCTTTTTGTGATGTTTCTTCCCGTTGCCGAGAACGTCTGCGTTATTCGCCAGGACAGCGCCCAGTCTGGCTCTCCTCCCCGATAAGGCGGTGCCATCGTTGGCGACGGCATTCTGGTGCGGATAAGCCTTCGATCTTGAAAAGTGAGCGCCGTCCATGTTGGATCCCTGGACGAAAGGCCGGGCAGACATTTGTGTGTTGCTCTCGAAGAAATTTTGGTCAAATGCGCGTGACTTCGTTCCACCACGGGGGGCGGAGCCAGTAACTTGTGAGGAAACGGTGTCGGTTGGGATGAACGTGTCTGCTCCCTTGCCCACACGAGTGACTGGCGCTCTTTTCTTGTCCATAAATCGTGTCAAAGCAAGCTCATGCGTTTTGGCGTTGAAATCCTTGTCAGAGTGGCCAGGTGGTGGATGGCAGAAGAGAAGTTTCGCATTCACGTAGTCCTTTAGGATGTAGCGTGACGAACGCGCTTCGTCAGGATTTCCTTGTCCGGATCGCATAAAACCCCGTGCGACTTGATGAGGCCATAAGAAACGATTGGCTGAGAAGTAGACCACACTCACTGGCATGAGCAATGAGAAAATTTTCTCCAGTCACTTGTCCATCACCACCTTCCTCGGGTCCCTTCACTTTGATATTCAGTCCATATGTGGCCTCCAAAACATCTTTGGGGATGCGCTTGACAACGAGTGAGATTGGACCAGTATGTTCACGCATTTGGTCGATAGGCAGCACGCCGTCGCACACCAGATCAGCCTTGGTCGTCGCAAATTGAGGGAACACAAGACCGGGACAATCGCACAGAGTCATCGAGTCCGACAAATTAATCGTTTGGAAATGTTTCGTCTTTCCGGGTGTGGACGAGACACTGACTTTCTTCTCTCCGATGAGAGAGTTGATGGTACTCGACTTTCCGACGTTGGGATATCCAACGAGTCCGACGACTAGTTTTGTAGGAGCTCTGCCATCGGGAGTGGTAAACGCTGTGAACGAACGTGAGCAAAAAAATAAAGGAGGATCGCACACACTGACTGGACAAATCAGGTGCCATGCTCTGAAACAAACTTTCCAGCTCTAAAACAGAAAGCACTCTCGCTCTTGGGTCCTGTCCCTCTGGTGAATCTTCTTCTGCCGAGAAGTAATGCTCATCCGTCTCATCGATCTCTTCACTGGGTTCTTCATCACCTCCTATTTCTCCGTCTTCCTCCTCTCCTCCTCCTCCTCCTCCTCCTCTTCATCTCGTTCACCGCCATCCTTCGAATCGGATTTCGGTACTAAATCTTCATCGTCGGTCTCGCCGTCAGATCTAGTGGTTGCGAGAACATCACTGTCAAGAAGAGCGTTCTGCGAGCTTCCTGTATAGCAGTCGCATTTGCCGCAGAATAGAACGCATATTGAATGCCACTTTGATCAAAGTAGTCGGCCCATGCACATCTGGGGGTGACATGAATGGGACAGAGATCAAAATTGAAACCATTCTGCACCTTTGTGCTGCAGTGAGAAGATCCGACTTATTGATCAACAGCAAGGATCTTCGCTTGCCCTTGCCCGTTCCATATTCACCTTCAGCACCTTCTACATCATGAACATAGGATTCTAGATCCTCGCATCGGAATCGCAAGGGATTGCGAGCGTCGACAATTTGGACAACGAGATGTGAACGTTCCAATACTCGCCACAATTGACGCCAGACTTCGAGATTGCGTTCGAATGGTGTCAACAGAAACTGCTCCTCCTCTTGGAGACTTGATCTAGGTTAACTTCGCTGGATACGATAAACCCGAACAAACGCACCTGGCAAGTCCCCTTCGCCAATCCAGAAAAGCCGCTTTTTCCTGCTTCTCAAGTTGGGCAGTGGAAACACTCTTCTTCCAGGGAGGTCTGCGGGGAACCCGAAGACGTTCTTTATTAGCCTGATGCCTTTTCAACGTCGCGATCTCTTCCTGCTCGGTGAGAAGATACGGGTTCTGGCTGGAACCGGCAGACTGCTGGATAATCTTGACATTTCTTCGCTCTTTTTGATTTCATAAGCTAGATTTCCTATATTGGCGTCCTTTGAGACAGGTACCTGCTGTGAAGTCGACTTCAGCCAGCTGTGCTGTGCTGAAAAATTCGTCCAAGGCTCTTTCTTGTGTCACAGATCGGAGTCGGGTCGTGTTGTCGAGTTCTGCGGTGTACTTCGTTTCATGAGAGAAGGAATGAAATATGAAGACATGAGGATGCGCACCAATTCTCCCGATTCGTAAATCCTCTGGGCATCCTTCGCCTTTCGATTAATGATAGCTCGTCCTAGACCACTTGGATTTTGATCTCGCTTAGGGGGCTAGAATCCGAGATCAGGACTTCTGTGTTTCGATATTACAGAAATCGCCCGTGCCATGGTGCCCTTGTATTCAGGGTGGAGAAATATGGATCACTCTGCAGGAAAGAGAAAAGTGGAGGATTGATCGGAGTGATCGTCTAGTGATGATGGTCAGTGAGCAGGTGGTCGTGCATATTGTTATTTGAGCTTTATGGACCACAGTCCGACTGTCATGGTCGACGAAGCCATCCCATTCAGATGCTCGAGGCTCGCTCCGAACAGCCACCAGAGAGAATGTCTGTTGGGAGATTGTTCTCAATCTTTTCGTTGTTTTGCATCCTTTCCCTTATCGCAACAGTCGCGGAGCTGTGTAAGACCTAGCACTTGTAGTGCACTAGTCCTCTGTATTCAATATAGCTATTCCTTTCACAATGTTGTGCTTCAGTTTGCGATTACATTCGAGCGGACCCATTCTCGAACAGTCTCCATCTCTTTATCCACCAAGACAGTTGCACCGCCGTATCTGCGGGCAAGCCAGATCTGAAGGACTCAATGACGTGGACACACCCATTTACCTATGCGTTGAACGTTTGGAAACAAAGCAGAGACGTGTGAACATCCTCGAGCTCGTTTCTCTGCTTTTGTCGATAACACATCATCTTCTCCACGAGATCTCTAGACCATTTCACTCTCAGGTCGTCGATCATCGGCCCAGACTTCTCCGAGTCGATCATCCGGCTCTCATGAGATTGCAGCAGAAAGATCCTGCCGACTAATCCCGCGCCACTTTTCTCCAACAGAGAACAAGGGAGCCGAAAGTGGACTCATCTGGATGATTGTCGCTTGACCACGAACATTCGTATGCGTTTGGAGAAGCATCGAGGCGCCATCGAGGGTCGACAGTGGTTTCGGTGTCTCGAGTGGGTGCGCCAAGATAACTGCGAAGTTACTGTGGAACAACGGAGATATCTAGTTTGCTTGTACATCGCTGTATAAGGCACACCGAGAGAGAGAGGGATTGTCTGAATTAGTACTGAGGGGGCACCGACAGGTTGATCTTGCTTGAGATCCTCAACTTCCTCCGATCTGGACAGAACGAGACGTGGCTGGTGTGCAATGGACATGTATCGTAGAGACACCGGAAATATTGAGCGATGAGATTGGGCTGAAGCCAATTGTATGGAGAATAGTACCATGATAATGATGTTGGTACGATTCTGAGAAGCTTCCTTCCTGATCATGATGCGGATGCGCGTGACAAGGCGGGAGTCACTAGTTTTGGTCGTATTATGTAGTCACCATTTCTGTCACCGACACCCAGTCCCTCTCAGAATCACATTTCCCAGTTCGAACCACTTCAAGCATATGTCCTCTTTCCGCTCGAACCGTGTTAACCAAAAGCCATACAACGTTCGTTACTGTCGAATCGCTACGGACACCATTCAAATCCGTTGACACTCAGCGCCCTCCCCCACGAGGCAACGTCAACGACCAATGGATCCACGACATGGCTGACGGTTCCAACATGGAAACCGACCATACCCCCCGTCAACGAACTCCCGCAGGATCTTCAATTCCCAGCACGAAGCTCGTGGTTTCGAATCTACATTATGAAATAACGCCAAAAGACCTTATTGTAAGTGTCATGTTGCAGCCGTTCTGGATCTGACTTGTGTGGTGTAGTCGATTTTCGGGCAAATTGGGACGCTTGTGACAGAACCACAGATCAGGGTACGATAGTCCGGCCATCCCAGCTCCTCGTGAAAGAACACATAATGACGCCGCGTCGCGCCCGCCCGCAAAGTACGATCGCAGCGGACGCTCCTCAGGAATGGCTTTTGTCTCCTATGAGACCACGGCCGATGCCGCTCGCGCCAAAAAGCAGTTCAATGGTCTCCTCGCCAAAGGTGAGCTCAAACACATCCAATCGTCCCATTTAACCGTTTCCCTGCAGAACAGCCGATGACAGTTGCTTTTGACGCGACTGTTCCTCGTATACCGCGCGGAAGGTCTTCAAGTGCCCCGACAACTTCATCCCTCATGAGCAGAATTCAGAAGGCACCGCTTCTCGATCGTTTGGGTGGGAGTAAGGACGATTCTGGTATCAATGGGAAAACATCATCAACGTGAGTTTAGAACTAACCTTTCTATTGGCTGTTCCAACCTTTTTGTAGGAGGTCGAACGTCGGTCCTGTTCGTTCGCGTCGGGGTGGTGTCAAGCCGACTACCAGCAAAGCCAAAAAGCCCAAGGCAGGGCCGAAGACCGCAGAGGATCTTGACAAGGAACTCGACGCTTTCATGGGCGATGGATCCGAGGCACATGCCGCTCCAATTGCTCAGGCTCAAGACGTTGAAATGGCTTAGTCGTTCACCAAACACTTTTTTTGACTGATTCGCTTGCCTGTGCCGATCTACGAATATCACTTACCAAAGACCCGCGAGCTACCCCTACTGTACATACATATCTCTCTTGTGGACGACCATTGCGGCAGTTTTCCAGTTAGAGTGTAATGAATCCTGACCTGGAGATTTGAATCAGATCTTCAGCTCTTGACTGGATCCATCATCACTCGAGCATCCATGCCTTAGCAAAAAGTGCCACAATGCAGGCTCCCATTGATCTCTACAAACCGCATCCCTTGTTCAAGGTCAAGCTCACGGCGTCAGAGCCTTTCGTTCCGCAGTATGTGCAGTCGATTGTCTCGAAGTCAGCGAATCCAGCCGAAATTTACGCGTCCCGCGTTCACGGACGAATGCTTGTGCTCGACAACGTGGTCAAAGAAAGTCGGCTAACAAAGGAACGCAAAGAAAAGGAGGCCCATGCGCGTACAGCAAAAGCCCATAAGAAGCTTGGTAGATCGGGAAAGATTCGGGGGACTGCCAGAGAGCAAGGACCGAGGGGTTTCGATGAGAGTCAGGCAAAGTAAACTCTCGGGCACGGCTTGCATTCTTATCCAGAGCGCTGAACTTCTCAACTTCTACAGATTTGCGCTGTTCCTCCCACTTCATCAGCTTTGGCTTGGGTACATGTCCGAGCTGCTCGCCCTTCCGCAAATTGGATCTGGGCCACCCCGGGCTCCGAATGGAGCTTCTGCCCATCCGAAATTGCTCAAGGCTGACTTGCATGGATCTTTCGTGACCGGTAAGGCTTTTCCCTCTACTTGACCGGTCATTGATCCAAGCACAAGTTCAACAGAGCAAAAACACTTCTCTGCTGGGATTATCTGGCATTGTCATACATGAGACCGAGGGAACGTTCAAGGTGGTCACCAAGGAGGACAAACTGAAGAGTTCGTGAATGAATTGGACGGAACCTCGTCAATATCTTGACCGCCGCTCTGCAGCTCTTCCCAAACGCAATTCGATCTTCACGCTCGCTCTGCCCGTCTTCTCGACTCTCCCGGCATCGTATGATCCCAACGAACCGCTCCCAATCTTCGCGCCGAATGAAAACATGAAGACGGTGCTGGATGGTCCGCATGCTGACATGCAACTGCACGGGAACCAATTTTGTTATCGGTCGGCGGAGCGTGCTGGGAAAAAGTTCAAGCCGAAGGAGACTATCGAATTGTAAGACTGTACAATGTACGCCGCCATCATAGGCATCTCATCAGCTGCCTCATGCTGGAACTTCGTTTCTGTTTCCTCAGGCATGGGTGAGAGTGCGAACTCTACATTCGTTTCGGACAATTCCCACCGATATGGCAAACAGACGGAAGCAAGATCAAGTCATGGATGGCATTATCTTTCTCTCTTCCCCATGGACAGCCCTCCGAGTCCCAAGCTGCTCGTCTTCAATCGGGGCGAGATTGCAGCCCGCATTATCCGTACTGCTCGTTCAATGGGTGTGTGGTGTGTGGCTGTGTTCACACCCTCGGATGCAGGGTCAGCTTATGTCGGAATGGCCAACGAATCCGTGCCTCTGTCGGTGCCCGGTGAATCTGAATCAACGGCATATCTCCAGCCCGGCCTTGGCGCTCTCAACGCCCTTTGCGTCGAGCACAAGATCACACACGTGATTCCTGGGTACGGCTTTCTTTCCGAGTCACCCGAGCTCCCTCTTGCTCTGCCGGCGGCTGTATGCTGGGTCGGGCCGTCGCCGGAATTGATGCGTCTAATGGCGCACAAAGACCGTGCGAGAAACGTAGCGAAGGAGCAAGGGATCCCGGTTTTGCCAGGGAGTCTATGTCACACCGTGGAAGACGTTCTCGCGGAACAGATCGGATATCCAATCTTGTTGAAACCCCCACTTGGAGGTGGAGGTTCCGGGATGGTCGTATGTGGAGACGCGGCCGCTCTCCAGCGTGCGTTCGACGGGCAACCGGCGTTCGTGGTCGAAAAGTATCTTCCCAGTGCCCGGCATATCGAAGTGCAGATTTTTGGGAATGGACTCGGAGACGTCATTCATCTGGGCTTGAGGGAATGCAGCGTGCAGAGACGCTATCAGAAAGTCATCGAGGAGACACCTAGTCCGTTTTTGCGTGACAAGCCAGGTTTGTTCGGCGCTCAGATCTTGGGGAGGTGCTGCGCTGACAAGTGGGCCGATAGATCTTCGAGACAAATTGCTTGACGCAGCTATTCGACTAGCCCAGTCGGTCAACTATTCGAGTGTCGGGACTGTGGAGTTTATCGTCCCGAATTCAGCGCAGGAATTCTACTTCCTGGAGATGAACACTAGAATCCAGGTCGAGCACCCCGTCACCGAATGCGTGCACCCAGGATTGGACCTCGTCCAGATGATGCTCCAGAATCGCTGTGTTTGACGCACCCACATCTGTTCTCTTCTGTGACAATGAGCAAAAGTTGAACGACCCAGTCGGCCATGCCATCGAGGTCCGATTGTATGCGGAAAATCCCACAGAATCATTCCGTCCCTGTCCCGGTGTTCTGCAGCAGGTCGTTTGGCCGCGTTATCCATGGCTCAGAGTGGACACCTGGGTCCAAACGGGGACACTGGTCACGCCGCATTTCGATCCTCTGCTCGCCAAACTCATCGTCAGCGGGTCGACCCGCCCAGAGGCGGTACGCAGAATGGGGAAGGCCCTAGCCGAAGCAGACGTCTCCGGCTCCCCGAACAATATGGAATATCTCAGGGCGATCATCGCGTCGGCGGTATTTGGGGATGGAGAGGCCACTACGAGATGGCTGGAAGAGTTTGAGCACACGCCCAATGCGATGACCGTTATTGCTCCCGCCTTGGATATGACAGTCCAGTCGCTTCCCCGGCGGACTTACGGCTGGGGTGTGCCGCCAAGTGGACCCTTTGACGAACAGGCATTCAGGGCTGCGAACCAACTTGTCGGCAACTCCGAAGAGACTGAAGCGATCGAAATGATCATCCTGCCAGGTGCTGAGTGCAGAATCAAGTTCTGGGTAGACAAAGTCGTGAGTGTGACGGGATGTCCGATCTCAGTGTTCGTCGAGAAGAACAAGATCAGAATGTGGGATCGTGTCACTGTCCCTGCGGGTGCTGTGCTTTTGTTACGACAACCGCGGGGAGGTCAAAGAACCTATCTCGCTATTCAGGGCGGATTCCCGGGTATTCCGCTGTACCTTGGATCCAAGAGCACGTCCATGGGATTGGGCGGATACCAAGGACGCGCCTTGGCTGTGGGCGATCAATTGGCTGTCGGACGCGCATCTGATGGCGCATCTGATCCCATCATGCCGCTCTCAGCACCAACGACTTATCCAACACACGTCGTCCTCCGCGTCCTCCGAGGTCCGCACGACGACGACGATTACCTCACGCCTGCAGGGATAAAGGCGTTCTATGGCACACGGTGGAAGGTGGGGCTGGACAGCAACCGGATGGGTGTGAGGCTACTTTCCGAAACAGACGAGTTTCGATTTGAGTGGTCGCGGGGGTCAGGCGGGCTGGGTGGGTCACATCCGTCGAACATTCTTGACACGCCCTATCCACCTCCAGGCGCGGTCAATGTCAACGGCGAGACGCCTGTGATACTGGGCCCTGAGGGTCCGGATATGGGCGGATATGTGTGTTTGTGTGTGGTGGTTCCGGAGGATCTGGCCATCGTCGGCCAGTTGAGGGATGGATCTATTGTCGAATTCCGACCAGTCTCCATGACTGATTTGGGGCGGGTCGAGCTCATTGATCCGCCCAAGGATCCTAAGCTGTTTATTCTCCCATCAGATGGGACTTCGTGCAGCGCGGTCATACGACAAGCCGGCCAGACAGCGATGCTCGTAGAGTTTGGCGACACTGAGCCAGTGGAGGATCTGATGGTGCTTCGGGTTAAGGTGCATGCGTTTGAACAACTGATCCGCCAAGAGCAGCTTGCAGGAGTTCTGAGGATGAGTCCTTGTGTCCGGAGCACCATGGTATGATCGCCTTTCAGATCTGATTCGTTCGGTCTGACCTTGTGTCAGATACATTTCGACGCTAATGTTGTCACGCCAACCGAAATGCTCAACTCACTTGTCTCCGTCCTCAAGTCATTGCATGCTTCTGACATGGCCCATTTCCCGAACCGCACTGTAACGCTTCCCATCGTCCTCGACGACAGATGGAGTCAAGAGGCTGTGCAAAGATACATGCAGACGACTCGTTCCCGGGCTGCCTATCTCCCGAGCAATGTTCAGTATCTCGCTCGGAACAACGGGTTGGTCACGGAAACAGAAGTCTTCGACCGCCTGATCCAAACTCCATGGCTTGTCTTTGGAATGGGATTCTATTTAGGATGTCCTTTCCTGGTTCCGGTGCTTCCCGTCTTGTATCTGCACGCACGTTTCTGACCGTTGCCCAGCTTGACCCCCGTTCCCGGCTTGTGGCTCAAAAGTTCAATCCTTCGCGAACGTACACACCTCGCGGTGCAGTCGGTCTCGCTGGTGTCGTTGGCGCGATATATCCCGTTGACAGTCCCGGAGGGTACATGCTGTTTGGCCGCACGGTTCCTGTCTGGGAGGCTTGGAATGCCAACGAAAAGTGTTTGTTGAAGGTATTCGACGAGGTAAGTAGTTCTCTTCTGCTGATGTGTGAGAATGCTCAGTGTCAGGTCCGTTTTGTGCCTGTGTCGGAGGCAGATTACGTCGAGATTCTCCGTGAGTTTGATGCCGGGAGATACAAATTAGTGGTGCGCCAATCCTACTGGCTTCGTGCTATATTGCTTTCTCTGACCACGGAATATCAGACTGAAGAGACCGCATTCTCGTTGGGGACTTACTTGTCCGACATCAACAAGCCACTGGCCGCTGAGGAAAGAGCTCAATTCGAGCTCAACCAGCGAGTGGCGGTCGCCGAAACAGCCGAGGAAGAGACAGGACTGTACACTGAGTGGGCAGAAGAGAGAAAAAAGAGCCCCCGAGTCGAGCAAGAGATCAGCATCAACGCAGAGACGGCCAGTATACGCTCCCCCATATCCGGTGTCGTCTCGAAAATCCTAGTCACTCCCGGGGATATCTTGCTTGACTCCAACAGGCCCATATTGGTGCTCCTGGCGATGAAGATGGAGATTCCGATCACCTTGGCGGAAGCAGGGCTGGCGGCGGGAGTGACCGTGATTGGGCTTGGACCAGGCGTGACACAAAACGCCCACGTTCAAACTGAGGATGTTTTGGTGCATTTAGGGCAGCAAGAAAAATCCACGGTAGTAGTTACATAGATATGCTACAGTTTAAGGGTCACTGTCACTCGCGTTGCTGTCACTTTCGTCGTGACCCCACACAGCAAACGCCCGCCGACCCGAATCAGCTGACCGCGTCCGCCCATGACTTCGCTGCGACACCCGCTGGGCATGTGACTTATACGGCACACTCGCAACCGTGGGGGTCTTGCTGGCGTCCGCGTCCGGCTCATGGGGGTGGCGAGGGTTTGTCCGAGCTCGCGATACTCTATCCCCGCTGTCCTTCGATGAGTCTAGCTCGAACTCGACGTGCGGTCGACGGGTCCGCGATCTCGAGCGCGACTTGGCAGAGCGACTCCGCTCTCTCTGGAGGGCAGACGCCGCCATCCGATTCAATCGCTCGCTCTCCAAAGTTTCTTGAGCCTTCTCCCTTCCAAGAGCCTCTTCTTGGGCCGTTTGGCCAGACCCTGATTTAACAGTGCTCGCAGCCGCCGCTTCCGGCGACGAATCGTCAATGTCGAACTTGTCCTCCTCCTCTGGCTCGTCATCATCCTCTTCCTCCTCCTCCTCTTCTGGCACAACTTCAGATGGCTTCGTAGGCTTGTCTGAGCGTTTCTTCTTGGATGGAGCATCTTCCTCCACCACAACAAACGATTTCTGCCGCTCTCTTTCGTTCCATTTCAAGGTCCGAGAGATGGCATGGAACCAATCTGTAGACTGGTTCTCGGCACAAACCGTCGGAAACGGAAATTTCGAGGCCGTGACTTTGATGTGGTCACCCTCTACAGATCGGTGTCAGCAGAAGTTGGTAGCATCGGCAGATAAGGGCTCACGTTTGAGCTCGACTCGTCCTCGCCCATCGAAAGAGGCCCATGCAGTGCTTCGAGAATTGAAAGGAACACATATTCGCAGTTCCATGCTGTCGGGAAGAAGCATCGGACGGAAAGACAACGTATGAGGGCAGATGGGGGTAATCAATAGCGCGGGGATTTCAGGATGAACGAGTGATCCGCCAGCGGACAACTGTCTTCAATTGAGTCACGGTAGCTAAAATTGATGTGCAAAACTTACAGAGTAGGCGGTGGATCCAGTGGGTGTCGACACAGTCAAGCCGTCAGCTTGCACAGTGGTCATATGATGCTCATCGCCTGAAACAAGTTAGAAAGAGGGCTTTCCTGCAGGAAGAGAGGATACACATACCAAATAGCTCCAACTGCGAAACATAAGGACTTGGTCCCCGATCGACGACCAAGTCGTTGAGGACCTCGAAAGTTTCCACAGCTCTGGTCGTAAAACAAGTGATCGATTTGTCTTTGCTGGCAGTCTTGGCACCGTCTGGACCACCGGACCACCCGCTTTCGAGTGCTTCCCACCCACCACGCTCGACATTCTTCATCATAATCTCCCCAGTCAACCCCTTCTTGACTGCCTTGTGCCCTTTGCCCTTCTCTTTGACAATCGCGCGGTATACTGTACACGTGAATCGCATGCGCAAATTAACCCTGATCCCATCGTCCAGCGCAGAGTCCATGACAGGCTGGTGGTCGGAAAAGTCGAAATTGGTCAAGAATCCAAGAGAGCCCAAGGCGAACGGAAGAACGGGTGGAACGATGCGCTGGAAAAGCCATGACGTGAACAGGACCGTGCCGTCGCCACCGAGGGTGACAACGAAATCGAACAAGTGGGGGCTTTGACTGCACATGTCGCTTGTCCAATACCTCAGCTGACCCATTTCTTTTCCATGCCATTCATCCTTGTCGACCATTGAGGACAACGAAGTGGAACTCGCTCGTCGGCTAGGCATCGGGACAAAAAGGTCTGGGTGCTCGCGTTCAATGCTTTCAGCATCGAATCGCTTCGAAGTTCGGAGCTGATTGTCGACGTAGCTGTGGATCTCATAAGTAGAAAGTACTGATGGCATGAGGATCATCAACTGACACAACCAGTCCCCGAGTCTGCCCATGTCGAGGCTTGAGCATCAGGTAGAGCGCAAGCTCTCGAGTGAGTTTGATGAGTCGGTTGTCTCGCGCCTTGGTGATAATCAGAACATTCTGAATGTTCGAACGAACGCGAGCGCGACCTTTAAGAAGGACTTCAGTCACGTAAACCTTGACAAGGTCGGCGTAACTGACCGAGCTGCTTGCTCATCTCCCGTACCCCGACGGCCGTGTCCGCTAGCTGCTTAGTGAGACTACCGGAAAACTCATCCTCCTCGGGCGAGTCGAGCGTTGAACTTGTTCCAGAACTCGACGATGAGAGACTGGGTCCTGTAGAGGATAGAGAGTGGATGCTGTCTACCGAGCTCAGTCCGTCCGGATGACGCTGCCTGGTCCGCAGCCAGTCAGTGAGGGAAACACCCTTGTCGAGATGGGAGTGCACGAAACATGGTGAGTGCATGGGTTGCTGATAAACATGATCAAGATTGCGTGGTTGGGCCGCGGTCGGGACGGAAGCAGTGGGTGTGATAGTGGTGTCGCGAGTCATGACTGCGGGTCCCAGGGATTCAGTGTTGATGGGTTTCTTCACGACGGGCGAGCCCTTGTCTAGAACAATGTCCGCGTTCCATTCTGTGCTAGTCGAGTTTCCGAGATGAAGTGAGATGGGGCGGCTGGACCTCCTGGAAAGAGATGGCGCGATGTTTGGCTCAGGAAAGGGAGAAGTAGGAGGCGTCGAAAAGTACTCGTCCATGGGGGAGTCACTGTCCATAGAATCGAAGGGAGGATTGGGTTGTGGCAGACGGCCAACGGCACGCTCCGAACACTTTATAATCAATCACGATTACAGAACCAGTTCCCCAGACGATATCACATCAGATTCATTTCAAGAAAAACGAGAGGCGACGAAGATCGTATGTACGTGTAGTTCTACGACGACGCCTCTCAAAAGAAGACAGTATTTTGCAAGACGAATCTTTCTAGCTGCCTGTAGTCCTTCCTATCTTTAGCCACTGCCCAGAGCCACATATCCAAAGCTGGCGTGTCCACCTCTTTCATCCATTTGGGATGGTCCAGAGACTGAGCCACTCGCGATATCATCTCACACGCATCGACAGCTGCTGCTCGCAAGATGTAGGCTTGCTCGGTTGTAAGTACCGGACCATCCTTCGGCAGGCCTTGTCCGCCATCATCGCCAGGGCCGGCTGTTGCAAGCAGGGATTGTGCCTCGTTTCCAGCATCTGGAAACGCGGATGAAAGTTCGGGAGATTGCGAGATATCTATCACACCCAAATGGATGAGCATGGAAGGGATCACATTGTCGGTGAAGATGGGCAAACGAGATGTCGATGGAACATGGAATGGCGGTGGGTTCAAAGATCCAAATCGAAGCGAGATGGAGTGGATAAGAAACAATGCCTTCTTGAAACAGAACACAGCTAGAGTATGAGGTCAACTCGGGCGGACGCATAAGTGGTGACAACTGACGGTGCCCTCTTACAACAGCCATGTCTCGAAAGGCTGGGAATGCTCGAACAAGCTAGCATCGACCGGGTCAATGCCCACTTCTGCGACCAGCGCGAAGATTCTCACCTTTTCCAAAACGACCTCGATATCACCGGAGGGATTATCAACAGTAATTGCTCGCTTTCCTTCTTTGAGAGCCTCCACAACGAACATTCCCAAATCGACGTAACCAGAATCGACCAGGATCTGGCCAGTTTCGTTCAAGACTGGCACCAGACGATTTGAGACGAAACATCAACGATGACATCCGACTTGCCTTGGGTTACCAGTTGCACTAGCTCATACAACGGGCCGCCCAACTCTCCAACAGTGACATGCTGGAGGGTTTCATGTGGCCTTTCGACGTGAACGTTGATCCTCATCAACTCCGCAACCTTGGTTTCCTTCAGGTCTTTCATCCCTCGAGCAGACAGCAGATCCTCGTCGACAGAGGAGACGATAAATAAACTCAGAGCAAACGCTTTCATGCAGTTCCAGGCTCCATATCCCGTTTCGGCATGCAGGGGTGCTCGATAACCAGACGCAAAATTCAGAAGCGCAAGGATGCTGAGAAGATTCAACTGGGATCCGGGGTTGGGAAAATTCAAGGGCATAGCGAGGCCATGTCTCTGCGACACACGTTCGAATGAGCCCGTGAAGGCAGGAGATAGCAACAACTGCTTGATCGATGCCTCCGTGATCTGAGGATGATCATTGGTGAAGACGACCAGGATCACATAGATTCAGTTACAGAAAGACCCTGACTCTCACGGAGAGCTTTACAGGATGCAGTTATACTCTCGAGGTATTTGCCAGAAGGTGGGAAGGCTGGAAGGGACATGATGAGGTTTTGAGTCAAAACTTGTAATCATGTGATCGTGACATCTCAAGTGACTATCTACAGCCTGAGTCAACTGCCGCTCCTTGCTTTCCAGCTTCCCCATGAGTAGATAAGATATCAATACTAGATGCGAATGGACTGTTCTCACCAAAGCATGTTGCGTGGGGAACTCACCCTGTCCTGAGGTCACAACTTTTTACCAGCTCAGACTTTCACTCACGTCCACGCATCAACCGGTCTTCACAGAATATGTCGACTGGAACACGATGTAAGTCCGAGTCTTGGATGACAGTGTCGAACTTACAGGGTGAAACCTGGTATCTTTTCAATTAATATTCCATCGCGTCCTCGGCAACACCATTTCTCTGGACCAGTCCCATAGATTTCACAAGCTGTGCAGTCCTCTCCCTGACTGCACGCTTGAATTCAGCATGTATCACGTTGCTTGCCTCGCCAGCCAACCGAAAAATCTCCTCGAATCGCTCAACGTGCAATCGAGTTTCCATTGTCACCAAGGTCACCTTGCCTGACTTGGGCAGCACGGCGACCGTCGCGTGAGGGATGTCATTTTCTTCCAGTAGCGTGAGGTCCAACAGCGGAGAGATTCCATGGACACCGCCAGTGACAGCACAGACAAAGTCAATCAGAGGTATTCCGGCATTGGTCAGTGCGAGCGTCGTCGCGTTTATACATGCTTGCAACAAGCCACCATCTTGTTGAAGAACTTGGACGAAAATATCGATTTGAGATCTTGGATAGAGGATTGCTTGCACAACTGGTTCAAATGTGGATTTTATCGTGGAGGCGATCTCCAGGATACGTCTGGTTCAATCAGACATCGGTCAGGACACGAAATAAAAGTCTAACTTATCGCCCCGCGAACGTTTTCTTCGTTCCCCCGTGCTGAAAGCTGCCACACTGACTTCCACATTGAGGTTTGCGCGGTCATGCATAGTTTGAGATCGCATCTTCGCCTCACGAGGACCGAACACAGAGACTTGAACTTGCGTCAGACCGTGCGTGATGACCGCAGAGCCATCTGCGACGCCTTGCTGCGAAAGGTCGATGGTCATGTCGCGCAATTCGTACTGCCGGCGACCGTCTGAACGAAAGCCGCCATCATTGAGAATTTCCACTCTCGATCCCTGTGACCGTGCCTATAAGTGACCAATGTCCCAATCTGGCCATACGATGTACCATGTTGTAGGGGGAAATCGTAAAGGTTTGCAAGTGAGTGGTGAGTGCTTGAAATGGCTGCACGATCCCGTGACCGCGGTCATCATTTTTACCTCTTTGAACTCAAGCAGAGCCTCGTCATGCTCACTGCTATCAGGCTCCGGTCGCGACTCGCTCTGCAATGCACGTCACCATCTCGTTTTTACAGCGTTTTGCCAGGTCAGTAATATCCTTCAAAGAAAGCGTCCGCTGCAACAAAGTCTGCAGACGATCTCAGGTCTGAATTGACGGCCCACTCGATTCGAGCCATGAAGGTCCACCTTGAAACTGCGCACATTGCAGCTTCCATTTTTACACGCGTTTAACAGAATCGGGATAAGGTCCGCTCAACGACTATCCGCTCTGTCCTTGCCGAAATCTATCTGGGGGACAAGGCCGCAGGCGGTAAACTCCCACCCGCAGGCATAGTTTCTGTGCTGAAAAAATCAGTTGCACGTAGGGTGTGTCGTCTTAAATGTACTCCGGAGCCGGCTCTCACTATCCTGCTTAGACTGAAGCCGTCACTCAATTCACTGCAGCTGGCCGAACTGACTTGGCCGAAAAGGAACAGGTCGAAATCGACATCCTCTCTTACTACCTGCCTACACTGCTTTCCGAGACAGATATCGACAGACATCTGAGCGACGTTTTCAAAACTCTGGCTGACGAGGGGAACACTTCTCCTAAGCTAGGCGATGTATTCAAGCTATTTTACAAGACCGTCGACAAGTCTGTTGTAGACCCGATCATGGTGAAGAAGAAAGCGGAAGTTCTGGTTACAGCTAATATGTAATCGTAATTTCATTCCACTCGCAGCTCTCCATTTTCCGTCGGAATTAGGTTCTCGACGGTCTCATCCAAGTTTTCCACTGGTCCGGTTGGAGGCTCTGGCTGGGATGGGCCGCCTTCGTCTGATGGAGGGACTACAGCTGCCACATTTGTTTGCTCGAGGGATGTTGTCGCAGTGGGCACGTTAGTATGGGGCCCGGGTTCCAACACTGTCGACGACGATGCCGTCCCCGAGGCCGCTGCAGGTGTAGCTGTGGCAGTCGGGGTCGAAATCGGCAGGGCACTCCTCATGCGCATCAAGTCATCGATGCATCGGTACACGGCGCTGGAGACACCCTCCAGAACTCGCAGTCTTTCGTCGATGGCCTCCCTAGTGACCTGGTCCATGATAGCCAACTGTGCATCCGTCAGGTTCGGAGGAAGTTGCGAAATTGGAGGGCGAGGGTTGTATCGAGATTCCGAGCGAAGGCCTGTGCGGGTGGTGCGAGATGGACGAGGGGCTGAGCTCGTGACACCTGCATTGCTGTAATCGTACAGCGGGATGAGCGCAGGCAACTGGGCGCGTTTCTCAGTCGAGGCAGAGGGTGCGTCTGTTGTCAAAACCTCGGGGTCTTTCAATTTGGGTACTTCTTGCCCAGTTGTTTGGGACGGCCCAGCAGTTTGAGGGGCACTATCCCCACGTGTAGCAGCAGACGTCCCACCACTGTTGAATCGCCGCAACGCAGCCAAAGCTGCAGCTTCTCGAGGAGTAGACGGGGTTGCAGACGACGCCACCGCTGGAGACGCAGCTGATGGTTCTGGTGGTGTGTCGCTCGCCGGAGTAACCGATGTCGCATCCGATGAAGCGGCGGGAAGAACCTCGCCAGGATCATGCGGTTGCTGCGCACCGTCGTCAATTGGAGGCCACGGTTGCCATGCGCCGTCAGGACCGGGAAAGCCTTGGAATTGCGGCGGTGGCTGGACTGCTGGTTGGTCTGGTTGGCGAGGGTTCTGTTGCTGAACGTGATATTCGATTAAAATCGGCTGGCCGGGTGGATTTGGATTCTGGGCGTTGAGATTTGGGAAGGGTCGAGCGGCTTGACCGTGATTAGGCTGCTGAGGTTGCGGAAACCATCTGTTGACCAAGCCGAATGCATTATTCTGTCCAACAGCGGGAGCTGGAGCTGCAGGGTTCACTCCGGGTCCGGCAGCTGCCGCTTGAGCTGCAGCATTGTTGGCGGGCCGCGGAGGTTGTTCGAGAACATTCCGCCGACTAGGAAGTTGTATTAACAGGACATTGCTGGAAAGGACAGAGAGATTTACCAGGTGGGGCAGCTTTGTTGACGCTCAAGCCAAGAACGAAGACAATTGAAGTGGAAGATGTGTCCACAAGGCAACTTCTTGGGTGTGGTATTCGGCCCGTCTTGTGCCGGTGCCGGTGCTGCTCCCGGGGCAGCAGCAGCTTCCGCAGGTGGTGCAGGCAAGACCATTTCTTCACGACAGATGATACATGTGTGATCAGACATGGCAGCCATTTCCGCCTCACTAGCATTCGGATATCGCTGGTCCATATTGCGAGTAGCAGTCTGGTATCGATGCAGAGAGGAGAGTCGCGTGATGAGTGAACGAGTGGTGACATACACGTCTCGCAGGATGTTGAGCGGAAGACCGTAGAAAGTCATGATGACCAGGAAGAACACCAAGTACGTGGTCAACTTCAAGAAATCTGCCTCGGAGTCAATGACGCCTTGGATCAAGAGGATGGACGCACCAGTCGCCAGTTCGACATAAAATATCCACATGCTCTTGCTTTCCCATTGAGGCGCGTTTTCGCCTCCGCGTTGACTGGCACGGCGGAACTCGTACGTTGAAAGCAAGTACTTGCAGACCGTATTTGAAACGGTGGCCATGAGGATACCATACTGGAGTATGATATGAATTTGTGGATTGTACGCTGGCGCCTGCATGGCGTACCTCGCTGGCAAACAGAACCATGCCTCCAATCCCGTTTACGATGGTACTGTCCACAGCAAACATAAAGACGAGGAAGTCGATGCTCCAGAGCAGAAAGAACAACGCGCTCATGCGGACGTGGAAAAGAAGCGGTGGTCCCGGGTACGGCCGTTGGTCCATCTTCGAACGACATTAGCATGTTATCGACTGCGGTGTGCAGAGAAGTATCACCCATTCAATGCGGTCGGCAGCGATCCAGTGGAAAGCTTTCACGAAAAGTAGAAATCCGAACATCATAATGAAAGTCGCGTCGAACTCGTCCCGGAAGATGGTGAATGCTAACAGAGACTCGGTGACGAAGAACCACAGGCGGTCATATAGTCGCTGTTGGATGCATCAGTACTCATTCACCCGACCCGACTGCACTATACCTCGACTTCGCTGGGGCGTAGCGCACCGAAGAAGATTTTCTGAACCACATGAGCCGTCAACAGTGCCGCAATGAATCCAAAGTTGGCGAGAACCTAGGATGTCCTGAGTGATAGCCCAGGCGCCTTTTCAAAGAGCTCACGAGCACACTCCTGCTGCTCTTTGACAGATATATGGCCACCGAGTAGAAGTTGCTGTAGTTTCTCAATGCATTCGCGATGGCGGCAGAGACGGCAAAGAACGAGAAGACAGCGTAGAGAAGAAGTCTATGGGTGCTTATGGACCCTGTAAGCGCCTGCGTCCGTTCACGCAGAACCTGCGCTATGGGCGGCATCTGAAAGTTGTGGTTGCCGACGCGTGATGAAATGACACGTCGTGCTACAAGCGTGGCGCGAGCTATCGGATCATAATACTTGGGCGTCTATCAGTGGGAATAACAGCCACGTGTTCGGATTTGTTGATCCACCAACGCGACAACCAGTAGATGAATCTATGAATGGAGCGGGATGATAGATTACTCCACATATGCACTCACTAGCCACCATTCTTCATTCACATAACAGCACAACTGCAGTTTGTGCAGAAAGGGATCTCCACGTGACTGTCCGTCTGTGCATCGGCTAAGTACCACGGTTGATGATCGTATGGCATCCATCCATTGCCGAAGACTGGTATCTTCACGGTCCTGACCCACCACTTCGAGCAGAGCAAATAACGCGACAGGAGCGCTTACATAATCCCCAGCCTATCTTGCGCTTACCTTCCCTACGTGAATTGAGGTTTCTACGCGGTCCGTACCATCATCCGCTCGCTCTATGGTTGTGCCGACTCCGAATGTGCATCTGGCTCAGAATTACCCCGGATCTTAATAGTCCAGGGCATTTGGTATTTAGGCGCCTAACTGGTGACATAGGCTTGCTGCTTCAATAGAGCCTGCCCAGAACGTATCGAGAGGTTTCTTTTTTTGCCTTGGTCTGGACCCACACTTTGCCCTCTCTCATGGCGACGCTGCGCCAACGTCGTTCGGCAGAGAAACCGCTGCTCGATTCATCTGCAAAACCAAGCGATACATTGCCCCCTTCTCGAGCATCTGGGGGGCGTTTGCACACTGGATCTTTTCGGACTGTAGTCTTTGGATCGCTTTGTCTGGGGCTTTGGTGGTTCAATCGCACCGAGACGTCCGTCACCGACTACTCTCGTCCCTATGCACTCTGCTCCCACTCTCAGACCGATGTCTACACTGTCGATGCTGTGAACACTCAAAGGCAGTGCATTCTAGTCCAGCACGGCCTCGTCGGTCTCACTGGGTCTTTAGGTGAGGCAGTCCAGGGCAGTTCACGGCATATTTGACACTTAGCCTTCTGATTTAGCGGAGCTTCAAATGCACTGGAATAATCACGCGATTTCCAACTCGAAACTGCAAGTCCGATTTATCCCGTCCGGGGCCATCATCGTTCCCGGGCTCAGCGGTAAGCGAGAGCTGGATTCGCGCTGCCTGGCCGCTGATCTACGTATAATAACAGACGCTCATGCTCATCTGCTGGAGTATGGTGCCAGCAAGCAGCTCGCACTGGAAGGCACCCAAAGCATCGCTGGTATGTGTCATGGCGACCGGGGTTATGATCACAGCGCTGACTATCATTTCAGAGACAGTCACTCGAGTAAGGGATTACGTTCTGGGCAACTCCGATATCAAAGCCAATCCGAATGCCTACGTTCTCGGAGGCGGGTGGGATCATACTTCATGGTCGACCACCCGGTGGCCCACTGCCGAAGATCTGGAGCAGGATCCAGTGCTCAAAGGTCGACCGATCATCTTGCAGAGTAAGGACTGCCATGCGCTCTGGGTGTCAGAGAAGGTACTGAGCCTTCTATTATCATGCGGTTACTCACCGCCTCTTGCGTTCGGCAGGTGATCTCTGCGAGCGGGCCTTTCCCCCCGGCAGTGGATGGCGGTGTCATCTTCCGCCAGGACAATGGAAGCCCGAACGGAATGTTTCTAGACAATGCACAGGATTTGTTGGCCCAACCGGAGCTGAGCGACGACGAGCTCCAGCGCCGCTTCGCGACTGCGATCAAGGATGTTGTCTCCTTTGGTGTGACTGCGGTGCACGACGCCGGGTTGAATCCTGCGTCGCTCAAGTTTTTTGCCAAGTGCGATTGCCCCACTCTACGTATTGATGAATGCTTACGTGTATGAAGACAGGCTGCACTCAACAAACTCCCTGTGGGTACTGGCAGCTATGCTGCGACATCTGATTTATGATCTTATCATGCATCTCAGATCCGGATCTATGCTATGCGTTTCTTTGATGAACGTGAAGAATACTGGGGCAACAAAACTGAACCTATCATCGATGCAGGAAATGCAAGACTCAACGCACGAAGCGTAAAGATATTCGCGGATGGCAAGTACCTCATTAACACGTGGCTATGCTCTGAGCGATCTGCAGGCGCTCTTCGCACCAGTGGCGCCGCGGTGAGTTCTAAAGCACCGAAATGAGTGTTTAATACGACATGGAACAGCTTTATGAGCCCTATCATGATGATCACGGGACCACTGGTGCTATGAGACTGACCCCGGAAGTGTTGCAACGTTTTGTGCCGCTGTTTCTGCGGGACGGATGGCAAGTGGTGAGTGACATAAGCTGTGCCGTTGCGGTCATCGAATTCTGGTCAGAACGTGCATGCTATCGGAGATCGAGCGAACGGGATCGTGCTAGATGCCTTCGAGTCCTCGCTCCAAGGTGCCAATGTGACAGCTCTGCGCCCTCGTTTGGAGCATGCCCAGATCGTGACCCAGGCTGACCGGGAGAGGCTGGCTAAGCTAGGAGGTCTATCTGCTATGTTCTATTGCGCCCAGAGTGCCATGTTTCTGATACATTCCTTAGTCATCGCCAGTGTCCAGCCAACTCACGCGTGAGCTTAATTGTCAGTCGCCTGGATAACACTCACGAACCGGTCCAGAATCTCGGACATGTCCTATGCTCAAGATCGGCTTGGTCCGGAGCGTGTCAAAGATCTCTATGCTTTCCGGTCTATCATTGACAGCGGGGCCAGGATTGCACTCGGCTCGGATTTTCCCGTCGAGTCGCCGAACCCCGTGCTTGGGTTCTATGCTGCCATAAGCCGCCTTTCTCCCGAAGGGACTTCTCCCCACGGCCCCGGCGGATGGTTTCCCGAACAACGTCTCACTCGTGCAGAAGCTTTGAGAGGTAGCGATTCTGTGGGTCCTTACGACACGCGATATCTGCTGACTGTTTGTCTAGGGATGACCATCGATGCGGCCTATGCATCATTCACCGAAAAATCGCTTGGATCCTTGGAACGGGGCAAGCGCGCGGATTTTGTAATCTTGTCCAAGGACATCATGTCCGTCCCTCTCGACGAAATTTTGTCCACCAAGGTCGTCGCCACCGTGCTCGATGGAGTTCCCGTTTATGGCGGCTTTTAAGTCGGTGTTGATCGGACACAGATACAATTTCGTACTGGACTTTTTCGTACCGGATCCCTCTGGACTTGGAATTTCATCTATCGACTTCAGACCGTGTCTGCTGTCGAATTCTTCTCGAATAGGAATGAAATCGAGCCCCCTGGTAGATCACCAATCGTCACCATCGAGTTGAGCGCTGCGACCAGCGGAGAACGAGCATCTGCTGCCCGCGGCGGCACAAAGATCAGTTTGCGCAGCACTGGATCGTGAATCTCCTGCTGGATGTTGGGGAGCAGGCAGTTGATGTGCTTCCACTGCCCTAGGGCAGCCAGGCCCGCTCGCTTCTTCTCCAGATACTGCCGAGACATGAGCAGACGCACACCATCAGACCCGCGCAACTCACTGCCCGATCCATCTTGGTCATGTCCTCAGGTTGGATGCAAGATGCGTTCACGAAACCCTTGCTCTCCACATCACTGTCCGACTCCGCGTCACTGCCATCCCCCGCCAAATCGTCGTCCAATCCGTCGTCCTGGGCTTTTGATTTGCCCTTTCCGTCGCAAGGGCAGCCGAGCAGATCGTGAGTGTTGCAGATCGTATTGGGATGGATTCGGAAGATGTCGCGGAGCTGACCGGAGTAAGTGCCCAAACTCCGATGCTTCACTTGCAAGTGAGGCTCTCACATCTTTCCGGCTAAAAGAATCACTCTTCGATGAGTCGCCAGAGGCCTGCAAAGCACGCGTGAGAGAAACCATGGCACATCCTCAACACGTCTTACCTCCATCAACGCTGCCGACGACAAATTAGTATAGGACAGACAATGAACGGAACGGACTTGCAATTGCTGAGCCCCAGCTTGGTCACCTGGCGCTGATAGATCTTTTCGTCGATGGTCCCGGCGGTCAAAAGTCGATAGATAAACACTGGTCGTTTTTGGCCATCTCGGTGGCATCGAGCCATCGATTGCAGGTCATGACTGAAGCGCGTGCGTGGTTAGCAAACCCGTCGTCCATATAACGCAAACCACGGACGGACCTGGGGTTCCAGTCGGAATCAACCAGACACAGTCGCGATGCTCCAATCAAGTTGATACCAACTCCCCCGGCCTTGGAGCTCAACAGAAACACGACTGTCCACAGTTATCGTCATTTTGTCTGTTGTATTGATCGGACGAGACTTACAACTGCTTCGCTGGGTCGATTTATTGAACGTGTTGACGTATTCTTGTCGTTTCAGCGCAGGAGTTTGACTAGAACAGCGTTCAAAGCGTGAATACCGCGGAAGCAGACACGGGACTGACCCGTCCAATCTGTGATACGAATAACGCTTCGCTTTGCAAAACGCCTCCAGAATGTTCAGAGTCGAGGTGTAATGGGAGACCAAGACACATTTCTCGTCGGTCGTCTACAGATTTAGCATGGTCAAATGACAAGCTTGGCTACTAGCGGTATTCTCACGTCGTGAATCTGTTTCAGCAGTTGCGCCAACGCCGTCAACTTGCCTGTGGATGAGAGATCAATCAATCTCTATTCGCTACTCTTGGATCATGAATGTCGTTACCGCTCAGAGACGTATCCTCGATCTGACAATTCTGTGGGAGCAGATCGACGGCATCCTGAACACCGGCACGTTTCACCACCGTGCGTGAATCGGAGCCCGATGCCGCATGTTTGTCCACCGTCGCTTTGAGCAGGATGGGACTACTACTGATCTTGGTCAGCATGTTGATCAGAGCAAGGGATTCCGCTGTTGAGCTCTGCGCCAGATCATCCAGCTTGTCCGGGTTGAGAATCTTCGAAAAAATAGATAGTTGCAGAGGAGTCGGTGTCACGAAGACAACATATTCGTCTGTTGAAAGCTGAGAGGTACAATTTCAAACCGGACGAAGGCTTACGCTTTGGAGGAAGATAATTCTGGAGCAAGATCGCTTCACGGCGAAGAACAAAGCTCTTCGCTACAGCAAGAAGCTGAGCAAAGTGTTGGTAAGCGTTCATCAGGAGTGCATCAAGCACTTCACCTGCTTCATTCGAGCTTCACCCAGCTCACGCTCCTTGGCCGAACTTTCTGGCGCCCGGCTTGCCAAGATGGGCATTTCGTAGACACGGCGGAATGTCTGATAGTTCTCGAGTAGTCCTGGGTTGCAAAAGTCCGCCTGAGCTCTGTCAGTGCTGGTAGCTCCACAGAGAGAAAAGTTGCGACCATGGAATGAAATTCGCTCAGATCATTTTGTATCGGCGTCCCGGATAGAATAATTCGTTTCGCAGTTCGAAGCGAATTAAACATCGTCGTTGTCTTATTATTTGCAGACTTGAGTCGGTGTCCTGTGCGATTTCAGAAGAGATAACGATGCGACGAGGATATCACTAGCCCTCATCGCAGACGATGAGACCAATCGGTGGCCTAAGCGGCTTCTTCAGCGTTTTCAACCACTTGAGACAGCGTGCACATACTGGCAAGAAGCAAGTTCAGCTCTGTGAGACAGATCAGCTTCGGTTGGTTGTCAAACGATTGAGCAGACCAACTCACATGACAGTCCGCAGACGCTCATAACCTATAATGAGCACATGCTGTGTCCGTCTATACCGAATGCATCAGTACACCCCCCGCAAAATCAACAGATGAAATTTTACGCATTCTGAAAAGTCTTGACCACCTTCTTGTCCTTATCACACGTGACAACACCCAGTCGGTCTCGGCCAAGCCATTTCTGGAACTCGTTCTTCCAGTTCTGGACAAGGTATTCGTAAACCATCCGCGAAAGAGCTCTGACCCTTACGGTGATGAGAGACACAGGACACACAACCAGCACCCGCCCAACAGCCGGGAACCCATCGGCATAAGGGTTCTGCTCTAGCAAGGAGCGTCAGAGCAGTGGATTGCAAGGCAGAGGATGCAGTACTAAGCAGCGTCCAGATCAGAGAAATAGTTTGGAGTGTCTTTCCCAACCCCCTGCAGCAAAGTCATCTTAGATGCCATCGACGTCCATTGCAATGTTCTCCTCACATTTCATCTGCCAAGATGCAGCCCTGACCTTCGTGTTTCCGCAAGCCCATTACACATTCGTACATGAATTTGATCCCTAAAACATCAATAATGAGAAAGACATGTACTCAATCGCACACCTTCAATTTGATGAGGACGTAGTCGTGGTGCGAGCATCGGGTCAAGCACCACCGCAACGACTGGGGCATTCCTGAGCGCGAGATGATGAGTCGTTTTAACACACCAATGAAAAAATCGCGAACTTGGGATTGAAGCGGGTAGCATGGTCTTTGCTTGGTGCTTTGAAGACGATGGCTCCGTCCGCACCAGGATCGTGTCTGTGCACTTTGAGCACGGAGCGGCCGCATGACCGGAACAAAAACTTACAGAGGACCCTTAGGCCTGGCCTTGGTGGCTGGTGCTGGTCCGTAAAAAGATTGGGGCGCGATGAACTTCGGCTTGACAGATGCAGGACTGGACAGGCTCTTGTCCTCGGCTTCCTTTACAATCTCCGGGACTGAAGGCGTGTCGTCCGTTGTTATGCCACCACCGACATTGGGCATGTCCTCTTGTGTAACTTGGCAATCGAGTTCGACCTCCTTGCCCGCGATGTAGAGATGGTACCCGCCATAGAGCAGCTCTCCCTTCCACGGCGTACTGCCCATGCTGACCGGAATAGTAAGAAAAGATGAGTCGGACCGATTAGCGGACGCACACTTTGCCCTCCTCCGAAACCATGGTCAGTTTCCCACCCGTCTGTGATACAAACGCGTCTCCATCCCATGTCTTGTGCTTCTTGTTTTGGTTGGGTTTCCGCCTGAACGATACACAGTCAGGAACTGGTCTGCACTCATGACTGAAACCGACCAGTTTGCTGTCCAGAACGAGTCTTGTGGTGCCTCCAATTTGACAGGCACGTCTCGCACCTTTTCTGGCGTGACGGAGGTGGAGAGAAGGTCAACAGGTTGGAGAGAAACGACTCCGGGATGGTTTACACGTTGCGGAGTGTTCAATGTCAATGGTCGGAACTGTTTCGCAGCGGTCTTTGTTGAAGTCGGCAAGGTCGAAGTCAACGCTGCTGAATCGCCAAAGCACGTTCCGGATATGAATTCCTGGCGAGTGATGGAGCGGTCTAGTTCAACGTCCTTCCCAGAGATGGAGAGATTCCTTCCTATTGATGATGGGTCCCGTTCTTTCAGCAGTGAACATGAGATGAAAAGGGTAGCACGCACCTTGCGTGTATGGCGGATCACGTTTCCCATTCCCGAGCACCTTCCCCTCCGAGTCATAGAGAGTAGTCTTGTTCTCATCCACAACGAGAACTCCCTGAGAAGCTGAAATTTCATTGCGAGTTCCCGTCAAAGACATATGCAGACGTACATCGCCATCCCAGGTCTTGTGCTTTTTGGCTTGAAAATTCCGCCATTGCACCATCCAGTAATGACTACCAGTATCAATTGCCGGCCGCTTCCTGCTAGATTCGTGTGTCTCCTCATGTTTTCGTTTGAGTGGCAAGAAACTGGGCATGAGTGGGAGGAAGTTGGAGAAACGCGATGTCACACCCACGTCGAGTCACCTTATCACATGACAACATGTCACACCAGTGCATGGCGATGATTAAATTCTGAATCGGACTACTCTAGCTACATAATGACAAGCAGTGGGACGCTGTTCTATTTCTGTAGTTTGCAGTTTGAGGCTTCGAGCCTCACGCGTGTCACATGAATGGAAGATCATCGCCTTTGATGCAACACCGATTCGAAGATGGACTACTTCAAACGTCCAGCTTGACTGCTGGTTTCACTCCGATACTTGGAGGTAGAGGCTCTGGGGGATTGAGAATGTCCTGGAGACTCCATGACGGAACAGGATGGATCGAATAGTCGTCGTGGTCACCGGCGAGGAAGCGGTGCATAGACGCCCAAGCTATCATGGCAGCGTTGTCTATCGAAGATATAAACGCGACTGCACAACAAGGGAGAGAAGCTTGCCTGTGCAAAGAGCTGGATCAGGGAACACGGCTTCCACTGGATTGAACTGTGACTCCGCGAGACAAACGCGCAGGCTAAACAGAGTAAGAGAAGATAAACGGCACATTATGAAAAACGCACCGCTCTCGCAAGAGCGTGTTGCTAGCTACGCCTCCACTGACCACAACTTGCCGAATCACATGTCCCTCCGACTGACAAAGCTTGAGAGCAAGCAGCAACTTGGCCTCCAGATGAGCAAAAGCTGCATCTTGGAATGCCCGGGCCAACGCTCGTTTGTTCGTCAGCTTATCAACCCACCAGCAGCCGCTACGGTGCGCTCCACCCAGGAATGCAAGCCAGCATAGGAAAATGCGAGTTTGCCCGGCATTGGATTCGGGGCATGGTACTCGGGTTCAGGGCCCTCGGACCCCACGCCGGGCTCGGCACAATACTTCTCTAGACCAGCGCCTGGACCGAGCGATGTCCATTTTATCTGCAAGAGAGTAACAACGCGGTCGATTGCAGACCCAATGCTTTTATCTGCTGTCGTCGCGACGATGCGAAATCCTGTGAGAGATGTTGCGAGGACAATCATAGTATGTCCGCCACTGACTAGCAGTGTCAGAAAAGGAAATTTGGGAGGGATGTCACAGGTCAAGCTCGCTGTGAGAGCATGAGCTTGCTGGACAGAAACGTGAAGTCAGCTGGTACGATATACAACATCGGAACAATGTACCATGTGATGCACTCCGACAAGAGGTTTGTTGCAGGCAGCAGCTAGCGTTTTCGCAGCGTTCGTAGCTACAGACAAGCAGCCAGGTAGTCCTGGGCCTCTGGTGAAGGCCACGCCGTCAATATCCGACATTTCGAGCTTGGCCTCCCTTAGTGCCCGTTGAACTGCACTCGGCATGTTGCGTTGGTGTGCGCGGAGAGCTATCAAAGGATGGATTCCACCGTCCCGTTCGTGCAGGTCGTTCTGTCGGCAGACCACGTTGGACCAGATACGACGGGAGGCGTCCACTACGGCAGCGCAAGTATCATCGGCAGACGACTCGAGAGCAAGAACGCGGAAAGGGTGCCGAAGAACCGCATTCATGGAGCAGCCTGTGAGTGTGCATACACTCACGCGTTCACTGCGAAGGACAAGTTTCGTTGACAGCTGTCTTTCGATGATCCCTTTCCAGTGGCAGTGCATCACTCAGGAGTGGGAAGACCTTGCGAGTTGATTGTGATGCTCACAGGTGAACGCAACCCTCCCCCCAGTTTAGCCGATCTCAGCAGAAACACGTCCGTCATATCCACCAGCAGCACTGAATCCGAACTCGATCTTACTCCTCCGCGCCCTCGGCCCATTCGCACCTTCTCTGCACCGCGTTCCCGCAGTCCTCAATCACCGACAAGCCGAGCTGGATCGCGTCCACCTCCATCATATCTCTCCCGGGAACTGGGCGTAGCAGAACCTACCACATCGCCTGCAAAAGGGAAATCTCCCGCGAGATCATCGGGGAAAGTCACCCTACACGATTTCCAATTCGGTAGCACCCTCGGCGAAGGCTCGTACTCCACTGTGATTATCCTGCGTGGGTTGGTTCTATTTCTTGATGCTGACCTTCATTTGACGTTCAGGTGAAACTTGCTACCTCTCGCGTGGACGGAAAACAGTATGCGGTGAAGGTCATTACGAAGAACCACTTGGTTCGTGCTGGCAAAGTAGGGACAGCCACGGCAGAGAGGGATGCCCTCCTGCGACTAAACGGTCATCCTGGGATCGTCTTTTTGTATTATACGTTCCAAGATGAATGGAGTCTATGTGAGTAATCAGCACGACTTTGTCTCACTTGTCTCATCTCCCAGACTTCGTCATCGATTTGGCTACCATGGGGGAGATGCAGTCCCTGATATCTAGACTGGGGTCTCTCTCTACACAATGTACCCGCTATTTCTCCGCCCAGATTGCAGATGCCCTCGAATACATCCATTCCAAAGGAGTCTTGCATCGGTAGACACATTTCTCTCAGGACGTGCTCATGTGACCTTTTCTCAGGGATCTCAAACCTGAAAACCTATTGCTGGACAGCGCTTACCGCATCAAGATAACCGATTTTGGCACGGGGAAGGTCCTGGCGCAAGGAGGTGAATACGGTTTCTAGTTTCGCGGGCACATACCAATCAGGTGCAGTCCAACGGGCGACAACATTTGTCGGAACTGCACAGTACCAATCACCGGAGCTCTTGGAGTCCAAAGAAACGACGAAGAGGCATGTTCTGATCATTATCCATTACTGCTGAGAAGGACTCATCTTGCCATAGCTCAGATTATTGGGCGTTTGGCTGTGTCATATTTCAGATGATATCTGGCAGATTTGCCTTCAATGACCTTTCTGACTACCTGACCTGGCAGAAGATTAAACGGGTGGAATACGAGTTTCCGGAAGGTTTCGACGAGGAAGCTAAGAATCTTGTTCAACGTCTCCTGGTAGGGAGAATCCTTCTCGCGCTCGGAACCTCATCGATGAGTTATTGATAGGTCTACGATCCTTCGGCGCGACTGGGGGCCGGTCAAACAGATAACGACACCACGGCCCTGAAAGCCCATGCCTTCTTTTCTCCGATCACCTGGACCTCATTGTGGACCGATGTCGCGCCCCCGATTGAACCTGGCCTAGTTGTAAGGGAACAACCGTCTGCAGAAAGCGAAAATGCTCGCTGGGAGGACTTTGGCCAGGCCTGGGACAAATTGGCCTTGCAAGACGATGAAGACAGTGATGAGATAGAATGGGCTAAAACCGACCCGGAGCGTTCGCCCGGAACAGCTGGGAGATCTTCTGCCCGGGATGACTCTTCCTCGTCTTCTGGTCACGGCGATCCCGCTGCGGGCACATCACTGCGAGTCCAAGTATCGGATCCCGATGGCAGAGCAGTCCAAGTTGAAAGAGGTCGAGATCGAGCACCTACTCCCTTACGCGGCGGTGATGCCGATACCACCGTTTTGTGAGCCAATACCTCCTCTCACATGGTCGCGGCCGTCTTCTAAACTTACGGCAGTGCCGCCGCTCTCAAGCTTTCGCCGGAGGAACATATTGTCATGCATTCCCCGGTTGAGCACATCACTTCGAGGCGACGTGCCAGCCGCATCCTGCTTGCAATTCCTCCGAAATCGAAACGACGCCATCTGGTGCTCACCAATCAACGGCTCATATGTTTGAAGCTGTCCAACTGGTCGATCAAGACTGAAATGCTCCTGGCGAGCCAGGGCAAGACTTCGACAGGGGTGATTACCGATGTGCAAAGGAGAGGACAGCATCAATTTGTGTTAACGGTGGTATGTAGACCATGCTTCTCCGAAGTCAAGATGATCGAAGCGATGTCCAGTCACCCGCGAAAATGCATATATACAGCGCTAGCGATGCGACATCTGCAGACATCTGGGTAGAGCGAATCCTAGCTTCGCAGTCGGGGTAAAATGGTTATCTTTTTATTGTTGGGCTTCACGGGACTTTGAACTGCGTAGTTGATCCACAGACTGTCGCATTTTCCTACTCTCTCCGCTACCGGTGTAATAAATTCGTCGTCTTTTACCCTGGAGGCAGCAAGTGCGCATCAACAGTGACACTGGGACTGGGTACAGGTTCGGCGTCTTCTTCCGAGACAGCAATGGGCGTCCTCGGCATTGCCATCAGTCCTGCAAACTAGCTCAAATATGCGACAGAGTCGAATTAAACCAACTTGCCAGTGCGAGCAGCCTCCAGGATTCCAAACGGCTTCACCAAGTTCAAGAAAGCCTCCACACGTTGGGTCTTGGCTGTCAGCTCAACAATTACACTGTTTTCGCTAACATCCACAATCTTGGCTCCAAACTGGGACGCAAGCACATTGATGGACTGCAGGTGCTGATGCTTCAGCTTGAGGGCCTCAGAAGGCGTCAGGGGCTTCTGTAAGGGATCGGCGATAGGTTCCGCATGGGCGCTGGCTTCGATGTTGTGCACTAGTGCCGCCTCGCGCTCAAGCTTGCTGGCCGGGGCAGAAAGGCGGGGATCGTGAGTGGGCCCGCCCAGGAGCTGTTCGTCGAGGTATTCCGGCCCCAAGATCGAGACCTTGACGAGGAGCAGTTCCCGAGAGATCGTGCGAGTCTCGGTGTAGTCGAGGACGACCCAGACAGGGACCTGTAGCATACCGCTTCATTGGGGCGCACGGAAGCAAAAGGGAGAACGCACGAGATCCTCTAGTTGGCGACGGGCCTGCTCAACAACGCCGTCTTGACCACTGAGTACAATGCACATGCGACTGAGGTCGCGGATCTCCGTCTTGCATACCACCAGCGAGTCGATGTTGAAGCCTCTTCCAGCAAGAGTCCCCGAGACACGGGAAAGCACACCGGGCTCATTCTGAACGAGACAGTTCAAAACATGTCTATGCCATAGGTTGAGTAAGAGCGAGAGGCCATATATATATAGCCCACGCACTTTTTAAACGGCTGCAAACTTGGTGGAGGAGTATTATACAGAATGTTGGTGACGGCCTCCTCTGCAGAACGAGAGCGAGGCAGGTCCAGGACGGGAAGGGGAGGCGGTCTTGACCGCTGAGCCTGTTTGTAGTCGAGCGCGGAAGTCGAGTCCTCTACAGATTTTGGTGGTTTCGGCGGAGCGGCCTCATTGGAGCGACGCGTCGTCGACGTAAGAAAACGCAATGAAAGAGACCTGGGGACTGCACGAGCGCGTAAGGAGAGCATGGACGTAGATTGTAAAAGACCGAGTCACAAATTTATCACAGGGTCGCTTAGAAGCGATTATTACAAAATGCATACACATATAATGTACATCAGACCCTATCAAGCTTGTGTGTGCAGTAGGACAAGTCTGTCCTTCATGACCTCGAACACGTCGGTGGTCTTGAGTGTCCCGACGATGACAGGGCGTCCAGCCTCTGGAGCCTCTCTGAGCTTGACGACCTCGCCCTTATGGATGGCATCGTCAAGCACTAGAACCTCGTCGTTGACAAACTTGGGCTCGACGGGCAAGAGATATTTTACGGGGAAACCTGATCGAGTAGAGCCATCTGAGAATCGGATCATGGCTGTCTGTTCGAGGTTCGGGCCAGCTGGGGTCACCGCAACGACCTGGGCCTCCTTGTTTTCGAACTGGCCGTCCAGGTATTGAGGATAAGCGCTCCTGGTTCCTGTGACTCGGACCATGATTCGAGTGACATACGGAGCGTACGCCTCATCCAGCAGCCAATTCTCCGAAGGCTCGTATTCAATCGCCATCTGGAATTGGTTGTACGACGGGTACGACGCTGGAGTGGGTGCTGCCATGGCCCCTGGCGTCGGAGCCGACATCCCTCCCCCAGGTAGCGAGAATGCCGCTGTTGGCGTTGGGGCAGACATGCTCATGTAAGCGCCAGGTGTTGGAGCGCTGGCAGCAGGAGTCGGTGCTCCATTGAAACCCGGTGTCGCGGCAGCCGCTGCTGGGGTCGGTGCATTCCACGCACTACTGCTCGAGTCGCCCCATTGCCTCGACGGTGAGGCCCAACCAGGGTCGGCTCTCCGGCCCGGAGTAGCGCCACCCCAGGCCGGTCTTCCTGGGGTTGCACCTCCCCAGGTGCTGTCTGAGTTGTTGACGTAAGGATTTGGTGTGCTGCCCGAGTTGTTGGCGCTCCAGCGGGTGTCCTCCCGCCCGACGCATAAGGATTTGGTGTCTTCGAGCTGGTGCTCCAAGCCGGGGTCTTGCCGTCTGCCCCATATGGATTCGGAGTCCTCCCAGACGGATTCCAGGCCGGTGTTCTTCCCGAGTCCCAGGCGGGTGTCCGCCCTCCGGGAGGGGCATTCCAATTTGGCGGCGCCCCGGGCCCATTGCCGAATGAACGCTGCTGAGGACCGCCAGAGTTGCCGAAACCAGTATTCTGACTCAGGTCGACCAACTTGCCGCTATCCCTGGGAATGACATCAGCTCTGGTGCAAGCCTAAGAACATCGAGAGCAACTTGCAATCGTCGCCTCAGCTTGTCTTTTTCCACAGCGATCACCTTGTTTCCTGTATGCAACTCGACTCGGACGATGTTGCCGTTGGTATCCTTGACGATGCCGACATATCCTTTATACGGTCCTTTAACCACAGCGACGGAAACACCGAGCAGCCGATCTCTGGGTCCCCGCCCCATGTTGCCGGATCCAACCATGCCACCGGTGGGAGGCAACATGGCGGGATTCATCTTCGACAAATCCATGTTTGCGGCTGCTCGGATATTGCTCTTCGGTGCCAGCGACTGCAGCGACCTGGCCCGCGTGACAAACACACCCCCATTTTCAACAATGTCCGGTTATGCAGGAAAACGAAAAAGGCCTGATGAATATGCAAAACGCGTCCTTTGCGACTCTGAGTATGCGTGTCAGCGAAAAAAAAAACGTGGGCAGTTGATCCACCAACTTACCTCTCCCTCGATTTCCTTCATGTTATCATTGATTCGAAGCTCGTGACCTTGGTCATCAGTCGCAACAGCCCGATGCGAGTCGCGTCGCATAGAAATCTGGTGTGGCTGAACCAAACGAACTTGTCCCGTCTGATCAAGAACACGGAACGAATCGCGTTCTGTCTTGAAGATAACGCCCACAGTCTGTGGGCTTCCGTCGAGTCAGCATCGAAGATAGTGGTAGCAAATTGGCACCCACTCTAGTTGAACCAAATCGTGTAGCTCATAGTTGCCAACAACGTTTGTGCTGGATCCAACTTCGGCCGCCTCACGAAGGTCTTTAGAAAAGACAGAGACCTGACACGAGTGAGCACTAGCCAGCAGAAGGCAGCTAGACACACCTCTTGCATGGACATATCGGACAAGAATGTCACTACATTCTCTGCGACGGATACCACCAAACCCGTCTCGTCGGCATTCTGTCCGGTCATGACCTTGACATGGTCTCCAGGTTTGAATCTCTTGCGAACACTGCGCGCGGGCAAATCGACTTTCTGACCATCAAAGTCGAGGCCAACAGCTGTGATAGTAACAACGTCCTGATTGATTTCCTCCACCACACCGTGAACTCCGCTCTGCTCCCCTTCAAAGACCTCGACATGGTCACCGGGTTGCAGCACGGAAACTGCTGCCTTCCTTGAAGCCTCGGCGATGACTGACAGATCCATCTCTCCAGCATCACCGTCTTGCCGGCGTGCAAACTGCGTAATTTCCTCCAATGAAGGATTGACGTCTTCGAGAACCAATTGCGAGAGTTTAAGATCTTTTTCAATGAATCCGTCCTTGTACGTCTCGTTCTGAAAGACATAGGCGTGTTTGCGATTGACAACGTTTTTCCGACCGTAGACAGCGACCACTTCCTCGTAGTTGAACAGCCGTTGCGGTGGTCGACTAGATCCTGGACCCGTCGGATTCGCTTTCTTGCGCTTCTTCGAGCCTTCGAGCGAGCTGTCGTCGACAGGATTGAGGTCGATTCGTGGGATGTATTTGACACCGACAATTTCACCCGTCTCGGTGATGTCCACTACCTGGGCCAGATCCCCTTGATACACCCCGCGACGGATGCGAACCCAGCTTCCAGGCGTGACAGTTACGTCCTGCTTTTTTATCTGCAGTAGACTGGCCATCTCCTCGATGGGGACAAGTTGGACACCGCGTGACAGGTAGACGCCAACGAGCCCATTGCAAGCCCGAGTCACTTCTTGAGAACTCCGTGCTTCAACGTATATCATCCCCGGGAGTGATTCACGCTGGAATGCGGACATAATTTGTAGAGGCCGTGCGCTGTATTCCACGTCGATAGCTTTTCGAATGAGACTGAACACGAGATCCCGTTCCCTGCCAGGCTGGAAGAGACGTTAGTCACGCCACATCGCATAGCAGCCACATATCCACACCTTAACCCGGACTTGCCAGAGGCTGTAGTCGTGCACAGATGGCATAAGAAGCCGTTGAGGGATTTCACTCAGTTCTGCAGTAAATCGAACAGCGTTCTGCCGGTAGCGACGAGTCAGGTCGTCCGCAATATCTTCCGGGCTCTGGTCATTTGCTTGTTCGAAAGCGCGTGAGCTGGGCATGTGCGCTCCGTAGGGGCGTCGACCGGATTCATCCCCGTCCTCAGGATCCTCAATGAACCCGTCTGTGGTTTGTAATAAGACAACTTGAAGCACGAGATGAAATTGTTACCTTGGGCCTCATCGTCAAATTCTTCGTCTCCCTCTTCGTCATCATCACTCTCAGCGGCCAAATCCAAGAACCTTTCAGCGGCGGCTCGTTTGTGGCGACGCTGTGAAAGTCATTATAGGCCGGAGAGCACAAACTGAGTTCAGCTATCCCGTGCCTTTTTCTTCTTCGGGCGTTCGTCCTCTTCGTCCTCCTCCTCCTCCTCTTCGTCCTCTTCCTCGCGGTCATCCTCTTCGTCTTCGTCGAATTCATCATGACCTCTTGACAAGCCCTCTTGAGGACGGTCATCGGAAGCTTCGTGCTCGTCTCCGTAAAGATCTTCTATGTCGGACATGAGAAATGGTTCCAGTCGTGTGTGTATATGCGTGAGGACGGAGACAAGGATGAAGTCTAGCCAACTCTTGAAGCCGTTGGCTGGTCAAGCGGTGTTGATCGATGATGTGTACACGTGACTGTCGCGATCACGCATGGTTCGCCTCGTGGCGGTGAGGCCAACTACTCTCTCACTTCCGCCATTCGCTCTGGGCAGTTAATGGCAACCTCCATCCTCAAAAAGGTAGCACGACTTTCTCTGAAGCCCTTGTGTTCTTATGCTCTTTGCAGCTCACTACATCGGATTTCCAAGAGCATTTCGACGCATTGCAGCCAAAGTTGTCTCTGCGTGAAACGGAGGAGACGTGGGATTCAATCGCAAACGCTATCATCAGCTTGAATAGGATATGTGCAGACCCCGATGGATACACGGTCTCGGAGCTGGTGGCCGCTCTCAAGTCTATCTCGCGGCCGCTTGTTAGCGCCATGAATTCTGAACGCGGTCGATTGTCAGGCGTCGCGATGGATCTCATGGCAACTGTGGCATCCTCTTTGGAGTCTCAATTTGACCCACTCATACCTCACTTCTTCCCCACTCTTCTTATCCTCACTAGTCGCACAAGCAAAGTCACGATTGCCAGAGCGCGGGCTTGTATCCTCACCATCATTTCTACCACTCATATCCCATCCATCCTGTCACAACTGACTCAATTTGTTGGTGACAAATCAGCGTCTATGCGGATCACAATAGCAGAGGCTACCCTCGCATGTCTCAATTCCTTTAACCCTCCTGATCTGGAGAAAGAGGCACGCGCGAAGGAAATCGAGGTTATCATTCGGACCTTCGCCAGAGACGCGAATGCAGACGTGAGAAAGGTTAGCAAGAGGATATTCGAGGCCCATCAATTGTTGCTTCCTGCAAGGCTTGCAAGGTGCGTGGCATTTCACTGCATCTCTTCCAGACTTGATCTGTTACTATTAGTTTCACCGCACCTCTTTCACCCACTACCAAAAAGTATCTGGATATTCCCAATGTGAAGAGTGTTGAAGCCCCGAAACCTTCGACAAGCCGACCCCCCAAAGCGAACGCGCTCGCATCCTCTGCATCATCGATGCATCGACCGCCGTCGTCTCGGTCCTTGACACATATGCGATCGGCGTCTGCTTCGAATGTCGTGTCAAACGTCGCGAAACAGGAAAAGCAGTCCGCGCGTCCGCCGCGTCCACTGACAGACATGCTTCCACCCAGAGTCCCCTCTAATCCGCCGCTTCGAAGTGAGGCTAATGATAATAAGAAACCCCCGACTGTAGAGAGAAAGCGGGTTGTTTCTGTGCCCGCCGCACTTCGCCCTGTTCGCGCAGTTACTCAGGACTCAGCTGCCCTCCGTCGCGCGCCAGCCGCGGACGATGCACACCATTCCCTTGCTGCCTCTGTTGGCCCGCGTAGGATCCCGCGGACGGAGGCAGAGCAGCCATCCCGGCCGCGTCTCAACAACGCTGTCTCCACACCGGCTCTCAGAACGACAGCACCCATAGTTGTCGCCAAAGTGGTAGCTGCCAAAGTCCCAATTGCTCGCCTGGTTCCCAACAAGAAGGCCCCGTCGACAGCAGGAACGAAGGAGTGTCCAAGGGTGGATTTGCTCAGCCAACGTTATCCCAGCTCGCGCGAACGAAGGCACCACAGAAGCGAGTGCCAATCACGAAACCTGCAACCATCAAGGCCGCGAACCAAGCTCCGCCGAAAAGCAAAGAACGCCCTACGTCTCGTACAGAGAACAAGGGGAATCACGCAACTCAGAGCAGAGTGGAGGAGGCCCCTCTCAAACCCCCGTCGCCATCCGAGCAACCTTGCGAATCACAGTCCAAGCGCGACGATGACAAGGTTACGGTACAGGAGCAGTCTCAACCAGAGGAAAACGAGGCAGCGATTCCCACCGCAGTAGTCGACATGGAGCCAGTGGAGAGGACGACCATGCCGCCTGCGAGGAAACTCCAAGTCCTGTGCAAGAACAGCAAAATCTGCAGTCCGAGCCGTCCACTCCCAAGAGGCATACATCAGGACCGAGCATTTCGGTAGATGACTGCAAGACCCCCATATCGCAGCTGGTGCAGTCGATCGAGGAGGGTTTCCTGTATACACCCGCAGGGGCGCTATCGCCTCCCAACTCGTACCTAGGTTTCCCTCAGACGGGACTGGCATTCTCGTTTGTAATCCGGAGCCGAACGAGGCTCAATCACGTAGAGCACTGGAAGACGTGGCCATTAACCTCGGGACACCGTGATAGTACAGACTCTTATTAGTACGAAGAGAATATATGCGGACGTTTCTCTAGCGACTGACTGAAGGATGCGTGAGCATATTGATTCGAGGTCATTTTATGGCGCCAGACACACCTAATGGCTGAGGCATTTCCTGCCTTTAGCGCGCCGACGAGCCATGATTTTACGACCTCCGGGTGTTCGCTTTCTGGTCAGGAAACCATGTCTCCTCTTCCTCACGCGCTGAGAAGGTTGGTACTCGTGTCCTAGTTTTGCGAATCGCATTTGCTGCAGGGACGCAAGGACGGCAGATGGTGCTGATGCAGGAGCGGTGCGAGGCAGGAATCGTGGTAGTGCCAAGCGGAGAGGGGCATCCTGGAGGAATGTGCCGACCGTGCATGGTCGCATTCCTACAAACGTAGGAAGGCGAGGAGGGCGAGCAAGCAATTGGAGGAGGGAGGGTGGTATCCGCGGCATCGTGTGTGAGTGTAGCTTGCACTGTAGTAGTCTCAGTCGAACTTTTACTCCGCGATCATTGTACACGTGATGAGACCACGTCAAGCAAACGTTACCTTCGTCCTCTACGTTGCATCGCGCGTCGCTGTACATTATGGTCTGTGACTGTCTGACCTACCGCGCCATATTCTCCGACCATTCTTAGCCTTCAGTCGCGGCATCCGAGTCGGTGCCTATCGAAACCGCCCATGAGGATATGATTGTATGTTGAGACCACATTCCCTACTTGTGATGTGCTGACGGTAACTTAGCATGACGCCCAACTGGACTACTACGGAAAGCGCCTTGCGACGTGCTCCTCCGACCGCACTGTCAAAGTATTCGATGTCATTGATGGAGATGCCCAGAAAAGCGGGAAAACTCTTACAGGGTAGGTCGTTGTCACCTCTTGGTGGCAAGACTCTGAACGGTCATAGCCATACGGGACCTGTGTGGCAGGTGGCCTGGGCGCACCCCAAGTTTGGACACATTCTCGCCTCTTGCTCATATGATGGGAAGGTGTTGATTTGGAAGGAGCAGCCCTCCGGAAACTCCAGCAGCTGGGCGAAGATACGCGAGCACGCACTCCACACGGCATCCGTCAACTCCGTCTCTTGGGCTCCTCACGAACTTGGGGCAATGCTTGCTTGCGCCTCCTCAGATGGCAAAATTTCGGTCCTCACTTTCAAAAGTATGATAGGTTTCTCTTCCTTCGGCTGAAAGTGACAATTTTCAAGATGACGATCAATGGCTGGCCGACATCTTTGTTGGACATGCGATAGGCTGTAATGCAATCTCCTGGGCCCCTGCCATTGCTGCATCCAGTCTGATTGCGCCCGGACAACAGCACTTGCAGTCGATTCCTTCCGCGATGCCTCCTGCGCCGGCAGCCCCTACTACGCGATTCGCCAGTGCCGGATGCGACAACCTTGTGCGGATTTGGGTGTACCGCGACGAGAAATGGGTCGAAGAAGAAGTATTGGAAGGACATACTGACTGGGTCCGAGATGTCGCATGGGCTCCGAGTATCGGTCTGTCGCGGAGCTATATTGCTACGGCTTCTCAGGACCGGACTGTGTGTGTCTGGGTTCGTGATTCTCCCAGTGCTCCCTGGGTCCGTAATGTGTTGGATCCCTCCTCGGCTGGAGAGTCGCCAACAACGGGCGGAAAGTTCCCTGACGTCGTCTGGAGAGTCTCTTGGAGTCTTGCCGGGAATCTCCTGGCTGTCAGCTGTGGCGATGGCAAAGTGACCCTCTGGAAAGAAAACCTTAAAGGCGTTTGGGAGTGTGTCAGTGACATGAATAGTTGAGGAGCATGTATACCTAGGGACTACTGGATAATCTCACATAATGTTACGGTCCTACCACGGTTGTAAGTACTGTAACTGGTCCTGCATGTTCAGAGGTGTGAGGTGACCCCTGTCCCAATTTGGCTCAGCCATCATTCACAAATTTTGGTTGTGGACAATCCCGATCACTTTCCCTCTCAGATCCTATCGTTCATTGCAATGGAGGATATCGAGGATGAACCACGGGTCAAGCGTTTCAGGGTGAGAGCTTGTCCATACAACATCTATCTTGGCCCGTTGACCCAACGATTCGTTTTCCACAGCATCAATCCTATGCACAAAGTCTCAAGCAAGTACACCTGCCGTCGACTCTCAGCCAGACGCCCGTCGTAGACGATCTCGCAGACAATGAATCCCATTTCTACGCTGGGATTGAGCATTGGAAGCAGCTCAATCTCGCTCCAGCCTTCATAAACTTTGCGGGGAAAGCGGGCGGGCTGGCAGCGTCCATGCCCTTACTGGTACTCAATTGGCGGGAGGTGGTCGATCTTTGGGTCGACGTTCTCGGGGAAGCGGATGATGAAGCTCTGAGGGCTCTTCTCGAGTGTGTCTCCTTCCTGCAGAAAGTTTTTGTCCCCTGATTTATCTCGTCTTCATTAAGTCTGCTGCAAAAGCTGGCCCACGATCTTCGGACGACACTGTCCCCGGTGTATATGGACACGATCCTTCCGCGGCTGCTAAATCTATTAACGCGTGCAAAACATATCTCAGCTTCGGCGCTCACTGCGCTGCTTGCTGCACTCGCTGCGGTGTTCAGGTTCCTCTTGGTTCCTAACTGTGTCGAGCCCTATATGTCGTCGTTCTCCTCCTCTTCATCTCAAACTCAACTCCAGAGCTATCCGCTTCTGGAAGAAACGCACTCTCGGCTTGTAGAAACGATTCCAAACTGTCTGCCAGAAGTGCGTCGAGCTCTGGCTGAGGTGTGGGGTGGTGTTTTGCGAAGATTGCGCGCAGGCGCTCGGGAAAGCGCTGTGACGCTTCTGGTCTCCGGAGAAAACGAGGGAGATGGTGTTCAGGATGCGGTTGCTTGGTCAATCGTATACGCATGCGAAGTACGCATGGTTCAGTTTTCACTCTGGGCACGACTGACGGCAACAATTCTAGTCCGTTTCGCAAACCCTCCACACGTCCTCTCCATCCATCATTCAGGTTCTAGTGGATTACTATGTGTCCTGTGCCGCTGAAAACGCCCCAAAAACATACACACTTTCGCGTCGTGTGTTGACTGCGCTCATCCACCATGTTCGGGGCGCGGATCAGTTTTCGCCAATCTTGAACGTCCTGTCAGCGACGTTCACATCGACCAAGGACGACAGCAAAGACAGCGTTGTACGCATACTTGAACTGACCAGCATCCCGGCGTCTGTAAGGAATGGTGGGAGGATGACGCGTGAGTTCACAGCTGGTTGTGCTTCAAATCTTATAATGAAACCAGAAAAATTCGCTACGGGACTGCTGACTGCTCTGCCGGCTGTACAAGACCGGCTTCTAACGAGCGACACCCATGCTGTATTTCTGAAGCTGACCGCTGCGTTGCTGATCTCGAGTCCAGAGGCCAATACATCGTTCTGGATGGGCAAAGGACGGGAGGTCTTCGATGGACTGTGGAATTCGTCAACACATGTCTCCTTTGCAATATCGCTCACGGGTGTGCTCGCTGAATCCGGATGGGCAGGATGGCGAGCCATCGGTCTTCCTATCGTGCTGCGTATCTCTGCGAAAGTTCTGTCCTATTCAGACGAGGAGAGTGGCACCTTGAAGACGGACGTCGCCGCGCTATTGGCCGAGCTCTGGCGCACAAAGAAGATCACTCCAAGCGATGGAGACGTCGTCTGGAAGAAAACAGTGCAGAAATGGGGCGTTGAACGGTTGGGTGAACTTCATTCAGGTCTGAATTGGGTCGAGGCTTCCGAATTTGGAGACATTCTTGCCCTCTCCTCGGTGTTTTCTGACATCTCAGAAACGTTAATTCGTGCATCCGATGTCAGTCTGACAGGCAACGCAGCTCCTGACGCTTGGATCCTCGGCAGATGCTTGGGGCTGCTATCGCAGAGACCGGTGTCGGAATGGCAAAATCTTGTTCCACTCGAGCAATGGGTCTCAAAATGTCTCGTTCTGGGCAGCGTCTGGTCCAAATCTGCAGAGATTCTGGAAGCCCTGGCTGCATTGATCGCTGCCAAGTAAGTGATTTACTACTCACCTCATATTACCTCATCTTAACTTTTCCAGATCTTCAGTTCAGATTGGTATCAAGGAAATTTACCCAGCCGTTGCCCCGTCCTTGATCTCGCACTCTCGTTCTTTGCGTCTTGCGGCGTTGCATCTATTAGTGGTCACGTCTCCCTCCGAAGCGCGTGAAGTCGCTCAACGGTGTCTGGCGGGCGAACAAGTAGAGTTGGATGTGGCTGGCGTGCGCGAGCGTGTGCTCCGGATCGGCCGAGTGGAGAGCATCGTCAAAGATAAACAGCAGGAGGGCGATATCGCACCGGAAATGGCTGTCCGATGGCTTGTCGGTTAGTCTGACACGCTCTTCCAGTTATCTATTTTGATCTCACCGAGTCGATCCCAGCTCAGTTGAAAGTGAATCTGCGGCCCCTGTGGTCACCTGCGGCTAGTGCTCTCGTGCAGATGGCTGAACGCTTTGGGAACGAAGTGTGGTCCATTGTGTTTGCTGAGCTGTCAGGCTTGCACGGGGATCGGGAGGAAGAAGACTCTGAAGCGATCAAGGAGCACGACGAGACCTCCGAGAATGATGACTGGGAAGAGGAACGTACCTGGCGCGATCCGAGTGCACATAAGCTGAGAGGGATCACAAGCAAGTGGCTCCAGGCTCGACATCAGATTAACCAGGCATGTCGCTCACCCAGCATTTTTGTCGCCGCTGATTTTGCTTAGGAAACCATGGAGCGATTCGACAAACAATCTTACGAAGCGCAACTGCTGTCTTGCCTGGGCGACTGTGCATCGCTGGTGCAGAAACACAATCGGGATCTCATTCCGCTATTCCTTTCGCTCTCGCTTTCCAAGTCCAAGCTCTCGTCTTGGCTCACTCTGTTCTCGAAGTTGCCTAATCCGAAAGCTCTGCACGGCACAGAAACGTTACACGCACTGTACCTCGATACATTGTCGCACGCCGATCGCTCGCTGCAATCGCTCGCGCTCTCCTGTATTCTGACGTACAAGCCACCTCGCCTCGGTGCGCATGAAGAGGTTCTGCGGGCGTTACTGGATGACACGAGATGGCGGGAGCAGCTCAGTCAGCTTGAGCTCGCCCAGATGGAGCCTCAAGACAGAGAGGCGTTTATGCCTATCCTCATCCGTCTCCTGTTTGGCCTGATGTTGGAGCGTCGATCTCGAGGGAAAGGTGCTGATCGCCGAGCAGCGGTGCTGGGCACTCTTTCGGGATGCACTTCAGACGAACTGGGATTGCTGGTGGATCTGATGCTCAAATCTCTCAAAGCAGACCGTTCCAGTGGCCGGGATGAGCCGCTTCAACTGTCAGAAGATGTGTCGGATAAACAGCAGATTGGCTTTATCCAGCTGCTGGGCGATGTTCTCAAACACCTGGGATCTCGACTGGTGGAGTATTGGCCTGCTCTCTTGGGGACGACCATCGACATGATCTCAAAAGCGCAGAAGCGGATTACGGCTGGGGCTGGGCGCACTGAACCGATCGAGGACGAGGACGAAGTCGTCGAGCTCGAAGGTGGTGACATCGAGGACAATGTGCACGTCTCCAAAGTGACCCGCACGATCAGACAACACGGTCTCAAACGCTTGGCTGAGTTCTTCCTCTGTCCATCTGCGTTCGAGTTCCAGACGTACATGCCCATCTGTTTCAATGGTTTCATCTCACCGCGACTGGAATCACTCGATCGGGAAAGTACGCAGTCGCCTTCGTCGTTACTGGAGCTGTTCTACGTGTGGTCTGGAGACGAGCGATATGTCTCGTTCTTGATCGGGTACGACGAGAGAGTGCTGCCCAAGATCTACGACTGTCTGATCGCGCCGGCTGTGAAACCCGCTGTGCTATCCAAGATCTTCGACATTGTCGAAAACATCCTGCGTCATCCGGATATCTTGACACAGCATGTCTCATTGTTGCTAAGAAATCTCGCCGTCCTCGTTGAACGGACCAAAGGCACCGCAGCTGTGTCGTCGCTCCTTGCCCAGAGGCAGATCACCATCCTCTCGCAGATTGCCGCGTACTGCACCGACGCTGACCAGGCTACGACGCTCGTATCGCTATTCGTGCCGCTCCTCCGAAAACCGCCGAAACTCGTGTCAGAGAAAGTCAAGGCGGAACTGCTTGTCATCACATCCGCCGTGATCCCTCTACTCGCCGACCAGAGCCTACTTTGGCTGAGCAACTCGCGCAGCTCTTCCAATCACTCAGATCGCGTGCCTCCCGTGTCGCTCTCGTTACAGCGTACAATTCTCTTGCGCGGATCCATCCCAGTCTGATCCGGGTCGCCGGCCTTCTCGAGTCTCTAAATGCATATTCGACACGGCGTATCGATGAGCCTGACTTTGACAAGCGGCTGTCGGCGTTTTCTAGATTGAACGAAAGCCTGTATTCCGAGCTGAGGACGGACGAGTGGCTGCCCGTTCTGTATCACATGCTCAGTGCGATCCAGGACTCCGAAGAACTTGCCATCCGAACCAATTCGTCTTTTGCCCTCCGGCAATTTGTTGATCTCGCCGCTGGAGGCAAAGCAGACTTCATGGGTATGTTCAACAAGGTGCTGTACTCTGGCCTCAAGAACGGCCTGCATTCGAAGCACGAGCTGGTGAGGTCGGAGCTGCTCGTCGTTCTCGCTTACGCGGTTACCAAATGCGAGTCGCTGGAAGAGCTGAAACCGCTGCTGGCCAATGGTGATGAAGAAGCCAACTTCTTCAACAACATCCACCACATCCAAATCCACCGTCGCTCTCGAGCGCTCCGCCGGCTCGCGGAGCAGTGTGACCAATTCCAGCTGCGAAGCTCGACGATCGCAGACGTTCTCATCCCGCTGGTCGCCCACTATCTCGCTGTTGGGGTCGACCATCATCTCGTGACCGATGCGATCACTGCCACAGGCAAGCTGGCCGGACAGCTCGTGTGGGCGCCGTACTATTCTCTGGTGCAGAAGTATCTCCGACTGAGCGCGGCGAGAGACGAGTCGGAGAGAATCTATGTTCGCACGCTCGTCGCGCTGTTGGACAACTTCCATTTTGTGATGGACGATGTTATCGTCGAGGAGGACGAGGATGAAGACGAGGGCAAGTCAAAGGAGAAGGAGAAGGTTGCTCGGATCGCCGACGCGGTGAACGTCCGGCTCCTGCCGAAACTCCTCAATCACCTCGAAAAGTACGACGCTAAAACTGACGACAACAACCGCATTCCGATCGCCGTCGGAATCATCAAAGTCGCACTGCATCTCCCAACCACAACACGAGAACCACAGATCACTCGCTTGCTCACTGTGCTCAGCCAGATCCTTCGCAGCAAGTCGCAGGAGACACGTGATCTGACCCGGGACACCCTCGCCAAGATCGCCGTCACTCTGGGACCTAAATGGCTGGGAGTGATGTTCAAGGAGCTGAGAGGTGCATTACTCAGAGGACCGCAATTGCACGTACTTGCATATGTCGTGCACTCTGTCCTCGTGCATGTGACCTCCAGCGATGACTTCGATGGGACCTTGGATGAATGCGTCAACGACGTGGCCTATGTTTCTGCCGAGGTTGTGTTCGGGGAATCCGGCAAGGACGTGATGGCTGAAGAATTCAAGACCAAGATGCGAGAGGTCAGGTCTTCTTCGGCCAAAGGTCTCGACTCGTTTGGAATCACCGCCAAATACGTCAGCCCGTCGAGGATCAGCAGTCTGCTGGTCCCGCTGCGTGCGATCATGCACGAGACCGGATCTGCCAAGGTCATGGGCCTTGTGGATGAAGTCCTCAAGCGCGTAACGAGCGGTCTCAACGCCAATCGCTTACTCGGCGAGGGCGACCTGCTCGTGTTGTGCCATACACTCATCAGTCAGAATGCCAAGTTCCTCCAGGAAACTCCCATCAAGAGCAAACCAAAAGGCAAGGGCAAGGGCAAGGGCAAAGAGGAGGACTATGTTGTTCAGGTGAAGAGAATAATCGCACAAGAGTCGGATCATTATGCAGTTAATTCGTACCGGTGAGTTCCCATTTTCGTTGACTTTCACTCGAATTCTCATTCCTTCCATTCAGTTTCGTGACGTTCGGACTTGACCTGATTGCTACTGCCATGCGCCGTTCCAAATTCACCTCGTCAGACCCAGAAGTCACGCGCCGGCTCGAATCAATGTTTGTACCGATCGGGAACACACTGTACTCGACGTCTTCACCGGTGCTCGAGCTCGGTCTCAAGGCTGCCGCCGGGTTGTTTAAATACGCGTTCCTGAAGAATCTCGAGAAGAGCGCTCCAGTATTTGTGTCACAGGCGCTTGCTATCATCAAGGCGTCAGGCAACACCGAGTCCTCTCTCGTTCAAACTGCATTCAAGTCGCTAGCTGTGATGCTGCGGGATGGGCCAGCCTCAGTCTCCGTCAGCGAACGCGATCTCATCTTCCTGCTCGACATCCTCACGCCGGATCTCGAGGAACCCGCGCGCCAGCAGTCCTGCTTCGCGATCCTCAAGGCCGTCGTCGCGCGCAAGCTGGTGGTGCCAGAAATCTACGTCGTCATGGACAAAGTCGCCGAGATCAGTGTGACCAGTCAGTCCGGGCCGGTCCAGGAGCTGTGCCGCAGTGTGTTGCTGCAGTTTTTGCTTGAATATCCGCAAGGCAAAGGCCGGCTGCGCAACCAGATGTCGTTCCTGGCGAAGAATCTGGCCTATGAATACGAGAGCGGGCGGAAGTCTGTGTTGGAGCTGCTCGGTGCGGTGCTGAGCAAGTTTGAGGCGGGGCTTGTTGCCGAATACTCGGATCTGCTGTTCGTCGCACTCGTCATGGTGCTGGCGAATGACGACTCGGCCAAGTGCAGGGAAATGGCGGCGGCTCTAATCAAGACGCTCTTCACAAGGCTCAAAGACGATCGGCGCCAAGCGTTATTGGCCAATGTGCATTCGTGGATTGCTGTTGGAGAGAAACAGAAGCAGCTGGGCAGGGTTGCCGTTCAAGTGTACGGTCTAGTGATCGATGTGCTCGAGGCAGGCGCCGAGCCATATCTGGATGGGGTATTGGAAGACGCTGGGCTCGCGCTGCAGACAAGTGCCGAAGACGAGGAGGAAATCGACGCCGACGAGGCGGACCAAATGGATGTCGACCATGATTGGCAGACACCGTACCACTCTTTACTCCTGCTCGCCAAGATCCTGCGGGTCTTCCCTGTCCGCACGAAACAAGCCCCGTGGGAGATTATCACCTCGCATTTACTTTTCCCTCACTCGTGGGTGCGTCTCGCTGCCTGTCGGCTGTTGGGGACGCTGTTCACTACCGTCCCGTCTGGTCCACCCGGCTCGTTCTCTCCCGATTTGGGTCTTTCCGAGATGTTCACCACAGCTGGACTGAAAGAGCTCGCCGGAAAACTCAGTACACAGTTGAAGAGTGAGCATCTCGATGAGAACCTTGGCTTGCAGGTGGTCAAGAACCTGTTCTGGATCGGGCGTTGTTTCTGTGCTGAACCCAGCGAAGGCGGAGAAGACGAGGACAAGAACCCTCTTCCGTGGCTGTTTTCCAAACTATCGTATCAAATCCGCTCCTCGCATATCGCCAGACGGAGTCGGGCTGGTGCCAAGGTACGTTACCACCGTCTGCCTACATCTGGTCTGATCCAATCTTATCACCAGCCATCATGGTCTCAACAACCCTCGCAATACTGCGCTGGTTTGCTGCGATGGCTTCTCACATGCCAGCCTCCCAACTGGAGCTTTTCCTTGTCCACATCCTCACTCCCGTGTACCGGCTGACGGAAGATGACACAATCCGCGATCCCCAGATGGGTAGGCCTTCTTTCCTCGTTCCCTTCGACTGAGCGCTAGAATTGACACATCTGCAGAGGAACTGAAGACGCTGTGCATTGAGCTCCAAGACTTGATTCAGTCCAAGATCCCGCCGCCCAAGTTCTCCGCAGTCTACAACCAGATCCGCCAAGGCGTCCTCGGTGTGCAGCGAGAGAGGAAGGCGAGCAGAGCGGTCAAAGCCACTGTTGATCCCGAGGCTGCAGCGAGGAGAAAGATTCAGCGGAATAGCGGAAAGAAGGAGAGTCGTAAGCGCAAGAGTGCTGCTAGTGCAGAGGGCAAGCCAAAGAAGAGACGAGTGGAGTAGACCGATGTTTACAGTATCTTTATTATTCCGTTTCGTTGTCTCTACCTGAAGATGGGTTTCAGAATGTCGAGGCTTGCAAACTCTATGAGAGTGTCACCCACTAACGCTCGCAGCAAGCACTGTATGGTGAGAGCACGTGCGCTGATGATTGTTCGCCACGGCCGACAATTCTTATCTTATCGCCTCCTCTCAAGAATATCGACACAGCCACTTCCGCATCGTTGCCCTCCCTTCCACACACATGTCCGAGAAGCTCTCAGGCAGCCCCAAGCCCATCCCGGAGAACGCTTCCTATGTTCTCGTGGTCCACGGCGGTGCGGGCACGATGTCCCGGAAGGGATCCACGCCCGAACAACGCGCCGCGTACAAGGCTGGTGTCCGAACGGCGTTAGAAGCGGGTTATCGGGTTTTGCGCCAGGGCGGTGCGCGTTGGCGGCACCGATTCTCATTCCGTGATTTACACGTCGTCAGGCGAGGCGATGGACGCGGTCGTCGCGGCAGTCTCTACACTCGAAGGTGAGAGTGAGATCATCTATCTATGTGCACAGTGGTTTTATGCTGTCCTTCAGACAATCCGCTCTTCAATGCTGGTGGGTGACAATAACTTTCATTGGCTTCCGAAAGCCGGTCTCTCACCTACATCACGTCTAGGGAAGGGTGCTGTGTTCAACACTGCAGGCAAGGTGTGATGCCAGTTGCGTTCCGGATTTCCTATGCTCACAGACGGATTTAGAACGAATTGGAAGCATCGTTAATGCTCTCCAAATCTCCCGCATCCCACCCCGAGATATCAGCGTCCAGAAGGGGCGTCGGAATGACGCTTCTGTCGCATGTTCGCAATCCTAGCAAACTAGCACGCGCGCTGTACCTCGCGCCTGACCAATTTCCGCACCCTTTCATCTCAGGCGCGACGGCCGAATCATTAGCCGCGTCGTTAGGCGAGGAGCTCGTGGACGAATCATACTTTTACACGAAAAAGCGGTGGATCGAGCACAGACGGGATCTGGGGCTGCCGGACGGGCCGTTTCCATACGAAGAAGCGGAGGACGAGGAGATGAACGAGAAGATGCCGTTACTCGATCTGCTTCCGACCGGTACAGTCGGCGCCGTGGCTTTGGACATTCGGGGATGCATCGCTGCGCTGACATCTACTGGCGGCCGCACGAACAAGCTCGTCGGCCGAATCGGGGACACGCCTCACATGGGGTCAGGATTTTGGGCCGAGGAATGGCCAGCGGCACATGGCTGGGTGCAGAAAACGTGGAGCAAGCTATGGGGTCTACCAGAGAGTCATGCTGTCGGCGTTTCTGGCACAGGCGATGGGGATGTGAGTCCTTGCCTCTCTCTCTCTCGTTGTGTCCTGTTGACGAGTTTCAAGTACTTCATCCGCTGTGCCACGGCTGCTACCATCGCACACCGCATCAAATTCCTCGGCGAGCCGTTGGAGAAAGCAGCGACTCATGCAGTCGAAGAACTGCGGCACCATGGCGGAATTGGAGGGGTGATTGCTCTAGACAGTCTCGGGAACGTGGCTATGCCACTGAACTGTCCCGGGATGTATCGCGGGGTCATCCGAGAAGACGGAGTGCCTCTCACAGCCATCTTCGACGACGATGTACTGGAGTGAATGTCCTTTCCGACAATAAGTATTAGGCGGAAAAATAAGACACTGGTCGTCACTAAGATGAAGGATGAGATAACTCGTCCACTCTCTGCAACAGCTTGTCGACCCTCCCTTCCAGACCAGTCACATTACCTTGAACAACGCCTCGATTATCTTCCAGACTCTTCTCGATAGTTTTCAAAGCGTTGTCCAGTTCACCCAAAGTTTCTCGCATCTTCCGTTGATCCTCTTCCAAACCATCTAAGGTGCTCTGAAATTGACTTGCCGAAGTGTGCAGTGCAGACAAAGTCCGTAGCCTCGTCAATATATGCGGGATATGGGGAAGCGACGGCCCAAGACGAGCAAGCAGCGGCAGGATCTGTTCCTGAATCTGGGGAGCTGGAGGTGCACCGTTCGATTGTGAAGGGTGACGACGGTGCGCGTGTTGAGAGGCAGACGCGCGATCCAGGTCTGAGAGTAGGAGCTTCAGTCGCCGAGATATCGCATCGATATGTCGTGGTTGCGTCAAGAGAGTGAGCTGAGAATTTATACGCGTGATGAGGGGCAACAAAGGTGGCGGAAGAGGCGTGGTCTGCGCAGTTTCATAAGCGAGACTATGTGTGTACACTGACAAGGACGCACCTCATCCAGTGCGGCAGTTGACGTCCCAATCAGTTTCTCTAGGTCTCCTACTCGCCGATCCATTTCGACGATACTACGGACGTTGGGCTTGCCTGGCTCCTCGTTGGCAACGGTGACTGCAGAGGTGTTCTTGTCACCACCAGAGTCGCCTTTAGTTTCTTCTTCCCCATTCAGAATGACACCAACAAGTTTACCCCGACCCTCCTTGTTCTTCCGTATCTTGTCTAATCGACCGCGCACGTCGACCAGACCACGAATCAGTTCGCCCGCGTCAACAGTTTCGGCTTCTTGATCCTTTGTAAGTAGGGGATTGGTAGGGTCAGCGAGCTCCGTCTCCAGTGCAGACAACTCGGCTTGCAACGCGCGTAGTCGTTCAGGCAAAGGAACGGATCGCGGCTTGGTGGTATCAGAGGGTCCTGTAGACTCCGTTGGTGATGGAGGATATGCGTAGTAAGTCCGAGGCTCTTTTTGGATGTCAGAAACACGTCGGAGGATTCCATGCATGCGTACCTCGTCGTCGCTCGGCCTTTCTAAACTTTTTGCTCGCTTCATCGTGTTGCATGAGATTGGACATGTCGAGTTCGTCTTTGGACGCAGCGGCTTCGGCACTGCGGGTCCCTCTTATTGTCGAGCGCGTGTTCCCCGCTTCATCGTCACTGCCAGCATCGGCTTTCTAGTCATGTAATGAGTGTTGGAATAGACAGAGACCCGGTGTGCATGCTACATTTGTCGCAGAGGGTACCGTGTCTTCGGTTTCATAGACATCCTGAGCAGTATCCTGGAATCACCGTCAACCTCAGTTCGTACAAGCAAGAAAGACACTTCACGATGTCTGGAAGATTGGAGTATTTCGCGGCGCTCATGATGGGTATAAACTGAGAATGATTTGATGTGGCTGCGCTGCGGCTCGTCACTACACAGTGCTGCGACCATGGTCCTCGTTCTCATTATTGGCGACCTTCACATCCCTCACCGCATACACGACCTTCCTGCGAAATTCAAGAAGCTGCTTGTTCCCGGCAAAATACAGCAGATTCTGTGCACCGGAAATGTCTGTGACAAGGAGACATACGAGTATCTGCGCACTATAGCGCCAGATGTGAATGTCGTGAAGGGCGATTACGACGAGGCGAGAGCTCTTGGTGCTCATTCCAGTCCCAAATTCTAACACTGTGATCTTGGCAGAGTTCCGCCTTTCCATCGTCAATTACGGTTGTGCACGCTCCGATCAAAATTGGTCTCATCCACGGTCACCAGAGCGTCCCCGTGGGCGACTTGGACTCCCTTTCCGCTATATCTCGTCAGATGGATGTGGACGTGCTCATATCCGGACACACCCACACGTAGGTGGCCCCGACGCGTCAACTGTGCTGTCCACCTGACGCGTTGATTCCTTCCAGATTCCAAGCCCGTGAGCACGATAACAAGTTCTTCGTCAATCCGGGTTCCGCGACGGGTGCTTGGACGGGTTCTTTCAATGGGTGGGGTCATGTTCTTTGCTTGATGTTATAGTGTTGACGAGGAGTAGGGACCCGACTCCTTCCTTCGCGTTGATGGATATCCAAGGCCCTGTCCTGGTGACATACGTGTATCAGCTGATAGAGGGTGAAGTTCGAGTAGAGAAGATCGAGTGGAGAAAAGAAGACGACTCTCTGCCTTCCTCGAGATCAGCACCACAACCGATCTCGAGCCCTACGCTGGGTAGCCCCCAGGCCAGTTCAGCATGGTAGAATTTTACACGATGCAGTGAGTGCTTCCAACAACGAACAGACCAATTAAGCTGATTGGAATTTCCAGGACCGCGGCGGGCACTGCTCATGCACGAATCTGCTGTGATTCGCCGTGGCTTATGTCCCACTTCGGTGCCGCTAGCTCCTTTGAGGACTAAGTACGCTGTTCCTGAACAAAGATGTACTGTGTACTGTAAGTAATCCTAATCGTATCCGACCACATCGACTGTTTTGCGGCCGGAGGCGAAGTTGGAGAGCTAATGTGGGCTCACGTAAAAGTGCTTACTGCGAGAGGTACGAGGAAGACCTGAGCAAGAATTGGGAAGGCAACAGCGGACCCGATTCGTGGCGCATCTAATCAGCCATGGAATGGACAATGCGGAATCGGACAGACGATCCCGGAGCCACGGGGGTGACGTTTCGAATCTTCGGAGAAGCGCGACGGCCGAAAGCGTGGATGAACGCAAATCATACTTTCCGGTGCAGAAAGCCGTCTTGTATGAACGGAAATGAAGGCTGCGGACGGACAGCTGAGGAGTTTTCGCCGGTGTGTGTCTAGTTTGGCTTGCCGGCAGCTCGGATGGTGGTGTGCAGTAGGACGTAGCCGCTTCCCCGAATGGCTTACATAAGGCGCAAGCATGTGAATAACGTGTCTGACGACTCGGACGATGGCCGCCGCTCAATGACTTGGTCTGGGGTTCAGCGTAGCACCCATCAACATCTCGGCAGCCACGCTGGTCGGAAGCCGGAGGCGAACAAGAGCTTTGATGACTGGAAGAAACAAACATATCGACATGTAAGGGCCTGGATTTTGCAGAGGTCTCTGCCAGTGGTCTATTCTTCGCAGATCAGATCCTGGGCACATCCGGTGTGATGCCCCACGCTACCCCGCATTTGGCCCCACATCTGCAGGCATCATTTCTGCGGACCAAGGTTGAAATTGCATAGACCGGCTAGAAAACACAAGCTTGTGCACCGAGTCTCGTGGTCCGTTCTGCATGTACAAGAACTGTCATGTTACCTCATCTTAGTCTTCTGTCTTCGGATCCATCACTGCAAAAGACCTCACGGTAACCATATGCGGTAGCCTTCATCGTTCTCGTGGGACCTTCCACGCGGTGGTCGATCTGTCCATAATACAGTCAGAAGATGAATTTTTCTGTTGGCTTCCTCCTCTGCCTCCGCCGGTCTCTGCGCCATGGCTCAAACGCGTCGCAACGCGTCCGTCGACAGTGTTGCAGGGCTGACAAGTGCGCCCGACCCCTGCGAGCGCCCTTCTTGTACTGACCGCGTCCCACCTCTGTTCCCCCCATGTAGCACATGCCCCAAACCCAGCTGGCTCGCGTTTCACCGAAGGCTCTCTGGTTCCATCCCCAGATGCAGCACCGGCAGGTCAAGCCGCCGCCCCAGCCGCAGCGACAACCAAAACTCCTTGGTGGAAGACCCGTAGGTTCATAATATCCCAGCTGATCATCATTCCCTTGGGGATCATTCTGCTGTTTATCTTGTTGTTCCCCGTCGTTCGCGCCATCGTCCAGCTGGTCGTCAACCGTAGCACCTTGAACATCGGCGTTGCTACTATCTCGGCGCCCACCAACACCTCGTATGGTTTTCTTCGAGTCCACGCGTTTGAACCGTGTCAACTGACTGTTCGTGTGCAGCTTCAACTTGGCTCTGCAGGGCACCGTCTCTCATACCGGTGTCATCTCAGCTTCCATAGCATTCACTCAGCCAGTGAATGTCTCTTGGGTCCCGGCCAATGGGTCTCACATCCCACTCGGTTACGTCGCGCTCGACACCATCCACGCGCAACACAAACGCGCGACCATTTCCCAGAGCGCGACCCCGTTCACGATCACAGACGAGGCTGCGTTCGGGGAGTTTTCCCAGCACTTGATCACAGACCAGAACTTCACATGGCTGCTGTCCAGCTCCAATCTGCGCGTTCAGGCGCTCAAGTTCCCTGTGGCGAAAGGTCAGAATAGGACCCGATGCCCTTGACACACATTCTGATCTTCATGCGCATTCAAGGCATCAAGTTCAACAAGGCTATCACGCTTAATGGTTTGCGTGCTTCCCCGGGAAGGGATCTGTAATTGGCTGACCTATCAATAGGACTGCAGAGCTTCTCTGGGAATGTCGCTTTGGAAAGCTTCCAACTTCCTAGCGACAACCCGGCCGGGGGGATCAATTTTGTTGCAGGGACCAACTTGACGAATCAGAGGTCTGTGAGAAGGTCGCATGGAAGTCCGCGGACTTTGACTTTTGTCTTCCAGTCCATTCTCGCTTGACTTGGGGACGACTGTGTTCGAATTGAGCTATCAGAACGTTCCGCTTGGCGTCGGCACAAGCGCAAATACAGTGATCGTGCGTGGGTATAGTTGCGGCTGTTGAACGGATGCTCACGTCTCGCAAGAAACCCGGATCAAACACGATCACGCTCTTGGGTGCTCTGCAAAGTCACACGAACGCTGACGACCTCAGTAAGCATTTTGTTTACGGCAGCGATGATTATTCTGCAATGCTCACCTTTGTCGAGGTGTCGTGTCCGGTCTGTTCACGAGGTATCTGAACAATGAGATATCGAATGTCACCGCGACGGGCGTCTCGACTCTGCAAAGCGACAACTCGACGATTTCCTGGCTGAGTGTAGGATTGCAGGCGCTGAAACTGACGGTCCCTCTCGTGTCACCGACGCCCATCGTGCCAATCAATTCCATTGCGATCGGCAATTTTGATCTGGCCTTCGACTCGTCGAACCCTTGGGGACCCGTCGCCCAGAGCAACAGCATCACGGCTGGACTGAGTATGATCGGTTGTGTTTAATGAGAAGGGTGTTGACATGTCTGCAGTGTTGCCGTTCGGATTCAATGTCGAGATCGGACAGATTTCGAACAAGTTCAACATCAGCATGGAGGATGGCAGTCCGGCAGCTGGGATCTCTACTGTGAGCGTTCGCCGAGCCTTGATGCAAATTACGCATACTCATCGTTGTCCGTTTCAGCCTCTGGGGGCATCGACGTCGCAGATCAGTGTGTACGGGCCCACTAATACGACCGGGTCTGTAGACATCGTCATCAGCAACACGACACTCGCCTGCCCTGATCCCCAGCATCAGACATTCTCGATGTTCAACTTGAACCTGACAAACGAGAAATCGACCAATTTCCGCATCATTGGGTCTTCAAGGGCAGTGGCTTCGCTGGCTATAGGCAACCTGACCCTGGACCCGATCAACGTCAATGTGTCCACGTCCTTGAATGGATTGCAGGGCTTGAAGGGGATGGTCACCATCGATTCAGTCGATGTCGTTGGCGGCACCAAAGATGGGATTTCCTTGTCGATCGTTGGTTTGTGGACGGACTGCTCAGCTGTGGTGCGCGTCCGCTGATATGTGCCTGCAGTTTCGATCTTCAACCCATCGAACCTGAAGCTCGCTCTGGGAGACATAAGTGAGCGGTTTCAACAGACGTTGCGAGACGCCACTGACCACAAAACAAGCGCTCGAGCTCTTGAGAGACGGTGTGAGCCTGGGGACGACGGTGATGTCTAATCTTGTGCTCAATATGGGCAACAACACGGTGCACACCAACTCGACGTTCCAAGCGAACAACAGTCCTCAGGGCACTGCCACACTGAACGAGTTTTTGAACGGCACCGATGTTGCACTGAGTATCGGGGGCTTCAAGGACACCACAGACATCATGCCGTTGGCGCCGGCTCTGGAGTCGCTCAGCATCGACGTGACACTCCCGGCGCAAACGACCAAGCTGCTCAACGCGGCGTCACTCGAAATCCTGCCGACCACGGGCAAGGCGAACAACATCAGCCACGTTACAGTGTCGTTTGTCAATCCGTTCAACTCGTCGGTCGTCTTCAACGGGGTCTCCTCGACCGTCTCTGCGTTTGGAATGATGCTGGGGAAGGTCAACAACTCGACCACCAAGTTCACCGGCCAGGGTAGGACGACGACGACGTCGCCGTTGTACGACCTGGACATGAACTTTGAGCCGGCGGTGCTGTTTTCGCTGACTCGACGGCTTGCTCTGGCTTCTAATATGGATGTGGGGCCGTTGGACAGCATCGTTGCGCTGGGCGGAATCCAGTATCTTGCATCGGCTGCGACCAGCAATGCCCCCATCAAGCGAGATCTCGAGATACGGGATTCCAACATCTTTTCGTGAGTAACCAGTCGCGTCATCCGTTATAGCATAGCTCAAATCGTCCAAGGGGTTTCAATCTGCCCAACTTCGTAGAGAACGCCTTCAAAGCATTGGTCGTGGACGTCGAGTTGGTGGCAGATGTCAACATTGGCGATTACGCGACTACGCTGACGTACACACAATCCGGCGTCCCAACCAAGACGGACCAGTCTCTCAACTTTATTCTGCCTATCCTCGCGCATCCCATCGTGCAGAAAGTTGTCACGGCCTCGGTTCTTGGGTTCGTCCTGTACCACGTGCTCATCACATCGCACATACTGACGGCGAATGTTAGCTTGCAAGACCTCTTGATCCAGAACCCTCAGCAGGATCAATTCAGTAAGCTTGGATCCCTTGAATGGGTTGCAAGGTCTCATCAACTACAGCAACACAACTGCGGGGGTCCATCTCCAATGCTGGTCCTTGTAGGTATTCCTGCGATGTCATGTTCGTTCTAATCACGCGAGCACAGTCAACGCTACGATTGCCTTCGGTGGCAGCGGTCTGGACGTGAACTGGAGTGGCCAGAAGATCGGGTCCATCACGATGGATGCGCTTCCCGTGGCGGCCGACACGGGCGCGTCCCTCGACAGGACGTCCACGTTCACCGTGGCGAATGTGGATCAGTTGACCGCGTTTACCAAGGTGACACTGATCGCATCATGCTTTGACAGTCGTTGACTGGATCGCTTTGCAGACTCTGCTCACGCAAAAGAGTTTCGACTGGACAATCTCTGGAGACAATTTGACTGGTGCGTTTTCCATGTTCTCTCTATCGATCTTACTAATCTCCGCTCCAGTCAGCGCCTTGGGTTCGAGTCTTGACCTGCTTCAGTCCCTTCAAAAACTAATGACACTGCAGGAATCGATGTGTCACCTATTTCCGCATCATATGCCGTGACACTCAAAGGCTAGTTGAACTCGAAGCCCAATGTGTACCTTCTCACCTTGTTATAGGATTCAACGGCCTTGCGGGCGGAGTCACGATCAAGTCGTTCGATCTGCCGAACAATGACCCCGCGGGTGGCATTCACCTGACGCTCGAGTCTACTGTCACGAATCCCTCGCAAGTCGGTATTGAACTGAGCTCTCTTGGCTTCAACGCTCTGGTCAACGGCACTCTTCTCGGACCGGTCTCTGCCGGCCCAGTCACGCTTGCCCCCGGCGGGACGTCGAATCTCTCGCTCGTCGGCCGTCTGATCCCGCAGACCTCGTCGCAAGGCCTAGCTGTTGTCTCCTCTGTATTCAACAATTTCATTCACGGCCAGAACAGCGATGTGATGGTTCAGGGTGCAAGTGCCGGTCCCAGCAGTGTCACGTGGCTCAACGAGGGCATTCAGGCGCTGCTCGTCGCGACGGTTCTGCCGAACCAGGGCCCCCTTCAGATCATCAAGAGCATTGACCTGAATCAGCTGACGCTGCTGTTCTCTCAGGACAATGCTTATGGGCCGTTGACGACGTCGACGTCGACCGACGCTGCGTTCACACTGCCGTTCGGATTCCCTGTCGATATCACCGCGCTGGAGCAGACGATCACGATCGGATACAAGGGGACTGGGTCTCTGGCGCAACTGGCTATTCCCAAGGGCTCTGTTTCGACAGATGTAGGCACGCGCGTTATTCATCTCGGCTTCTCCAAGTGGGTGGCTATCCCAGTCCTACACTACAGCGCTAACCTTTCTGCAGTGTTCCCTTCGCAGTCGCTGACAACGCACACTCGGCCTTTGATCAATTCGTCGCGGACACAACCGTCGGCACTTCTGAGACCCTGCAGTTGACTGGCTCGGCGAATGCCGACGCATCGACTGCGGTCGGTGTCGTGGCGCTATCGGACATCGCGTTTTCGGTGTCGTCTTCGATCCAGGGTCTGCAGGGTCTGAGCACGAAACCCGTGACCGTGGCGAATCTGGATGTGCACCAAGGTTTCCCCGATTTCCTGCTCATCAACGTTGATTCCGCATTGTTTGACCCAAGGTGTGTGATCTGCGCCCGATTCTCGATATATTTGTTCTGAGCTACTGCAGCAACTTGACTATCGGCACTGGGGATGTGTCGTTCTCGCTGGGTTTCCAGGGCCAGACAATTGGGTCTGCAGATATCGTGAGTGGGATTGAATTGTCTGCACATGAGCTTGTCACTGATATATTGGCCAGAGCAACCTTCTCATCCAGCCCGGAAACCACAGTTATCCGATTGCTGTGCACTACTCGCCGCAAGGAGCCAGCCAGCAGAGTGCCGGCCAGACGCTGCTGGAGAACTTCATCCAGGGCGTCAACTCGGACACGGTCATCTCCGGAACGACGGGGTCGACGCCCATCGCCTCTCTACAGCAGGCGCTTTCTGAGATCGTGCTCAAGCCGGTGACCATCCCCGCGCTGCACCAGACTCTGATCCAGTCGGCTTCTATCGAGTTCCCCACGGATATTGTGCAGACGGGGATCGCTGGTGCATCGTTCACGCTCGCGAATCCGTTCACTGCGAGCATCAACCTGCTTCAGGTCGGCGCCAGCGTGACGTTCGGCAACCTCACGCTCGGCACGATCAATGCCGATGTGTCGGCCAACCCGATCCACGCCGACGGCCACTCGTCCGTCACGTCGAGCACGCTCCCCATCAAGTTCAATCTGGACCCACTGGTGATCATCGAGTTGCTGGCGACCTTGGCGCAGCAGAACTCGGTCAACCTCGGTCCCCTGGTCCAGCTGTTCCAGATCGTGCTTTCGAATCCCGGTGCACAGACGACGGTCAACACCACCGTCGACCCGAACCCACCGACGTGTGTGAGTGGGCATCAGTTCGACGTGAACGGCGCGATTCTGGCCGACTTGAAGAATCTGCACGTCGATTTGGGCATCAACACGAATGTCAAACTGGATGAGTTTGCGACTCCGCTGGCGTTTGTGCAGAAGAACGTGCTGGCCAAGACGGATGACACGGCGCTGCGGTTGATCGGCGCTGTTGCTGGCCCCATTGCCCAGCATTTGGTGGATCAGAGTGTGCTTGCGTTCCAGACGGCTGATATTTCGTACGTGGATGTTGTCTTCACCTCCGTCTCGTTCGCTGACTGTCACAGAAACCTGTCTGACGATGGATTTGATCTCGCGCTGGAGGGTTCTCTAACGGGTATTGGTCCGCTGGACGCACTGATCGAGTTCCCCGAGCCGCTCAGCGTGACCTGGCAAAACTCAACAATGGCTCAGATCGCGCTCCCGTCTATCTGCGCCGCAGCTGACACTGGTGTTCCGAACTACTCAACCAAAGCCCGGCTGACGATCACGGACCTGAATATGTTCACCTCGTTTGCGACGTTCTTGCTGCACAACGAAGAGTTCACGTGGACGATCGAGACCCCGAGCTTGAGGTTGACGGCGCTGGGAACGGTCTTCGAGGGCGTGCATCTTAGCAAGGACCTCACGTTCAAGGCATTCAACGGCTTGCCCGGTGTCACCATCAGCAACTTCCAGCTCCCGAGCGACGACCCGGCCGGCGGAATTCACATCGAGACCGACTCGACCATTCCATCGCCTGCTCGTGAGTTGCGCGTACTTGTGTTGCCTGGATACGTTTCTGAATCCGACGAACAGAACTCGGGATCGATCTCGGCACTGTCGGCTTTACGTCGTTCTTCAATGGTGTCGAGGTTGGACGTGAGCACACCTTTTATAGTTTCAAGACAATCCACAGAGCCGCTGACTGTTTGCAGCGCTCTCTAGCTCGAACCTGACGCTGGCACCCATGTCCACGACGACGACGCATTTGAGCGGCCGTATCCTCCCACAGAGCGGATCCGATCTGGACACGATGGGCGTCTTGTTCAGCAACTTCCTGCGGGCCAGAACCAAACGCTGACTGTCCAGGGCGACTCCGTGCAGCCCACCGGCTCCAGCAGCCCCGTGACATGGCTGAGCGCCGCCTTTAAGACGCTGAAGCTGCAAGTGACGCTCCTGGACAGGTCTTCACCGTCATCCAGTCAATCGCGCTCGACGAGCTGGAGATCCAGCTGACTCAGCAGAGCGAGACGTTCGCGCCGCTGACGTCGTCCAAATACACTCTCGCACAGTACAAGAATCCGTTCGGATTCTCGCTGCAGGTCGTTGCGGCTGGACAAGACATCACAATCTCTGACCTGGGACTTCCCATCGCGACACTGTCGATCCCGATGATGCCGGCGTTGGGGGTGTTTCCACAGGCAATGTCGCGGACCTGGTCCTCACGTTCCAGGACATCCCGCTCGTGGCGGTGGACCAGTCCCTGTTTGAGCTGCTGTTTGCCACGGTCACGTTGCTGCCTGTGGGCACCTTTGCGCTGTCTGGATCGGCGAATGTGAGCGCGCAGACCCCATCGGGGCTGTCCCCATCAGCGGCATTCCGTTCAACGTCGATTCGGACCTGACCGGTGAGTGTGCTTGGGTGTTTTTCCTGTGGGACACTTTGATTCTGAATGGATGGGTTAGGTATCAACATGTTTGGCGGAACTGCGTCGTTGAGTAACGTGACGGTGTCTGGCAGCGGAGGGAACGGCGGCAACGAGTTTATTGTGGCTCCCTGCAGACCGGCCTGGAAAACCCGTCGAATGTGTCCCTCGACACAGTGGGCATTTCTCTGCCTGTGATCTACCAGGGCACAGCCATTGGGCGGGCGGCCATCAATGTGCGTCGCGCGTACTCTGAATGTTGTTGTCTCTGCGACTGACAACTACTCCTCCTGCAGGAATTCAACCTCGTTCCTGGCAACAACACATTTGCGACCGAGTTCCACTACGAGCCAGCCGACTCGAACGACACCGTTGCACAAGGCTTCTTGACATCCTTCATCCAAGGGAGCGGCCAGCTGCCGCTGACTGTCCAGGGCGATCTGAACAGCAGTCCATTTGCATCGCTGAACCCGACGCTCTCGAGCGTCACGCTTGAAACAGCGCTCCAAGGTTTGAACCAGCCGAACCTTATCACAGCAATCAACGTATCGATCACTCTCGACTCCTTGGTCACCAATATTGTCTCGATCGACTTTGATGTCAGTGCCTAGTGCATCTCGCTGCATCATATTTCTAAACGCAGACTTTCTAGATGCAAAACCCTCTAGACACGGATCTGATAGTGCAGTATGTGCAGTCCGACTCCGGGGTCAACGGCACGACCTACGCCTTCTTCTCGACTCCGATCCAGGGCTTCACTGTCCCTGCCCGCGGAACAGCCAATTCGGGCACAATTCAGAACGTTCTACTCACCCAGGGCGCGATCGCGGCCCTCAACATCATCCCGCTGCAGGTCCTCGACGTGTTTGCCGCGGCGACGGTGCAGGTCGGGGAGGGTGGCTATGTCATTCCCTGGCTGCAGCTCGTCCAGACGTCCGTTCCCACGACGTACAACCTCGATTTGACCGGGGCTGCACTCCAGGGCGCCGTCGTTCCATCTCAGCAGCTAGTGCTTCAGCGTCGGCGGCAGCTTCGTCGGCGGCGTTGGTATCGGCATCGGCATCGGCGTCGACATTGGCGTCGGCATCGGCGTTGGCCTCATCTTTGGCTTCGTCATTGGCGTCAGCATCGGCCGCTACATCTTCACCTTCAATTCACGTTTCTGCTGCCTCTTCCGTCGCCGTCATTCCTTCTGTCGCACCGTCCTCTATCACAGCGGAGGCAACCAAGTCAGCATCAGCGGCTCCCGTGATCACATCAGCGATCGCATCAGCTGCCAACACGCCAGCACCGGCACCAGTGCCTGCGCCTGCGCCTGTGACCTCCAGCCCGTTGCCAGTTGCGTCGTCAGCTGCAGCTCCGGCGCCGTCACCAAAGTCGGCCGATGTCGTGGCCCCCTCTTCGGCCGGAGTACCCCTAAATACCCCTTCTGCTGCAGCGAGCACTCCTTCCGTCTCCGCTTAAATTCTTGTAGTGTCTCACGGACCTAGCGGTTGTCGCATTGTTGTCGTTATCCTTATCATGAACTATGATTGTTGTTTCCATGTTATTATAAAGTACGGATAGTCTCAAGCTGGGGGCAGGAATGCTGCCCAGAGCAAGGTCGAGAGGCCACCCCAGATCACGCTCCAGGTGACCCAGGCTCGGCCCCAGCGGGGATGTTCAACAACAAGCCATGCGGCAGCCCAGTAAGTGATCGGCATCGACGCGGCTAGGCGCAGCACAATCTGAGTGTGCGATGCGAAGGCCAGAATCAGACACATAATCAGCCCGTGAATCGCATGCGGCGCAAGCGACGCCTGCGAGAACAACGACCTCGTTTTGCCCGAGAAGAGTGTGTGCAGACTGAACACGGAAATGGCGAGTAAAGGCGGCAGAGCGATGATCATGTTCGGAAGCTGTTCGAGAGTCCAGTAGCGCAGAAACCCGACGTTCCAGTACTTGTGCTGGACGTAGGAGTAGATCATAGGCACTCGTCGCGTACACCATTCAGCCGGTGGTGGAGCTGAGCAGAAGGCCGTGTATGCAGCGAGATTGTGGGTGATGAAGGGGATCAGCGGGAGAGCAGCCAGGGGGACGCATTTGAGGACCGAGAACCAGACGAGCTAGCGGACGGCGTGAATTGATGCTGGGGGAAAGCAGACAGGTGCAGTACCGATTTGTAGGTCAGAACGGGCGCGGCGACGAGGTCCCAGATGATGAACCCGCTCAGCAGGAACCCATTCGATCGGAAGCATGCCGCCAGTGTGAACAGCAGCGCAGCACCGAGGTACTGTGCCCGGGCACAGCACAGCATGCCTTTGTAGGACAGATACGTGACGAACGGCTCGGAGTACGGTGCGAGGAAGAGCGTCGTGGGGCTGCTCGGCAGCAGTGACAGCAAAGTAGCCAGCTTCGCCAGGGACGGCAGCCGCAGGTGGTGCAGCGACAGAGCGTACATCGTCGCCGACATGTCGTACGCCAGCACAAGCGAGACGATAGTCGGCGCGAGCACGGAGGTCGGGAGGATGGAGAGCATCACGGCTGGGCCGGGGAGGAACGCCCATTCGTGCTCGTAGACATATCCTTCGCGCGCGATATGCAGGAAATGCAGCGCGTCCCAGCGGAGGAGGGGATGAGACGAGGCCGCGTCGAATGAAGAGAACAGAGGCTTCAGAGAGAGGATTGCGGCTGGGAGCAGCCGGGACAGGAACGTCGCGCAAACGAGAGTTCGGTCCATGAGACGCGCCGTCACGCAGGTCGTGACGGACTTGTGCTGACTGCAAATTACTACCACCACCCTTTCGAAAAGCATCCCCGATGACGACAACGCGACCTATCGTATTCATGGACATCAACATTGGAGAGACGCCTGCCGGTCGGCTCAAGATGGAACTGTTTAGCGATGTCGTCCCCAAGTGAGAGATCTCTGTGGGCGTGCGGGGAGCATCTTAGACCTGATCAGTCGGTAGGACCGCGGAGAACTTCCGCCAACTGTGTACGGGGGAGTACCGGTTCGCCAGCATTCTTTGTACATGCTATCAAATCATAACCATATACACGATGTAGAGTGAATTCTCGTCCTCAAGGATACAAAAATGCAACCTTCCATCGGTGCGCGTCTTTCGACGGTTTTCCGTGTGCGTTCACCTGACCTTCTCGTGTAGAGTGTGCGTGTGTTATTGAAGCTCTGGCGCGCTGATCTCATGCCATCGTGCAGTGTGCCCAATTTCATGTGCCAGGGTTTGTTTCCAACTTTCTCCTTGCGCATCGGGCTCAGCATCTCCTAGGTGGCGACTTTCTGAAAGGCGACGGCACTGGAAGCTTTTCGATATACGGAGATAAGTTTCCCGTCCGTGCAGTCTCTCTTCCCTCGTAAATACGACCAATGTCATCACAGGATGAGGGTTTCTCAGAGAAGCACGTTGGTCCGGGACTGCTATCAATGGCGCGTCCACCGCTCATATCCGACTGCTTTGCCACTAATTATGCATGCAGGCCAATTCGGGACCCAACACCAATGGATGCCAGGTAGCGGTGTCCCTCCTTTGCTCGTACCTTCCACCCTAATAGCACGGCAGTTCTTCATCACCACCGCCAAGTGCGACTTTCTCGACGGGAAGCACGTCGTATTCGGCAAGGTGATTGACGGCATGCTTACCCTGCGGAAAATCGAGAACGTGCAGACGGGGCCCAACAACAGGCCGAAATTGGTGGTGAAGATCACTGGTACGTGCGATGCTTCACTTATGTACGTGCACTGAAGAATGACGACCAGAGTGTGGAGAGATGTAGTTCATTTGACTGCATTGTTGTACTACCACATCGAAGTCATGGGCCGAAAGTCACTCCAGGGATTTTGCGTCGAATCCTCCATTCGTGGCTGGTCCTTTGAGTGATGAGATCCACCGGCGCCAATCGCTCCGTTCATCACATCCGATTTCTCGTGATCGACGAGATTCACTGCCACAGGTCCCCTATGTATATTTCAGGGGGCTCGATGTCTCCTCCGATCCTCAGACTCTGGTGGAACGGGCTCTGAACTCTCCGGGAGGCTCCTCCACATCCTTTCTACATCCTTTCGGACACCTTTGTCGGCGGCAGCTTGACTCAACTTTTCGAAGACCTTGCGTATAACTGGACGAGGTTGCAGACGTTGAGACGGACATATAGGTGGATCTATGCGGTCCAACTCCTCTGCTTCGGTGGTTGCGATATTCGCAAAGGATAGGACCAGAATTTCTGGATACCCTCCACGTTCGGTGTCGAGCATCTTCCACTTACCATGATGCGAAGTGTGAAACATCTCGCCAACTACGGTCTTTAACGAGAGCTTTGATTTGATGAGGACTAATGAGCGTTCTTTGTGCTCTTCCAGGCCGAAGCGAAAGATGAAGCTGAGTTGTGCAAAAGTCTTGCTACAATGCACCGCATCCCCGATCTTCGAGTTCAGTCCTATTTATCACAATCAATACGCTTTGATTCTTTATTTTCAGAGAATAAGGCAGCTGTGAGAGAGAAATAGCAAGCGGAGGGAAGAAGTTGGGAGCGAGGGACAAAACCGTAGCCACCAATTATTTCACGTGACTCGATTATCGTGACCACGTGGTCGTGACCATCCTGAACTTGAACTCAGACTCGACTCTAGACCGTCAATCCCGTTTGCAACATGAGTTCGGAAGAATTATCGACGATGATCAGTTCTCTGTCAGAACTGCACACCTCCCTGCAGAAACTACGAAACGTGCCACCTTCGTTACGCAAGGCTGGATTCCCTTACACAACAATATCTATCAGAGACGACTTTCAGAATCTGAAGGACCTTGCAGAGTCGATCCGATCCGAGCCTATACAGGAAGCCCTGTTAAATGCGGCAAATAGTGAAAAAGCCGACAGTTCTGATCTTAGTCGGAACGGGAGACGCGACATCCGCAAACGCAGGTAGGCACCTCTGGTCGAAGCACATTGCCCATGGCTCAACTCGATTCTCATGCAGACGACTACCTTCCCCCGAGTCTCCCCAACCATTCATCCCGCTCGAGAAGCGCGGGGGCTCGCTATTCCCTCACACCCACGATGACCCACCTGCACTTCGCGCCGATGAACTGGTAGACTTCATTCGGGAGTGCAATCGGACGCGACCGTGCAAGATGCACATTTGGTCTCGGACACAAAATTCCACAGGGCAGATTTCGGACCCTGTCATTGTCCGCCTCATCATTCAGGACGTCCTGGTGTCGTACATTACCGCTACACATTCGGGCAGTGGATCGGTGCTGGTGGCGGAGAGCGTGAGCGCGTTCGGACCTCGAGAGAAGGTAAGAGATGTCGATGTGGATCATCCGGTGGACTAACGAGCACACGCCCCAGACCCATCCTCATTCGCAGTCAAAATATGCCGTGTATCAGCATGTTACCCAGCAAATTGCTCGAATGCTTCAATCGCAGCCGCGTGTGTCGTTTCAGAGCCTGATCGTAAGTTGTCAACCCCTCGTTTTCGGCGATTGATTCAATTGTGGGCAGTCGCTATTGTGCGAGTACCGAACGCTTTTTATCTCGCAGTGCACCAATTGCGAACGAGTCCTTTCTCCGGAAGGCCATTTCCCGCCCGTTGTTCGCATCTGGATGGAGCCCGAAAAAGAGCAGGACACTGGAAGATGGGCTCCCAGGCATATATCCTGTCCACAATCGTAGTCACAGTTCCGATCAGTGTTTCTTTCATCACATTTGTCTTGGTCCTCGGACTACTGCTCGATCAACAATTGAAACGTTCGCTAGCTGCCGTACATCCTGTGTCCCTCTGTCGTTCTTAATAGAACACGCTAAGTTTACCCAGAGATAACGAACTCATCACATTTAGCCTTTTCGACGAGGTCCAAGCGTGCGATATCAGTAGAGCAGGTCCGGATGATGTTGTTTGTGCATGTGCCTGGCTCCGTTTCCCGCTGCTCAGGGGTCCTGGCCCGATCACCACCACGGAATGTAAATATATGGGTCAGCTACCTGGGCTATTAGCTTGCTTTATTCCAACTCTGCACCCTATTCTGCGTGGCATCTAGCCCGCCAGCCCGTCGTAGGTCCTGCCCGCTCTTGTGAACTAATTCCCGCCGTCTGACGCCTCGAGTCTAATCTAGTTTTACGCGTTCACCTGTAACCCCGCACGCGTCATGGATAGTGGCTCCAGCCGTTCTCCTAGCCCAAGTGCGGCTCTCAACACTCAGCCCCCCATGCTCGAGGTCGTCGACTACAATCCCAACGAAGGCGAGGAGGGCGCGCCCATCACTGCCCGTATCCGCTTCCACAGCGATTCCACAGAGCCGATCCACGTCCGTCTGGTGGTCGGCAACAAGGCAGTGTCCACCGAGGTCCGCGAACTGGATGGAGGGGAAGACGACGGCATGTGGCTGTTGGAAGCGGCGGCACCAGCCATCGTGCACGTTTCGACCAACTCGCCCGGCGAGCCCAAGGTCGCCATTGTGGTCCAAGCGTTGGACTCCAACAACTTCATCCTCGCCTCTTCCCCCGTCGGCTCGTTCACGTACTGGGACGGCGGGTCGCCCATGGGGACTAAGCTGCCGTTGGGTCGACCGCGAGCAGCGACCATGCCCAGCCGGTACTACGACTCGATGCCCTCGCCCTCATTCTCTGACCGGAACGCCCGCAATAAACGACAGCGCAGACGTCAATCCAAGGACTCGTACAAGAGCATCGTCAAGGAGCATTCGCTGATGCGCACTCGGCATGACATTGACGACAGCTTGTACGCACATGTTCCTGTTCTGGAGATCACCACGCCCTTGGAGTCAATCTGCAAAGACTGGGACCCGGCTGAACTGGAGGCTTCTCGACGGCTCGTGCGGTTCCATAAGATTCAAGATGGATCGCGCGTTATCCTCTCGTGCGAGCCGATCTCGCTGGCGGAATGGACAGAGTCCGACAACGTGGTGTCCTGCATCTATCGCGAAGAAACAGATGTCTGCTATGTCACCTCGGTCGATATAATCTTCCTCCTCGAACGGCTTACGAACGACGAATTCCCTGTGGAAGAAAAGAACCGTATCCGGCGCAACCTTGAAGGTTTGAAGCCCACGACTGTTTCAAAACACAAGTCCGGATCCGAGAGGTTCTTCCAGCGGATCATGGACTTTCCGGATCCCAAGCCTCGCAATATTGAGAAAGACCTGAAAGTGTTTGAATGGACCCAGCTGGGTCAAGCATTGGAGAAGATTCTCTCGAAATATGTCAGTCCGTTTCCTAAGAGCGCGAGTTCCGAAGTCTGACGAGAGCTGCAGTCGATCTACACACTATCGCCCACAGATTCGACAGCCTCGTTGCCCGAGGAGAGCTGCGAGCCGAATTTCGTGATGGACCGGGAGGCGTCCTATGAGAAGCCACTTCCCGACTCGCTGCTTTTCTCGCAACACTTCGACGAGTCCCGCTCGCCGCGGACAGTGTCGCTTTTTGACATGAAGCCCGAGAGCGAGTCGAGTTCTGGGAGTTGGACGTCCAACCATCCGTACCGGTATGATCCTGACTTCGTCGAGTACGAAGACTACCTGCACGAGGATGGTGTGATGGCATACTAGGATTTCTTTTTTTCTGTATATCTTGTTTGAGGATTTCTTCATGTACAAACTATGGAATTACGTGCGGCATTACAATGGGTTACACTATTGAACAATATCCGGTGTCCTAAATGAGAGAAATGCTACGACGTGGTATTTCCTCGCCGACCGAAATTGAGGCTGCCGAAGCGGGAAAAGCGGCCCTTGAGAGATCCGAAGGAAGTGAAGCTTTTGGACGTGGCCACGGAAGCGCCAGACATCTTGGCACCACCGACCACGTGGACGCCGTTGCCTACGTTGACAAACGACTCGTGCGGGGATTCGGCCGACAGCGAGTCGCTGCCGCCAATGTCACCTGGTGCGGACGACACAGCGTTGATCCCGTGACGCGTCAGGTGGGCGAGATGACGCTGGAGCGGAGTCTGTCTCGGCGGGGGCTCCGGGGGGCTTACTGGCGATCTGGGTGACAAGGGCGGAGGCGAGGTGGCGAGGGTCTGCCCGAGTTGGAGAGGGGGAATGAAGAACGGAAGCCGCGGCCGCTGCGTTGAGACGGTTGACGTCATGCTCTGCTTCACTGACTGCTCGTAGCGCTCAGGAGCAGGCGAGATCGGTTCTGCGTCGAGCCCCAATCTGCGGATCTCTTCCCGGAAATTCTTCTTGAAGAACTTCTCGAGGGTCTCATGGAACGGCACGAATTCTGGCGGGCATAGCTGTCCGTGCAACCGCATGCACAGATCGATCATGAGCACCTGCTCGTCGATGGCGGCCCGCAGCTTCTCGACGACTTCCACCCGATCAGGGTTGCGGCTGATGTATTCTGGGTCGAAGAAAGTGAGTCTGTATGAGGAGATGCCGGTGTTAACCGGGGCATCGACAGCACTGTTCAGCGACATGGCCAGAGCATTCGTCGACACCGGTTGGGCAGTCTTCGCCAGCGCCTGATACTTGATGTGCAGCGCATTCAACTCCTTCGTCTTGCTCTCCACTTCCGTCAGCGCGTTTTCTACCGGAGAAATCTCGATGATGTCGGCCCCGACGACTTCTGACCGACGCAAGACGGTGGGGAATTCTTCTTCGGTCGTCAAATATGTCTTTTCGACCCAGATCTCTTCCGTCCCCATCCTCGTGATCTTTTTCACTTGCCGGGACGAGCTGAACAGACTGATCGCACTGGCAACAAGGAAAAGGATCAGGTCACGTGGCAAGATTGGAGCCGAAATGACACGGACCTGTGCTCGTAGTACGTTCGGACGGGGATCGGCACATCGGGATTTGTGAAGATGGGCTGAGTTCGGTCGGGTTCTGGTGTGACAGCTGTGCACTGGATAAATTGATCGCTCCCGTATCGGATGTCGACGGGTGGGTCGCCCGGTGTCTTGAGCAGCTGTGCACCCGGATGCTTGCTCAACATCCGTTCGCAGAATGCCCCAAACTTCTCCCATTCATAGCCCCGGTACTGGAGGAAACGATCAGCGGAAGCACAGCCATGGAGTACCAATCTCCTCACAATAAAGCGCTTGTCGCGGATGGCCGCAGGGAAGTTGCCATAGAATGTGACACGGTAGTAGTCGGGATAATAGCGCTGGTCAGTGACAATGTGCTCAAGCAGAGCAGCTTCGTGCCGCAGGATCTCAGATAGCCGCGCGCTGGAAACAATCGTCAATAGTGTGCTGGAAACGGACCAGGGTGACTGACTAATTGAAAGTGACCTCAGAATGTTGGAACGCAAGCTCCTTGCAGATGCTGATCGCCCTTTCCCAAGCCTTTCCTTTGCCTAAAGAAACGGTGATTCAGCTTGGGCCAAAGCAGGCCCCAAAATGGACAACGACTGACCCAAATAGTCCAGGATCAGCAAGCACAGGGTTTCCTTGCGATGGAATTGAGACTGTTGGGGTAAGCTCAAATCATCCATCGGCCCAAGGAAGGTGTTCAGATCCCATTCGTGCAGATCAGAGTGCAGCTTTAGTGTCAACGCAGCCTCGACGTAGTTTTGCGATTGGAGATGCATCTTCGGACAGTGTCAGCACGAGATGATGTACGAACAGACAGGCACGCACATTGACCAGCTGATGCACATATTTGATGTAAATCTCGTCTCGTCCAAGGCGGCGAATGAAGTTCATCAGGCGAAGAGTAGCAATGACCCTGTCATCCGCATACTCGTCTCCTTCAGGAAGCGCGCGAAGACTCAGCAGCAGCTCGAGGAACAGATCCATCGAGTCCAAGAAGCCGTTTACGCGGTCCCTCAGACCTTCATCCACATCCGAGGTCTCGAACAAATGTCGGAGATGCCCGATGAAAAAAGCACGGGAAATATCATCCCCTTTGCTGTCAGACATGAACAGCGAGTCCAGGCGCGTGAGGAGCTCGTGCTCGATGTCATCGAAGTTCTGCGACTGGTGGTACTCGGAGACTATCATGCTGAACAACATCTGGACCGCATTGATACGGAGCAAATCACGGTGACTGAGGCATAGGTTGACCACTTGCCCCACAAGTGGATGCAAATAGATTTGATAGCCCTGTGAAACGAAAGCGCTGTGAGACTGGATGCTCTCGAGAGCGATGGATACTTACCCCGTAGCGGATAGGCGATTCCCCGTTCGTTGTCGGGTGGTCCGCCCAGCCCAAGGCTTGCCAGAGTGTTAACAAAATGGTAGCACCATCACCGCGAATGTCTCCAGCAAGCCGCCAAACAGCGCGACACTTTTGCGGACTGAACTCTTCGATCACCAGCTGGTCAGACGACAAGAGCTTGAGGAACATGGAAAAGCAATCTCGCCAGAGCGAAGTATTGAATTGCTGCTGATCTTGTTTCGGGGGAATGAACTCCTTTTCCAGGATTGTGGCGATGGGTTCCATGATCCTAATCAACACTTTGTGCGCCAAAACATTGATGTTGAGCCAGGTCTTGGGGAAGGCATCGTTGTCCAGAATGGATGTCGCCACCTTGAAGAGCTGTGTCAACAACGCGACGAAGCGATCTTTGCCTTCGATATCGAGGCTCAGTTCCAAGAAGTTGAGGATGTGTTTGGTCGGGGATGACAGAATAAGCACCAGGAATACCGTCGCCGTCTCACCCAGAGCAGGGATGAATGTCCTATCTTCCTCGGGATTAATCACTGCGCCGAGATCATCCGGCAGCTGGGCCAAAAGGGAGAACGGGTATGATTCGGGGAATGTAACCGGCACGGAGGCTTTCAGAGGCAGGGACGATCTCGCATTCTCCATAGCTTTGCGCGACGCTGGGGATTGGAATTCGCGGTATGAATCGAGCAGTCTAGATGTCAGGTGTCAGCGACATCTTTTGCTCAAAGGCCCGCACATACCGTGGAATAAGAGGCAGCAGATTCTCGACATTATCCTGTTCCTTCCGTAGGCGGGAGCGATCTGACATGATCTCAGGGGAGACAAGATTCTGCTGCAGTTTGTCCAGCATCACTGCCACGATGGTGATGCACAGCCGGATGCTCTCGAGCCAGCTGACTCGTGCGGCGTCTTTAGCAGCGTCAGATTCGTTCGGCTGGTACTCGTCATATCTTCCAAAGTGCGGCTTTATCCAGATTACAACCGCTTCCACCAGCAAGGGGCGCGACTCCGGATTGTCGAACAAGAAGCCTTTGACGATTTGCAAATACATGATCAGCTTCCAGATCACGATCTTGCCCTTTCCCACGATCACTGCGTTCGCAAAACTGGTCGCAATAGAGACCAGCTCAACTGTCGAGAAGAATTTGGCGAGCTCAGGGAGGATCGACGTGAAGTGCTGCAGTGCAATTGTCTGCGTCCCAATGATGGCAGGTGGTGTCGACGCCGCCATCATCCGCGTAACTTCAGCAAGATGTGCACGCAGTTCCCGCTTGAAGGTGTTCTCGAGGTGTTCCGCGGTCGCACCTCCACCCATCCCCAGTTCTTTCGCCTTCTGGATTTCTCGGGACCGAGCGATGAACTTGAAGATGTAGTGCCACACCTTCAGCGCCGCACGCAGCGGCGATGCACTTTCCGTGGCTGTTGGATTGGTCACAAGACGTGTCATGGAGTGGATGATGTGAGAAGAGGCAGCCGCGCAATTGAAGTGGTTCTCGATGTACACATCAAGAACAGGCTGGAAATTGCTGAAACGGCGGTCCTGAACGATCCCGAGAACGGTCACGAGGCCATTGAACACCAGCTCGTCCATTTCACCGGACTGATTCATGGAGGAGACCAGGATGCCAAACAAGGAGTCGAAGATATCGGGAAGGAACTTGACGATCTCGCCCTCGCCGACAAACGTGAACTTGGCAAGGACCGTAGATAGCAGCTCCTTGTCCGCGATTTGATCCCAGCTGAGCAACCTGAGTAGAACCGGATTCTGCGTTAGCTTGGTGGAACACAATGAAGACCGAATGGTCAGCGTATCGCGGGACGGCTGAGCAAGTTTCTGCATCTCTGCGGGGAAAGACAACTGTTCGAACTTCTGGTTTGCTGGGAGCCAGGACGGAGCTGAGAGGTACAGCTCTATCGGGATGTGGTGAAGCTTGTCTGTGCGATACAATATCAGAGTGTGACTGCCGTCCTCGACAAACGAATGCTTGTCCGGGAACAGAGGCTGATAAGCAAACGCAAACGGCTTTTCCAGGTCTCGGAATGCTCCACGCTCCTTGATGGTTCGATTGCGGAATGTGAAGAACAGGTGCCAGTTGCTGACCCCGTGAGAGGCAATTGTATCTTCAGCAGCTCTCCAAACGTTGGCTCATTGCAACGCTGGAAAACAACCGAGTGGAACTGCGAAATGCAAGGTTCTCCGCTGCCCTGAGATATGACTCCCTCGACGAGGCCACCATGCTGGTTGCGCACTTCAACACTGACTTGTATGTTGTTGGAACTGGGTCCCATCTGCCCTCGGGCGAATTGTGCGACGCTAAGACGGCCCGATGCGGCACTGCCAATACCAAATTCACCCGCCCACAGTTTGATGTACAGCTCGTTCCGTACGTCACCAGGAAAGACGACATCCGGAAAGCCCAGTCGCAAAGTCTGCGGGGTGCCTTGGAGTAGAGACCCATTCTCGCGGACAATTGTGGTCGCATCTCCACGAAAGACCTTGATCGTCACGGCGAGTGTATCCGCCCTTCCAAATATCAGCACGGAAGAGACTTGCGCACACTCAAAACTCACCGAGCCGTCTTCTCATATTCTTTGTAATTCTTGCTGATGATATTCTGGTGCATCATCGAAAATGAATTCTCGTTGGTGGGGACGAAGATGGGCATGTGATGCTCTTTTGCTGCAGTCACGTCAATATCGTCGGTGGTCATCCGCGCCAACTGAGTCAGCTCTAGCACAGCACAGCCAACCGGACGGCGGAGAGGCACAGATGACTCGCCGGAGCCTTGCCGAAGGCTGCTGGGCATGCTGACCGCGCCATCAATATAAGACTCGGAGAGTCCTCCGCTTCGGACGATCCGGCAGACCAGAAACACAGAATCTTGAACATCGGCCAAGGCAAGATCTGTGAAGAGGGTGCGTATCCGGCCAGAGGGGTCACGAGCAAGGACACCGTTGTGACTGAGAGTTGCACAGAACTCCTCTGTGATGAATTGCCCGGAGCGCCTGTACAAAGAGAAGAATAGCTCAGAAGTTTCGCCCGGGACACAGAAAGCGGCAACAAACGCGCGCATTTCAAGGAAAACATGGAAAAACTTGGCTGTAGCACGCCGTGGGGCATCGGTCGTCCCGACGGACAACGATCGTGGCTTCTGATAGGCTGAGTCGGAGAAGAGAGCGTGGCTGGGCGAGAGTACAACCGAGGAGCGGATAGACTGTCGGATATTGTCCGAGTTCCTAGTGTTCAAGTAGGCGAGAGACGTCTGCATCGAATACATCCGGATCGCGCTGAGCCAACTGCGGGCATCAATCTCGCCTTCGACATCCACAGAGACGAGAGATCCCCACGTCGGATGTCGCACAATGACATCGAGACCCTGGACAACATTCCCTGCCACCAAACGCGTCACACAATCCCTTCGCATATTCACGCTTTCCTCCTCGTTCAGAGTTTGCGCAAGCAACTGTCGCCGACCCAGATGGAGAGCTTCAATGTGGTCCCGTACGATGCGAAAGAGAGCATAGTCCCGTCGAGCAAGGTACTGGAACATGAAAGAGTGCCATTCACGTAAAGCCGCCGCGATCTCGTCTATAATAGGCTGAGCAGCCCCAGATGCTGTGTCGTCGCCTGACTTGAGAGATGGTCGTGGAGGAAGAGGTTTGAGTACTTGTGAGTCGGCGGGAGAGGACGAACGGAGAGAAGCCGAGTTGAGGCTCGCAGGGTATACTGGCATTCCCCCCGAACGCAAAGATCTGGTGAAATCTGGAAGCGGCCCGGTCCGAAAAGATCTCCTAGACGCCGATAAATCTTGCTCCTCATCATCTCCCCTGACACTGCCGACGACTGATCCAGGCCCCGGCCTACTGGTCCAATGGACGAATGAGCTGCCGGGGCTTGCGGTCCCATGTGAGGCGTTGCCCGACGCCCATCCATTGGTGGACGACACATAGCCATTGACTGCGCCATTTATAGTTGTCGCAAGGTCAGGTAGACGTCCTTCAGCGTCCGCAAATTCATCGCGGACAAAGATGTGCGAAGCAGGAAAGATCCCAATAAAGACTTGATACGGCTCTTCGGTCTTGGGAGGGGGCTTTACGACAGAGGAGGACGGGTCAGAGGCCAAAGCCCAGGTGACAGGTGGACGGCGAGTGGTGCAGACGACATAGCTGTCAGATGTGAAAACCAAGAAGAGAGCGACGACTATGGACGCACCCTCTGTACCAGATCCCCTCTACCTCCTTGCCTTTCGGTGTGTACTTTTCAAAAGCATAAATTTCATCTCCAACCTCGAGGGGCACGACGTCGCGATGCGGTATGTTATCCTCGGTCGACGATTCGGTGACTGTCGAGAGCCTATTCCGGGCGGAAAAACGAGCGTGACGAGAGGGTGATAGAGGGTGGACGGCGTAGCCGTAGACAATCAAGGGTAATGGCTCCCACATAGATATTCAGGGACGAATAGTCGATCCTTGCCGCGTATCTGGTGTAGTACGCGGCAAGAACGCGAGAGTTAGACTAAGATATGGCTCGAAGTAACGGCCTTCAAAATCGTCACGTGGCTCGAAACAATTCACCACAAACCGTCGCGTTCACTGCTTGAATCTACTTTAGTCGCGACCGGAGCAAACCTACCGGGAACTATGCAATCTCTCGATCGACTCATGAGCAATATTCAGGCCACCCGCGCCGCTGCATCCGCTGTCGCTCCTCCGACCCCTTTCGCAACAGCTGTCCTGAACACATCTCTCGGCGATCTTATTCGCGACATCGACAGCGCAGAATTAGGGCTCTTCACACCCGAACTGAAGCGCGTCGAATTCCACAGACCGGCTCCGCGTCGAAAGCAGGATCCCGAAATATACGCGCAGGCTGCGTTGACATATATCACCCGCTATGCCGTTGTCAGGCCAATGCCCCGCGCTCAGGCCCAAGCCACATCTCTCATCGAACAGCTCGAGGAAATTCGGGATAGAATACGAGATCTCAACGACATGCTAGAGTCAGGCCAGCTATCTGAGATCAAACCACTCGCAGATCAGGAGGAGGAGCGGGTCCATCAACTGCAGGTGAAACTGGAGAACTTGAAGCAGCGCGTGAGACGGATTGTCTTGTTCTCTGCATCAGATCGACTGAAGTCCTCAGAAAGCCGCCGCTACAGCACGTGCTCGGTCAATGCGACCGAAAACACCGGATGCCCGATTGGAATCCAGCCAGTATGGGCAAACTCCTCGAACACCAGCCCTGGGTGATGAGCTCGACGAACCCTTCCGAACGCCGGCTCGAACGCTTCGCTTCACGGAGAATCTCATGGAGGAAGAGGTCGATTTTGGCGACATCACGGTGTCCTCTCCCACAATACCCTCTCGCACCGCCGCACAGTTGCAAGAGGACGAGGACGAACAAGTTGAGGAGGAGGAGGAAGTCAGCGAGGAACTTACACAAGAGGCCTCACTTGCCGATGAGTCCACCTTCCAGGAAGTGACGATAGAGGACCCCGTCCCGATCGAAGATCTTCCACCCATACCAGAACCTGTTGCAGAAACACCTCGGAAGAATAAACTGCGCATAAATCCCGAAGTAGAACGGATCGTAGGCAAGATCTGGATGGCGGCCGGGGATCTCATCATGCCAGGACACTCCTACGATACGTCCGGGACGGGAACAGGACCGAAACCGCCACGAGCCAAGGAAACCATGTTAGTATCATTCTTTCGCTAGGTTCCTGGAGGTGCTCATGGAATTCCCACAGAACGTATCTTCAAGAGATCTCTTCTCTCACAGCGGCCCCAGCATCCCCGTCAACCACCATCTCCGACTCTGCGACAGGAGGCGGAGCATCAAGTGGTCCTACAGTGCAACAGATTCTGACGGCGCATCTCTTGTTTGTGTTGCTGAGCAGCGGGCCTCCATTCTCAATGCCCTTGAATCACGTGAAAGAACTACTTGCAACGAAGGGCAGTGCCAGTGGCGGCGCATCTCAGAACACAACCCGTATTCTTTTCGGTTGCGTTGCAAAGCGCTTGGTCAAGATTGAACGAGGTGGCGGCGAGCAGACAGTGAAATTTGACGTTTGATATTTGAGGTATTAGGGTATTGGAAAATGCAGCGGGAATACAAAATGCAACAAACAGAAGATAACATGAGACTAGAATAAATATGCAGCAGGGACGACACCCTCACGCCCCGTCTTGACATCTCGAGCATACCACCACCTGAAGTCACGTGAGAAGGAGAGTGGGAAACCAAAGAAACGACGGACGCAGGATCTCGATCATCCAGGATCTCTACAGCAGAGCCTGCAGATAGCGGTAGCTCGCCTTCGCCTGTTCCGTCAAACGAGTATCGGGCCTGCGCAGGTCGCGACGACTCTTCAGCCAACATACCGGCGATGGCATCTGACGGCGTCTCCGCTCGCAGATAGTTGCTTGCATCTGGCGCGAACGGATCATTGTCTGGTGTGGATGAGCGTGTCTCCGGCTGCTTGTCCTCTTTGGACGAGTAATGGCCATAAGGACCTCCGATGATCGTGGTTCGGGTGGCAGCATTGATATGCTCAAGCAGTGAAGATGGCCGGTGGTGGGTCGAATCATCGTCCTCCTCCTCGCCAGCGTCCATCTTGTTCAGCTTCTCATCGCGGCGAGAGAACAGCGTCCACAGGATACCAAGCAGCGCAAGCAGGAAGACGACACCCGCTGCGATGGCGATCGAGATCAGGATCACCACTCCAGTGGCCAAGAAATCTGTGGAAATTGAGCACTTCACCTGCTGTAGAGAGAAGGGGCACTGACGTTTCTGAGTGAAGCTGAAAGTAGCAAACGAATGGAAAAGCGAAGATACAGTCCCCGAGGAACCGGTAGGAGACGAAGAAACAATGTAAGGGAAGAAACTCTGGCCGTCATACAAGGCTGTCGACGCGTTGCCAAATGACGAATCAGCCAGCGATCCGGAAAGCATAAGCATTCTGTCGGGCTGGATGATGTTGTTACCGGCATGAGTGTCCTGGAGAGGAACCATAGTGAGTTGGGCAATCGTCGTGTTGCTGTCCAGGCCTGAGCTGATGGCAGACCACGAAGCCCCATTCCAGAACGACAAGAATGAGGAGGAGCCATCCGAAGTTCTAGACCGAGCAAATCAGCGAGATACAGCAGACAAAGAATGAGGTGCGCACCTGCCAGCCGCAAAGATGCTGCTCGAATTACCGGCATTGACTTCGACAGCAGTCACCGGGCCGGGAAGACTGGAACCGGATCCAACAGATGCCCATGAGCCATTGGAAAATGTGAATTGTGCAACATTGGCAACGGTGTTGTCCGAGAGAGCAATCGAGCCGGCAGCAACCAGGTTCCCCTCGTTGTCCTGGACAATGAGTTCAGGGATAACAAAGCGACATTCAAACGGTGGTTACTCACACCCGAGTAGGCAACAGCGGCCACCTGTCCCTGGATCCCGCTTCCGAGAGCATTCCATTGATGAGACGAGGTATCCAAACTGCAAATGGCTTGGCACCGGAGTGATCCCGCCTGCGCAAACGATCCTGCAACAATGACTGTGCTCGCCTTGGATGTGGACGCAGTGATCGATCGGACAACGACTGTCGACCCAGAGCTGGCTTGGAGCGCTTGGATCGTCGCTGTCTCCCACTTCTGGGCAGCGAGGTCATAGATGGCAAAGCCATTTGCATTCAAGCCCGAGACAGAAAACTGGCCGCCCACATACAACAGGTCGCCAACCACCAAAAGAGCACGCACAGTTCCGTTGACTGCAGCGCCATTCAGAGGAGTAGTGGCTCCCGTGTTGGGATTGTACAGCGCAACGCCTTGCGATTCCGTCGTTGATCCAGATCCGACAAACGAGAAATTGCCTCCGATGATCACAACCTGAGCCGAGGAAGAGGTATTCGTCCAGAAAGCACCAGCAAGGACGGCCGGAGCCGGAGCTGGAAGCTCTGCAGGTAGCGAGGCCAACTGACTTGCGGACTGCCGAGAGAACAGCGACCGTAACGTCACGTGCCAGGAGGCGACATGGGAAGCATGCAGAGATCGCTTGCGAGCAGAGGTAGTCGTGGGCGCAGGTGATACATCAGCAGCCAGGGCCACGCCCAAGGGACTGACGACCGGAACATCGCTAGGGCCGTTGTGGAGCATAACCATGCCAGAAGCACCGAAGGCCTGCGAAGCAACTACATTGCCAGCGACGAACTGCCCGGCGGCAGTTCCGTTCGACACGAGCGACATCTTCCCTACAACAAAACCACCCGCATCGGCCCATTGCGCAGACGTTGTATTCCACACGGCGAATCCAGACGCATCGGCACCTGCAGCACCGGTGGGGCTCAACAGAGTCGTGAACGTTCCGGCGACCTGAAGCTGGTCTCCGACCTTGCTCATGCTCAGCACTTCGCCGTTCACGCCTCCAGACAGCGCAGACCATGCCTTGGACTGTACGTTATACAGTGCGATACTGCTCATCTTCTTGTCGAGGCAGACTTCGTGTCGGTGAACGACCCGCCAACGAATAGGTCGTCTCCGTCGAGCAGGAGGCACGTCACAGGACCATTCAACCCGCTGTTGCTCAACGCGACCAGGTTGCCACTCTGGAACAATATGATAGATGAAGAGCCCGACGCGCTGCCCGAAGACAGGGTAAAGTTGCCAGCGAGGAATATGCCCGACGGGTGGTGTGCCACAGTAGTAATCGCTGTAGTCGACGAATTGGCCCCTCCAAGAGCGCTCAACAGATCGAAGCCGACAGCATCCAGAGCGGTCTGAGACGAATTAGTCAGCGTCGCAGTTCCGTCGACGCTATTGGTCTGCGTCAAAGGCCATTCGAAAAAGCCAAACGAGGATCGGGAGGCGGTTGAATTGGCAGTGATTGTGTGCGCACTTCCATTGGTCGAGTTCGATACCGAATCGAGAACCAATTCGATCTGGCCAGCAACCATTTCCCATTTCCCATTCTGACCGTTGCCGGCCGGATGATCATCGAGAGTCATGGTCACAGAGGTGACGAAATTGGGCGCCGAGGGAGAGATAGGTCCACTGTAGATGAGCGTAGTTGCGTCATCCTGGTTCTGCTGGGAAATGGTCGTGACCCAAGGATTGAGGTTGTTGCCGGGGAAGACTGTGACTTTGACAGAAGTCCGAGCGCTACAGTCCTGTAGATTGTTGCAGCCGGGAACGAGCATATTCATCGTGTAGACTCCCGTCGCAGAAACATACGGTTGCCATGTGAAACTAGGTCCATTCGCAGCCGAAGTGCCGACATTGGCGGACGCCACCAGAACTGTTTGCTCAGTGCCGGAGATGGCAGTTGGTGCCTTCTTGGGTGACCAGGAGCCAGTGAAGCTGGTGTTCGATGCACCAGGTGCAAAACAAGAGGGTCCGTTGCTACTTTGAACAGATGATGCGAATGCCCCTGACGACAACAGCTGAAGGATGTGCAGCCCTGGGCCAGCACCCGTAAATCCTGTCAACTGAATCACGACACCAGTCACAGCTTTGGGTCCATTGAATAAGAAGTCCTGATATAGCACGGATGAATCAGTGCTCAAGGGGCAGGGATTGGTGCAGGTCTGGTTCTGCCCGGTGATCGGGTCAACATAGGTCAAAGTTTGCACGGTATTGTCGGGGATAGTCGTTACACTGCACGGCATTGAGACGACGGGCCTAAAAGAAGAACAGGGTATGCCACTCACAAGAAACCTGTTGTTCCGTGGTTGGGTTGAAACGTATTGCCCAGACGCACTCCGCTCGCTGACTGAAAGTGTAGCGTATTGAGGGATATAACAGAGGTGGTCCCATCCGCTCCGAACCAGCTGTGCCCCGGTCCATCATCCTTGTCGGGGCAAAGGATGTTGGATATGTTCCCGAACGACGATGAGTCCGCCGTGGGCTGCAGAACATCGGAAGGGGACAAGGGTACAGGGACGAGGGACGATGAAAATGGCGATGCACCAGGAGAGAACGGAACATTGGGATTGTTGGTCCCATTCAAGATCGAAGTGCTTCCGGCGAAAGATGCAATGAAGGATCCGGCAAAGAAGAGGCTGCTATCGGAGGAATTGGTCGTAATGGATAAAACACGACCCGCGGCACCGCCTAGCCCCTTGAAAGGCGGAGCCGACCAGGTGGCCGCCTTAGGATCCCAGACCGCGACTGACGCGCCAGGGGAGGTAAAACTACCTCCTACCCAAAGCTTATCGTCTTTTGTGTCACAGAACACAGCATCAATCTCGCCATTAGGCCCGTTCGATCCTAGAGCTGCGAACGTGTTCGAAGAGGCCGTGTAAGATGCGATATTGGAGGTCGAAGTGCTTCCGATGGATGAAAATACCCCTGCAGCATAGAAGACATCACCAAGAGTGCAGCCCGCCAAGATGCGACCGCCAGGATTCGTTGACGCGAGACGTTCAAGGGAGCCGTTCGAAGCGCGAGTGAGAAGCGTCGCGGTTGCTGGGTCGAATGCGACGGATGAGTTTTGGAAGAGATTGAGACCAGCAAATGCTCCCGCCAGGCCGACTTTGCCCATACGGTCAAAGTCGACAAGGGGTAGCGAGGCATGAACAAAAGAAGGGAGGAGCAGAAAGAGAGGCAGCACCATCTCGCGGTGAAGGGCGTGGGGGACAAGACGTGCTCAATGGCAACTAACGTTTTGCGATCAACAAACACTAACACGTGAAGGAAATGATCCTAATTATTGAATTTGTCTCCGAGACACAATTCCTCAAACTCATAGGTATTGGTATCCGCCTTGAACTTCCAATTGGTATTCTATGAGAATCCTCTACTCGAGTGACCCAGAAAGTGGCTTTTCCTTCTTCCAGGCTGACTTGACGCCAACGAAGTCATGGTAGGGCGAGGCTTGATTAAAATCCCTGTAAGTTGGTTGAGATAAATCACGGGCACGACCGGAGCACATACTCGACACCGCGGGGTCGATAGACGGGAGTTCGGGTGGCCGAACGCACAAGGCTACGGTGCAAGACGTTGTCTGATTCCAAAGCAGCGCGAGTGGTTGCTATTTCAAGAGAGGCGTCCTGCCCAGTGATCCAAGACTCATTGTTATCAGCGGGAGAGCCCAAGTATTCGTAGAAGATGACACCGGCTACTGCAGTTGCGAGGGTCTTGCGCCAGATGGGTGCACTGAAACCTGTGCTGCCCTGAATGTCATCCGTGTCGACCATAGCACACCACCGCACCTTCTTTAGGATACACCGTGTCGTCGTGTTCCTGGTGATGGTCGTCGTGGTGCTCGTGAGATGCCGCGGACGAAGCAGGTCTATGCTGCACAGCAAGTCCAGCTCTCTGAGGGAGGCGAGCAAGCCTGGTGGTCGTCCTTAACATCTTGTTTGTTTGCACGAAAGGGTCACCGCCACAATATCATACTTGGCAAGTCGAACAACCACTGGGCGGTGATGGACCATTCCACTCCTTCGAACACAAACTTCCTCGCCGTTAACATTTCTCGCTCGCCTTTGATACCCATGCTTAGTAGCTCTGATCTGACGACGCGTCATGAATCGCTCCCAACCTTGCCAATTGCCGTGCCAATGCATGCCGCCTCTTCAATCCTGACTTTACTCAAAGCCGCCAACGATGATTTGCTAGCTCACGTCGCCCGTGTTCAAGATGTCATCAAAGAGACTTGCGAGTTATTGGATCTACAGTATGGGAAGGCGACTTGAGACTGGAACGCACGGGACCTGATCAATATATATGTTGTATCCCCCCTGTATATCCACCACTTGTTCTGTAACGACCACAACCATGTGTACGAAGGATTTTCTTTCCAGAGCGAGTCTATCCTCAAAGCATAGTAGCCGCGAGTACCCACCAAGGCACTGCTCATCAACTCGAGACTAAACTCGCCCATCGACCCGAGAAGGTGGGGCGGTCACGGTTTCAAATCATGTCGATACTCACACTTTGAACAAGGCTGAACTCGTCGAGCGGAATATATTGAAGGGTATGTACCGGCACGATTCCATCTAGGTCGCAGATGTGGCGTAACATGTGCGCTCATCGTTTGGTAAGACGACAGGGGATTGGCTCCTGCATTGGTCGCTGCCAAGGAGAAGCTCCAGAAGGCTCGGCTCGAAGTCAGTGCAAGCTCATAGAAGTCCTGCACGGCCATCTGCTCAAGCATCGTAGGACCAATTGGCCAATGCCATCGCCCATCGCCCCGACCGCGAGCAGCTCGAGAAGACCGGCATATTGAAAGGTGCGGAAGCCAGTACGAGGCCGACGACCAGAACCAACATCCCACATGTATAGATTCCATTCAAGGCGAAGAAGCGCCTGCTTCAGCGTGAAATAAGTAGTTGCAATGCACCTGTAAGATAATGTACACCTGGAACATGCATTCAATCGCCACGAGAGCTCCTGTTCTTTAACCTCTCCCTCATCTGGGAAGCAGCCCGAAGGGTGCCTGCTCCACCAGCCCAACCTCGTTGTCGCAGCCATCCCACAAGCGACGGCGTGAGGTACGCAGTCAATCCCACTCGGATGGGAAGGAATAGGGTTTTATGCACCGTGTATGCCAATATGAGCATGGCATACAAGCCTTCATATCCGCCCCCCATTGTAGTTGCTGAGTCCAATTCATCCCGTCCTGGCTCCGGAGGTTTCGAGTGAATCATTCCGAGCGCAAATTCCTTGGCGGTTGTAGTCAGACGCTCGACGTATTCTGCACCAATGACATTGATGAGGCCGAAAGCAACACCAAAATCCAGGGCAGAGAGAATGATGTAGACACCGAGCGCATACCATCCATAAGATTTGAAGAGATGCTTGAGACGTTGCATCCTTGTCGCATCGGGAGGTAATGGAGATGAGTCTTGGAGCGGAGGCGATGACAGACGCGCAGGAAAGTGCGTAAAAAGACGAGAGTTGGAGGAGCGTGGTGCCATGGTGAGGGGCAGAGGGGTCGGACGCAGAACTCGGAAGGTAGGCAGAATTGCGGGAGACGTTCGCAAGAGAGGCATTCTCGAAAGAAAGCGTCTTATCATCATGGTGGTGAGGAGGGTACGGTCTGTAAGTGCTTTAGCATCACGGAGGGCGACACATTCGGAGAAAGGCACTTGCAAACAGAAAGAATGAGTTCGTTCCTAATAGTTCAGCTGGGAAGAGATACAGAAGGGTTTTTGCTTCGGCCCGAAGCAATATGATGATCAGTGCGTGCCGCTCAGTGATCCGATAGATCTGTTTTGGCTTTTTCGTTCGTTTCCCCATGTCGGCACCATTCGAGGGCCCAGAAAAGCTCCTGGAAATCTGGTTCACCCCGTCCCTGTCAGAGGACGAGGATCCCACCTCCTCGAGGCGTGGTCTACGAAAAGTTGATCCTTCGATCTGGGAGGAGATGTTGAACATTGTCCAGTGCAAAGTTCTCAGTGTGATTCATGGAGAAGAAACGGATGCATACCTACTGAGGTCCCCAAAGAGTCTCCCTGATAGGCAGTGGATCTCATTCATATCTGCAGCGAATCTTCCTTCTTCGTCTCACCACACCGTCTCATCTTGAAAACATGCGGGACCACCTTGAATCTCTTGGGCCTCCCCCGCATTCTCGACATCGCAGCTACGCATGCAAACTTGGAAAAAGTTCACCGATGCTTCTATTCCCGCAAAATTTCATGTTCCCGGAGCGACAGCTGGGCCCCCATCGGGACTGGAAGCATGAGGTTGAATATCTGGACAACATCTTCCCCAATGGTGCCGCGTACACGGTTGGGAAGGTCAATGGAGACCATTGGCTTCTGTACATGAGTAGTCCTCCGGATTCTGAGCAGATCCCCAGCTCCCCTCGACCACTCGCAAGCCACCACATCGTTCCTGATTACACGATCGAGATATTGATGAGCGATCTCGCGCCTGCTGCTCGACAAGCCTTCTTCCCGCCCATGGAGTCTGTCAAATCGCCTTCCCTCGAAGGCCAGGCCCTTTCTCAATCATTGGGAATTACCGAAATCTTCCCTGCTCATCTGACCACTCTGGACGCGTACTCGTTTTCGCCTTGCGGATACTCTTCGAACGCGCTTATCAGATGGGGAAGCGATTCGGGGACGTTTCCACCAGGCGCGCAAGGTGAAGGGTACTATACAATCCACGTGACGCCTGAAGATGGGTGGTCGTATGCAAGCTTCGAGTGCAACGTTCCTCTGGCACCATCACATCCGCTAACGCCCGATGCCCGAACGATCCCCGATCTCCTCACCCTCATCCACCGAGTGGTGGCCATCTTCCAACCCGGCCGACTGAGTATGACGCTGTTCATCTCCAGCGAAGACAACGAAGTCGAGCAGGGAGAAAGTCCGGTAGAAGCTGCGCAGAGGGCGTTCAAAACCGCACTTATGTCCGCAGATGGCAGCAGTGGAAGCCCATTCTACAAGCGGACCGACAAAATCAACTACGAGTTTGGAGGATATGACCTGGCATTTGCGAGCTTCGAGCTGAAGAGGTAGACACCCTGTACGAACCTACGAAATCAAACAAGACATTTTCGTCAGACACTGGGGTGCGTCCCCTGCTTCAATTTAGCTCAGAATCTAAGCCTGCTAAGTGTGCGTACTTCTGTTTGGAAAAGCTCCCGTCCTTCGAAATGTTGGGCCTTGAGCGCCACCGTGTTCTCGTCAGTAGTGTCACGATTGGACGCCATGTGATTGGTCGTTCTGCGCGAGTTCCCCGCATCTCTCTCGCGATTCGGTGACAAACGCGCGCTGATTCCATCATCTTCAGATTTTCCGACTGGCTGAAGATCTGCGGCACATCCCGTGCTCTGGCGACATTTAACACTCATGCCATGTTGTCCGCGCACAATCATGCATCCGAGCATCGTTTCACTACCCGAAGCTAGCTCGTCGGAGCACCAGCTTGCGCTTGCCGAAGTAAGCCGATTTCAGCGCACCGACATGGGCCACTCCGGGGACGGGCCCTGGACTTTCCAACTACTCCAGGAGCCCGAGCTTTCTAATCAGCTAGCCCGCGTAGCCAATGCACAATCTTCGCGTCGGGTCGACAGCGTGTATTTTCAGCCTTGCCGTCCCCATGTCTATCGAAATCAGGACCGGCTTGTCGTAAACGAATGGAGTCTTCCCGGCGGCCTGTGGAATTTCAATGCCGTGTTCGATGGTAAGTATCTACCCAGACCTTCTGGCCTCTGCTGCGCTGATCAAGTTCTCAGGTCACGTGAACCACGAGACCGTCACTTTCGTGGCGGAGAGACTGACTCGAAGCATCCATGACCGACTGGCCGATGCACTTCAGACGAGACAGGATCTCCCGCCCGACCAGGTCAGCCAGACGTTGCGAGACTGCATCGTCCAGCTGGATAACGCCATTTTGTCGGGCCTGCTGGAATTCTTTCCCCGAGATCTCAAAAGATTGGGTCAAATGTCTCGTCAGGAGGTGCATCACATCCTGCATCAGGATCCCTGTGGCAGAGCGGCTGCCCGATGTCTGGGCGGGACTACAGCAATCCTGAGGTGCCCTTTTTCTTGGTCACCGGCGGCGTTTTGTACTTATTTAACAGACTCTCAGTTTGACCGATCCCAAGCAAAGGGTGTGGATAGCCAATCTCGGAGGTGAGCTTTGCAGTGATTCTTTTATGCGTCTCGTTTATCGTCCCAAGACTCTCATGCGGGTGAGCCCCATTTCTGTACCCTGTTCGCGCGGAAACCCACCCCGTCCCAGTCCTCGGGATGCGGCCATCCAGTGGGCAGTGGACGGGCATCATGATTAACAGAACACACGATGCCAGAAACTTTCGTGAAGCACAACGCATACAAACTGAACACCCCGGCGAGTCGAATTGCATCGCAGATGGCCGTGTCTTGGGATTCCTCGAGCCGACGCGCGCGATCGGCGACACCTGGCTCAAAATGCCTGGTTTGTATACGACGCGCGTCTTTTCTCAGCTGAAACAAGAGTACATCTCGCCCCGGAATCTCACCCGCTGCACATCGCAGTTGCTGACAGTGCGCTCGCTTTGCCTCGTGTGACGACTTGTCTGATCGGTGCCAGCCTCCATATGTGTCCAATATACCAGATATCCACTTCCACGACCTCTCATCAAAACATCGTCCAGGATTTCTGTTACTGTGTTCTGATGGACTGTCGTCGACGGACATATACGACGGAATGGATCCGAGCAGCATGGTTAATCTGTGGACTGATGTTGTCGGCCGAGCTTTCGATACCGCAGGGACAAATAACATGGCGCTCGAACTGCTCAGATCGGGGATTGGGGGCTCTGACGTCGTCAAGCTATCCCGAACGTTGACAGTCGAGATGGAAGAGCGATGGATGGATGATGTGACTATCGTAGTTCAGCGTTTGCGATAGGCTGCATCCAGATCTTGGACTTGTGTTTTACTACTCCTTGATTCAACGACGAAGAACGTTGTAAATAGAACTGATGTAGTCGGGATTGAGCCAGAAGTAAGTGACGTCACAACGTAACTAGTTGCCTCTTACTTACACGCATGTTGATGGTGATGCTACGTACCATCGATCCCTCGCTATTTTGCATGCTTGAAGGCAACGCCCTAGATTGTTGACTACTTGCCACTGCAACGTTCGCTCGCGCCGCATGGTGTTTTGATGGTCTCGGGCTCGCTGTGTCCATCCTCACATGGGGAGACCAAATGCAGCGCTCGATTTCCACGGCAGTTCAGGTATATAACACGCACTCCCACGTCTCGATCGAGTCGAGCCACTTGCCGCAGGTTCACGTCCGACGACTGGTCTCATCCAGAATCCTTCCTTTCGCCATGCTTTTCAAATCTGCCCTTCTTTTGACTACTACCCTCTTCTCTGTAGCCTTGGCTGCTTCGATTCCTTTCGGTCGCGATGCGGTAGCCTACTACGATCCATCGCTTAACGGAGGGCGCATGCTCGACGATGGTAAGCACCCATATTTGTTCGTAGGCACAATCATTCTCACGCCTCGTGGGTGATTAGCTACGGGCGGTCAGGGTGGTTCTGATTTGGGCGAGCCTATGAACGTGAGCAGGAATCCGCCGGGACGACTTTCTTGCCCTCAAATCATCATCAGGTCATCATCTCGGGCTTGAGCTCTCCCGATGTCCTCACCGATTCTGGCTTCTTGAACTATGTCCAGTCCATCGGGTTGTGCGTCCGATCATCGTGCTGGGTCGGCGACCAGTTTGGCTGAAGTTTGCACAGCTCGAGTGAATGTTTGGGGCTTCATCTCGGCGGCCCCCAGACAGCCAACCTCGGGGATGGCGATGGGTGGAGAAATCAGACCGTTCGTGCGCTTCTAATCCACTTTCGGGTGCAGTCTGATCCCCCCTGTAGGTCGAGTACCGTCAAGATTATGGTGATGCCAATTTAGGTACTTGCTTGGAGAGTCTGCTGGGTGGAAACCATCTCCGGTGGGCCCAGTTTCTCTTACAGTCTCCGGTGCACATCCTTAGCCGACATTGGGTAGGATGTACCGCCAGAACGGGCCACAAGCTAATTCCGGTGCTTTATTCTTGGCGTGAGTGGCTCACCTTGATACGTGATACTGTGTCCTTGCCAATACCTTCCCAGTGTTTCTAAGGAACAGGTCAGAAATAGTTGCATTCCCAACGTACAAACTGACCAGGTCACAGGATCTCGCGGAGAAACACAACATTGTAGCAAACGGCTATGATGTTGGTGAGTGCGATTCCCGTCTATCCGAAACTTCAGTTTGACATAAACCACATACAAGGTCGCGACCTGCTCGTCGCCAGTGCTATCGCCGGTCAAACCTCTTTCGGGGGCATCAACTACCTGAGCACTTCTCAAAACATCCCTGGTCTACTTCCAACAGGGGCCTCAGGGTGAGCGTGCGAATCTCCGGCTCACAATTCCCGTTGCTCAAGCCCAGATCCAGTGTGAACCACAACATTGCCTTGGATGGTGTGGTTGTGCTTCTGACGGTTACAATTGTGTGATCATAGTCGGGGTGCAATGCAAGAGAGTACATGATATGGTGCTTGAAGTGTATGTTGTGTATAGTGAAGTTGCGATGATTTCCTAGTATTCCGAGTCCAAATCAACCATTTCTTCGGGCGATTCGTCTGCTCCTTGGCTCAGCCACTCCTGTCGTTCTCTCTCTGTATCTTCCAAGGTCCTGCGTTTCACTCGTGCAAGAACGTAGTCGAGGGCCAGGAAGTTCGAGTCGTCCGCGGCGAACTTGCGGTGCTTACGTCCAACAACGTGCTATACAAAGGATGAGGCTTGGAAAAAACGCACCGAGAGAAAGTCCGCACCTTGGAAAAGTCTCCAAATTTCTCGCGGCAACTCTCGCAGTACCCCGGTTTGCTAGACTCATCTCGTTTCGGGAGCCGCATGGTGTTGGTGCTCCGACTCTTCTTCAGTACGGGGATCCGCGGCGGGCCCATGTTTCCAACAGCCGCACTGGCCTTCGAGCCTGAGAACTTCAATGATGTCACCACTTCCGGTCGACCACGGAGAACCGCCGGGACATTGCTTGTTTTGAACGAGGTGCCCGCAGTGGATGTGGTTCCGACAGTGGATGTAATGCCCACACTGTTACCGGAAGCAGCGATGTACTCCCGGGTGTTAATCCGGGACGCGTTCTCATCAACCTCCTCATCTTCATCCAAGTCGATCATCTCCTGCTCCTTCGCTCGGCGATGCAAGTTGTTCATGGATACCGTGCGTCGCAGGTCGCAGCCCCCGTGCTTCGCGTGAACGTGTGCCTCGGCACGTCGCTTCATCAAACGCGCCTCGTCGCCTCTCTTCTTTTCGGGCTCAGCTTGTTCCAGTTCCAGGCGCCGTGCCTTTTCGAAACGGCGCTTCTCTTTTTCGTCGAACTCGATGAACGGACCACGGGCGTTTGGATGGCAATGCAATACTGGCCACGGCATCTTCGTTGTAGCCGCATCTCGGCCCTTGGGAATGACATACTCCTGTATAGCGATGGGGGCCAGCTGCTGGTTGATGTCTTCAACGAGTAAGAAACACGTCCCACGGTTGAAATACTTGTAATCGTGTCGTTTCTGAGTCGGATCGCGTTCGCTCGTCCCATTGATCAGCTCCGACTGAAGAAGACGTGACAGGGCTCGGGATGGTTGGTTGGCCGAGACGCTCGGCTCAGGCTTGGTTTCGTCTTCGAGGCAGCGGTCAACGACACTGACCAGTTTGGCAAAGTCCCATATCTTCAATTCAAACGCGTGTGCTTTGTTGATCAAGTCCAAATCGTCGTCTTCGATTCTGCAGAATTTAACAGTTGTCGATCAAATGCAGAGAGTTACGCACTGTCGTTTAAGCACATGTCTCGATGAATGGCGGGGGGTGTCGTTCTCTTTATTCGAAAGCGATGGGTCGGGTTTCTTTAGAGGATCTCGTTGGTCTGTGATGAGATGTGTGACGCGATTCGAGAAGAAGTCTTCTACGCTCTGTGCGAAGGGTGGCATTCAGAGATAAACTGAATAAATGCTAAGGACGTACGCCGCCAAGTTGCCGAATCCTCGACTGAGTTATCTTCATGGCGCTCAGGTGCTCAAGCGTAATATGGCTTTCATCGAAGTAGAAATGGAACGAGGGAAAGTAACGAGTATATTGAGTCTTGAAGTTCTGGCGCGACTTTTCTCTCTCAACCTGACGAAGGGCTTTGTCTTTGGGGTCCTCTTTGTCTCGTGCATGCGTCGTGGCGGCCTTCAGACGTTTTGAAGTGGATTCGGCGGGCGGCTCTGGAGATCTAGGGCGCTTGGAGCCTGACACAGACCTTGACTGCCTGATTGGAGGTTGTGTGCGACGGAGGGTAGCCATGCGGGAACCAAGAGAGGGATAGGTGGATGGACGTTCAGAGAGGGAAATGTCACCTGATCGCGTGCATAAACGACATCACATGAGAGTTGTCAGCGGGAAGCATTGCTTCAGCTCGTGACACTTCCTGCTCAGGGCTCTACCGTGTTATCTCCTGGGTTGAACGCATCAGGACAAGCTAACATGTCCAACTACGGTACTACTCGACATCATCCGTCAGCGGCTGCGCCCAAAGGGAGTGTCGACTACCACACTACTCTATTCCGACGTCTTAGCTGGGAAGGCACTGTTCCTTTGGAAATCCGCGTCGATCCCCAAGAACTGCCTGCAAACTCAGATCGTGGTCTTGCCTGCTACTTCATACAGGCTCCACGTGTCAGCTATCTACCTCTTGTCATGCCTGAACTGCGACGTTTCCTAATGGATGTCGTTTTCGAAGAGAGTGCGGCGAAGATTCTGAAGGAGGAAGACTGGTGGTTTGAGGCCGATGACGGCACTTTGCTCAAATGGTCCAACTTCAGCGTAGCCTTTCTGTGAAATTTATGCTTATCTCTTGCAGGCATTGGCCTATTGGGCTTATCTACGATAATCACACTATTCTGTCCACGATCCGTCCCGGAACCTCCCAGCCGAGCACAGCGTCCTCCCCATTACGATTGATTTTGCACCTTGCGTCTCCTCCGACAGACAAGCTTTTGTTGTCACCAAACGCGGAGTCATGCAAACAAGCATTCATGGGACAATTGAAGGAAGCCGACTTCATACGTTGGGGAAACACGAAGAGGATAACCGGGCTGAGGAAAGCAGACCAGGATGGGCTGTGGGAGGGAATCAAAGAGCGTGCGTGACTGAAGCCGTTTTCGACCAGCCAGTTGAACTCGTTCCAGACAACTTCGATGACTATTGGCGAGTGGCGGCAAAGGTGACACCGACTGCGTCGCAGACTCGACCGTCCTCCCCGGGCCCACCAGCTGCTTCGGTTTCGATGCATGGAAGGCCGCCATCGGCCGACGCAGTCTCTCCTGAGAAAGATGGCGCTTACAATGTCCGCAGTGTCCCCGTCAGACTATACCTTCCTGATGGGCCTGTGATACAAGGCTTGGTTCCTCCATTGCTTGAAGATGGTGAACATCATTGCTTCGATCTCTTGTGCTCACACTAATCGAATCAATTCCAGGCAGTCCACACATACTCTCTCAATTCCTTACAGAACACATTCCTCTCCTGTTCCCAGCTCGGCCTCCGGCGCCCCCAGCATCGCGAACCAACCCGAATCCGCAGCCCCCCAAGGTTCCCGAGTTGGCGTATGCGCTTGTACAGGGTGTTATCGCTCCACTCGAGTCTGAAATGGCGTGGCTGGGTGCATGTCTCGCTGGTGCCGATGGATGGTTGAATGTCTGCATTGGGATAAACAGGAAGTAGTGATACATTAGACGACCTCTTCTACAAAGTACTCTACATCTCGTCGGAATCATTGCAACACTGAGACAATCATTAGATGTATAAGGCGCAAGGGATGAGAAACAGACTCACAAGGGTCGCGGTAATGCTTCTGGCTGTTGTGAATGAACCCGATCTTGGTCCTGAAGTCCTCTCTCCGCTTCTGGTCCCGGAACTCGCGAACGTGCCGTCCCGCCTCCCTCGCCTCACCGCGGTTCCGGGCTTTCACGACTTCAGTCCCAGAGCCGTAAGCACCGTAGCCACCTTTCCGTGGCACCAAGGCCGAGTTTTTGTCCGCGAGCAGCTGTCTCACCAGCGCTGCACCCGAGTTGGGATCTTCCGGCTTGCCGCTGCGCCGCCCGAAAGTTTGTGGGTAGAATCGGCGGAGCTTCCGATGCCCTATCCGCAGCCCGGAAGGCAGCACGAGTTCCATGTTCTCCCCATATGTGATCTCGTTGTCTGGAAGATCGGACGAGTCGGAGTCGGAATCAGAGTCGGAATCATCATCGCTCGACTCGCTATCGGATTCGTCGACGACCTCGTCCACATCATCACCGTCATCGTCATCCATGTCCTCCCACTCCTCGCCCGATCCAGCATCCGCCACAATTTTGGCCTTCTTCTTGCCCTTGTCTTTCTTCACCAGCTCGGCAGGATACGAGCTGGAGAAATCGTAAAAGTCAGACACCTCCAACCGGTCATCCTGGCTGTCGTAGGCGATTTTACAGTGGCTTTTGTCCAGCATGTGCTTGCGGGTCGCCTCAAGGGTGCGAAACTCTTTCCCGCGCCCGTTGCAGTAGATGCAGACGTTCCCGACCGCGATCTTCTCTCCCAGATATGTGACGAACCCCTCCAGATCCGTGAGATACTCCGCATCGGGCACGAAAAACGAATGCGCAGCCGACATATGGGTCAGGTTCTCTGCGAAACCCTCGCTTTCAACGGTGCAAAACAGGCACGAGTTAGGAGACAGCCGCGAGCGAGCGGCGGCGATTTTCGCATCGATGCTCGCCTCGATATCCGCTTCTGATGAGTCCGCAGAAACCAAAGTGGATCCAGATGGTATAGGCTCTGCCGCCGCAGCCATTTCCACTTCCTGCGCAGGCTCTGAAAGAACGACGGGGGCGGAATCGACTTCTTCGGACGGTGCAGGGCGCGGGGGCGCGCGCTGGGCTTTGAGCTCCATTTCCTTATGCTTTTTCGAGTTGATGTGCGAGCGGTATGCGTTCTCGGTGGTGTAGGTTTTACTGCAAGTCGGGTTGAGGAAACTCAAATGAGGACAGCTGCGTAAAAACCACACACCCGCAAGCCTCACAAAAAGAGCCCTTCGCAGAGGACATGATCGCGGTCTCCATTCGCCGATCCAGCACCTTCTGGTTGAATAATTCGGCGCTGACGGGAGGTAGCCCGGCGACTCGACGCTTCATGTTGTACCTGTGGTGGTCGGAGCGATAGTGGGCACCTGCAGAACCGATTCAACACACAACGAAAAAGGTGTAGCAGATCGCGCACGTTGGTCCTCCGCCGAAAGGAATGCTATAGTGCATGATAGGCACGTAAAAAGTTCGGGGGCAGACGCCATGGTAGAGGATGATTTGAGAGATGGATAAAATTGGAGATCAGCCTAAGTACCACAGATCTCGATGACTAAGGTGATTACACAGCCACGAAATATCAGTCAGAGTTAGTCAACGACGGGACCGTCTTGCGAGTCACCGTCTGTAAGTCTACACAGCACGCGCCATGTCAGAAAGTGCTTCTCTATCACCGGACTCGTCTACCAGAGCACGGAGCATGCCATCCTCCCTGGCCAACAAAACCCTGGGGGAGTCAAATTCGACCTAGCAATTTATCTCAGCAACAAGTTTGATTGAGAAGCGAGAAAGGAACGCACAATCCGGCCGGCGTCAAGCACCATCTATCATTTATTCAGTATTGCCGGTGCAGAAAAAAATCGCGACAACCCACAATCTTGTCCGCGTCCATGATAGTCTGCAAGCGGTGTGCCACGGTGAGAATAGTCGTGTCTTTGGGGAGCTCGGTCCTCAGCGAGGTCTGGATGACGTTATCGGTCTTGTAGTCGATGGCAGACGTCGCCTCGTCCAAAATGAGCAACTTGCTCTTGCGCACAATCGCACGGGCTAGAATTAGAGAAAGAATAACAGGTTAGGCCCTGGTCTGAGAGTCTGAACCATGAGCACTACGACTGACCAAGTGCGATGATCTGGCGCTGGCCGACCGAAAGATTGGCTCCGCCAGAGGCAATCTCGCTGTCGAGTGTGAGCTTGCCTTCGTCCATCCCCTCTTGGAGCGAGAAGAGTCCCGCAGAGCGCAGAGCATCATTCAGAACGACATCATCTGCCTCGCCCAGGAGGTCCAAGTTGGACCGCAGCGAGCCCGTCAAAAGCTCCGGCTATGAATCGCTCAGACGTCGGTCACAAAGTAGTCAAAAAGGACAGACCACTTGGGGGATGATGGTGACGCTCTTGCGGAGAGCGTCCAGATTCAGGGACGCAGTGGACAGGCCATCATAATACACTCCACCCTCGGTGAGGATGCATCGCAGCAGCGATAGCGTCAGAGAGCTCTGCCAACCGTCAATCGGCATCCAATCTGCTCCACCCGGCCACGCACTTTTCCTGATCCAGTGCGGCCCACCACACCGACCCTCTCCCCGGACTTGATGTCAAATGTGACGTCTTCGAGAACTCTCGGACCCTCGGCCGAATACCGAGCTGAAAGCCCCTCGACGCTGAGATTGCCACTCGCAGGCCAGTAGGCCGGCGGAACACCAGAGGGCTTGGGCGCAGGCTCGTGGTCGAGATCAAGGTATTGCTTGATGCGTTCGAGGCTGTTACTCTGCACTTCGAAATCGTTGGACAACCGAACCCAATGGAGGATACCCGCCGAGAATCCAATCGCCTGCGTGCTCTTCAGCGGCGACCCCGGGCCGGGCTTCCAGGAATAGTGTCAAGTACACCCTACCATATTCAGTACGAAACCGATGTTCGAGGCGCCATGGTTTCCGAAATAGATCAGATAGTACGCGAGTAGCGCGGCCTAGAAAACCAATCAGAACGAGGGACTCCACAAGTCAGAAGCAGCGGACAAAGGCAGCTCCCATCGCATCTGGAAGACGTGTTAGCCTTGGTCGAATCCCGAAAAGTTACGACTCGCCGACTCGGATAACGATCCAGCGGTTCAGATTGGTGAACACCCGGTAGGCGCGGGTCGACTTGTTGATGAGTTTCAGCGAAGTTTGGATAGATGGTTGTTCAGCAGCATAAGCTCGAACGGAGGCTGGAAGATCATCTCAGCAGCAAAGATCAAAATGTACTTCTTTTGGACGCACGCAAGCCGGATATGGTTGCACCCAAGCTGAAAACGAGTCCAAAGTAAGTAAAGAGTGTCGCATCAGTTGGTCACGCACTGAGCAAGGACTGGCGCTTGGGTGTTGCTCAACTCTCTCTTCACGCTGAGCTGCGAAGCAAGATACACCCGCCCTAGCCATGTCCCCAAAACAGCCACGAGAACACCCGGAAGTAGAAACACCGGCGTGAAGAGGAGCACAACAATCAAACGGGCGATGAGATTCAGCGTGTTGTCTGAGACTCGGTCAGAACCTGCACTTGGCCCGCCAGACCAGACACACCCATCAGATCCCACAGCCCTTCTGACAGAGAATCGTCGATCGTTTGCATATCCCCTGTGCAGCGGGCCAAGATCCTTGACGTGGGCGTCACATCGAGAGTCCTGAAGGTGGCCGTGAAAATGGAGTCCATGAGCTGCGTATGTATCTGCTTCGACGCGTTGAAAGATCCGAGGGCGAAGTACGTGTAGGCGACGTCATAAATCAAGGACGAAGCAAAAACGATAGCAGCTGCACGCGCATTGAGCGCCAGCGCGGGTTCAGATGTCAGATTGGAGCTCACAGAAGATTCCGACGTATCTAATTGGTCAACAGTATCAGTGACAGGACATATGATGGGGGAAAAGGCACGAACTTGAAGACCGGGACAACAAATCCATGTCCATATTGACTGCGGTCGTTGTTCAATTTTCAATTACCTGCTCATCAGCAGGACAGAGACAGACACACCTTGCCCAATAGCCCAAGTACCACGTTTCTACACGAGCAGCAATCGAGTTCAAGATCGTCACCGCAACCAAGATCGTGAAGAACAGAGCTGGATGCTTCGAGTGTGCTGCCAAGAAGATCTTGAGGGCATGCCAGCTGACCCGGCCCACAGCGATCTCCTCGCTCATGATAAGCTTGCCCTGGACCTTCTTTCCATCCACGACTTCAGAAGCGGTTTCCTCGGGCTTTTCGGCCGAGTCCAGGGCCTCTCGGTCCTTTCCCACCTCCTCAGCCAGAGTCTCGTCCTCCTCCAAGGCCTCTGCCAGCGAGGGCTGACTGTGGACACGGCCATCGAGCCCGACCGAGACGACGTGGTCGGCGATCTTTTTTGTCAACGCGACGTTGTGTGTGACAAGAACAACCGTTCTGTTCCCATCCTTCACCAGAGAACCTGAGAAACATTTGCTGACAGCGGGAAGTGAGCGCACGTGATAAAGAACGTCCACGTGTACGTACTCGACAATCCATTTGGCTGTATGCACGTCCAATGCAGCTAGAACGTCGTCCAACAGCACGATGCCACTTTGAGAGTATATCGCGCGGGCAAGAGTGACACGTGCTTTCTGGCCACCTGATAAAGTCAATCCCTTCTCACCGACTTCTGTCTGATGGTGTGCTTGAGTGAGCCTGATTGCAGCAACAAACAACGAGACAGAGCTCACCTCATCACCCGCTTCGAAAAGCTCAAGATCGCGTTCAAGGCAGCACTGGTGTATCACCTTGGCATACCGCTCAGAGTTAAATGATTCGTTGTAAAGAATATTATTCTTGATGGTGTCATTCAGGATCCAGCTTTCTTGTGCAGCGTACGAAACACCGCGGTCACGTGGTAAATTGAGCCAGGAGGACGGGGATCGGATGAAATGCATCTCGCCTACGTAACCAGATCAGGGGCATAAACAGTGTGAGAGGCAGCCACTCGCCCAGTAGCGCCATTAGAAGCGATGTCTTGCCCTAGGACACGATCATTAGAATTCTGGAATGAGCCTCGCCATAGAATGCCCACCGAGCCTGTGGGACCAACAACTAGATTGATGGACCCCCGCTTGAATGTCACCTCTCCGTCGATCCTTAACCGGAAAGCACGATTGGTCGGGGTCACAGTGCCGTCTGTCGCTCCGTCGACTCGCGACCAGGCAAAGGTAGCGTCGCAAATGCCAATCGTTTCTGGAGAAGGAGCATCGAGTAAGGGGATGGCAATGTCTTCGGTAAATCGGTCGATAAGCTCCGTCTAAGAGCAGTCAATGAGCCAGACCACACGGGAGCAAGGAGCCCCCCTTACGTCGTTCAAAAAGTTGTTCAACCGTTTCAGCGAGACGCGGGCTTTGACGATCATGTTCACACAGTAGATGGTGAACCAGATTTGGCCGCGAAGAAGATCGAAGACGGCCATCGAAGAGAATACTTTGGACGCAGAGAGGTCTTGGTGCATCACCACAGTCTGTTCACTCGTTGGTCACAAGGCTTTCAGAAGTGACAACAAGCGTGCGCACACTAGCATTGTCAGCGAATAAGCAAGACTGGTCAGTGAGGACACTCACTAAGTAAGATAAGTCGCAAGCATCACCACAGTCGGCACCAAAAAACTGGTCGCAATCTGTTCAGTGGTGCGCCAGAAAGAAAGTAGCGAACACGTACTTGATTGAAGCCTGTAGAGTGAACAACACTTTGCGCCACCAGATCCAAGTAAGCTCATCGTTCCTCTTCGCGTCGATCCGGGCCTCAATCTGTTTCTCCCAGCCAAACATTCTGACGGGGGACGACGGTCAGTCGAAAGGTCGGGGAGCGAAGAATGTAAACAAACTTGACCATGCGAATGACACCGATCGCTGCAACGAATCAAACACCGTAATTGTCAGAGGATCAGACGCTCACATTCAGAGACAACCTCGACACGGGCATCCGTCTTTTCCATCGACTTGGTCCGCACATCAGCAAGGAGCTTGGCGATATACCCGGGCAGGGGAAACAGAATTCCCATAATCAACATCCCGACGAAAGTACTGCGAGTTTTCAGCGCGGAAGTAAGGGGGGAAATCGTCACAAGGATGCACCTCCAGCCCAAGATCTGGTACAAAAACATCACAGAGCCTACAACTTGGATGGGGACCAGCACAAGAATGAACATGATATTCCTCGCTTCATTGATGTTGTTGCTAAAGATCTGAATGTCAAAATCAGCTAACATTGCAAACGACGCTACGCACAGATCAGCCGCAACCAGGGTGTTGATCTTCCCAACCAGATTGGACTGGCCCTTTTGGGGCGAACCGTCCGTGCCCTCAGACTGAGCTTCAGCCTTGACACGAATCCGAAGTGCATGCTCGAAAACGAGCTCTGTCAGAATGGACTTTGCTTGAGACAGGACGTGGGTCTGTGGTGCGCGTGTTTCAGTAAAGTGGGTGGACGAAATTTGTTGTCAACACCGTCACTCACAGACACGAAAACGTTTCCTTGGAAGGCCGTCGCGTAAGTTACAGGTCCGACAAATAGCAGCAGCGCCCAGAACCAGGGCTTCATCGTATGTTCGGTGGTGGCGGGATCCTCAATATATCTGGGACAGATCAGACGAAGACCGGACGAAACAACATGGAACCTTACGCGAGAACCCGATTGACGGCCAAGGGTGCAACGAAATTGGAGAGCCCTGCAACCGTCAAAAGCACACCCATGGTCAAGAACTGCCACTTGAAGACCCGCAATAGGCCCCAAGTGATGTCGCGCTTCTTCCCGATCGAATACACGTCCAGATGTTCGAACGATCTAGCTTTGAGATATTCTACATCGTCGTAGTCACAAAGAGGCGGAAGCTGATCAAAGCTGAGATGAGGAATCTTGTAGGCCAGCGAGATGATCGGGTTCAGAAATGTGTAACAGCCAAAAGACAGAATCGACGCGGTCTGCTCAGGGTTGGGAACTGGCATAGGTTTCTGGTGTAGCCTCTTCAGAGCCTGAAGTGAGCGCAAATGATACGAATACACACCTTGGGATCCACCGGGGTGTATTTCGTCGGCATCGCGAGGGGGACGATGGCCGAAATCACGAACAGCACCGCGATCTGGGGCCACAAAAGCTGCCCTTCCCACATATCCTTCGGCTGCAGAGAGAACGTGGCCAGGGGGAAGAGATCCCGGTACACGTAAACGCAGAATGCCGAGCACAGAACAATGTTAACGTGTCGTGCTGCAGTCCGACTTTTGGCGTCATCGGTGGACATCACCGCCGAGGCCAACAGGGCAGCATACGCCTGAAAGCACGTTCACTGACAATCCATAACTTGTAGGGGACGCAAAAAACGAACATATACACCGCACAGCGCGCCCTTCAGTCCGAGCGGAGGACCTGATCCAGTCCGCGTCCTCTCCCCTTCTGGATCCCCTAACACTGCCGACGCCGTGGACATCCCCAGCAGAAGAAAACATCCCAAGAGTCTGGCAAGCTTCAAAAAGAAAGCTGTAGCCCCCCCTGTGCGCCCAACGTGATCAGCAAGGGTTGTGCCGAAATGGGTGGTGTCTTGTGGTGTCGCTGAGGGCCTTTTGGACTCGTCCCATGATTCCCGCAACGCAAGACTGGCCAGCCCGAGGGCAGAGAAGAGGCCGATGTAGATGGGTATGACGAGCGTGTCTCCCGTCATCATAGGCGGGGTGCGAGGAGAGAGGGACGAGCTGACGCGTCGAGCTTATTGTAGAGACTCGACGAGAAGCGACCTCTATAATGGAGGGAGCGTAAGTTTATGGCTGAAGTATACAGCCTCCAGCAATGGATGTAGCGTTGAGCAAGAGAAGCAAGCCCCATGCAACATTATGAGTTGGCGCGTAGGTTGATCAATGATAGTCCGTTATCAAGAGCTGTGCCTGATTGCACTGAACATTAATCTGATCAAGGGAAAGCATTACTGTGCGATCGGACTGTCTATGCCTTTGGCTACACGAGCTTGTATATTTTGAATTTACAGAGAATCAAGAGACAGTTGCGTTCAGGAATACTCCTGCCTCCGCCCAGTCCATGCGCTCTCGTTCCTTGCCCTCAACAGCCCTGCGAATCTCCTCTTGATTGATGCGCGCCCAGTCATCGTACGTGACGACTCGGGAAGAAATCAGCGGTATTGAGTCGTCGTCAACAGCTTTGTGATTCATCTCCAATTCGCTGGATTCGCTCGTTTCCACCGCCTCGTCTGCAAGCACAGCCTCCGCTACGTCGTATGCATTCATCATAGTCGCGGCAATGACACCCCGCGCACCCTGCCCGGCCCACCCAGCAGCGTAGACTCTCGGAACCGGCCGATTGCTGCTATCCAGGACTCTACCGCCTGCTGCAGTGCGAATGTGGCCAGTCGTAACGTCGAAAAAGGGCGTAGTTGGCTCAGCTCGGAATCCCAGACTCGGCAGAACGAGGGACGTGGGGAGCGGAGCAGCTGCACCACCTGAGACCGCACGCCCGCTCGCATCCAGGGTCGTCTCCGCCAACGTCAACTGAGCCAGATCTCCGCCGTCGACTGGTGGTGCTTCGATCCCGGTCGGGGTTCTGTAGAAGTGCAGAGCCCAGGACTTCGGAGTGGTGCCGTGCGCGGCTCGGGAACCTTGTCCCAGAAGCTGCAAGATCCGGGATTGCGGCCGCGTAGGTTTCACATCCGCCGGCACAGCAAGGAGGGACGGATCGAGCGGGGCCATGGATGCATTGGGAAGGCTCAACAGCTCGCGCAGCTCTTTGCTGTGAAAGCAGATTGAAGGGGCCCGCGTCGAGCGACGATGTCGACGTGCGAGACCTTCGACCGCGACAGCACCTCGAGAACTGATTGTGGGACGTCGTAGGGGGCCAAGCGACCTGGTTCGGAGAGCAGCATCCGAGCTACGTCCAATGCAACATTCCCATTCCCTATCAATGCAACGCGAGTCATTTTATCCAGTGCAGGAGGAACGCGAGGAGCAGAAGGATGCCGTGTGTACCAGTGGACGAATTCGAGCGCAGGCATACACCATTCGGACCGAGGAAGCGTCGGGTGTTCGACTGGCAAACCGCAGCCCGTCGCAAAGACGAGATGAGAGTATGTTCGGGCAACGTGCTGGAGAGACACATCTTCTCCAACATTGACATTGCCATAAAACCGGAATCGGGGATTGGTCGCCACTTCGTCGAATTTGTGGGTACAGTTTTTGACTTCGGGGTGGTCTGGTGCGACACCGTATCGGACGAGCCCGTGCGGAGCCCATAGGCGGTCGAAGACGTGCACACGGGCAGACGCATGGCGCGTCAGGAGACGCGAGGCAACATAAAAGCCAGCAGCGCCTCCGCCGACGATAGCGACCTTCATGGATGAAAGATTATCGAGTCATTTAGTAAGAGGCGCATACGACTGGGTGCTTCGGTAATTTCCGGCCGACCTCGTCATTTCGATTGTGTCAGACGTGAGTTAGTTTGTCCGTCGACTCCATTACTTAGTCCTATTTAATTGGAAATACGGAAACATACATCTATCCTACAGTTGGGGACCGGCCATGCGAACCTTGAGATCGACATCTTTCTCGTACAAGGCAAAGGCCTTCTGGAACATGCCGGCCAACTTGCGCACTTCCCGCTGGAAGGCCTCCTTGTCGGACCAGGCAGTCTGAGGATTCAAGAGCTCCTTCGGGACGCCCTCGATGTTCTTGGGGATGGACAGATTGAAGGTCCCGAAGTTCTCGTACTCAGCCTTGGCGAGCTCGCCGGAGTGCACAGCATCGACGATGGCGCGGGTGAACTTGAGCGGGCAACGCTTGCCTGTTCCGTACTTGCCGCCGGTCCAGCCAGTGTTGATCAACCAACAGTTGACCTGATGCTTGGCCATGCGCTCGGCCAGCATTTCAGCGTAGCGGCCGGGCTGGTGCGCTTGTCAATCTTGATCGGATGAGAGATGTGGACCAACTCACGTGCAGCACGATGAAGGGTGCGCTGTAGCAGGTCGAAAATGTGGGAATCGGTTCCAGCACACCATCTTCTGTTCCAGGCGTCTTCCTGCAAAGATGTAAGCAATCAAGTTCGTCAGAATCACTGCATTCGCATACGATGTGTATCCAGCGAGGAAGTGGTAGCTGGCTTGCTCAGCCGTCAGTTTGCTCACAGGCGGGAGCACACCAAAGGCATCGCAGGTGAGCATGATGATGTTGCTTGGCTGGCGGTCGACCACACACGGAATCTTCGCATTCGGGATGGACTCGATGGGATAGGCGCAACGTGTGTTCTCGGTGATGCTGACATCATCGTAGTCAGGCACACGAGAGACGGGGTTGTACACAACATTCTCCAGAATGCTGCCAAATCTGATGGCGTTGAAGATCTCAGGCTCCTTCTCTGCTGACAGGTTGATGCACTTGGCATAGCAGCCACCCTCAATGTTGAACACGCCTATATGCGGCATGGTCAGTTGAAGATGATAAGACTGACAAATGAGAGACGCACCCGAGTCACTCCAGACATGCTCATCATCACCAATCAGCAGACGATTGGGGTCGGCAGACAACGTTGTTTTGCCTGTTCCAGAGAGACCGAAGAAAAGCGTCACATCGTTGTTTTCGATTCCAACGTTCGCTGATGAGTGCAGAGACAGCTGGCCAAATTTGACGGGTTGCAGATAATGCTACCAGCAGATCAGCTGTTGAACGATGCGGAAACTGCCTGAGTGAACCAACCATGACGGAGAACACGCCCTTCTTCATCTCGCCGGCATATTCAGTTCCCAAGATGACCATTTCCATTCGCTTGAAGTTGATCTCAACCGAGGTCGTAGAGCTCATGCCCTTGGTGAATCGGTTGGCAGGGAACTGGCCAGCATTATAGATGATGAAGTCAGGTTCGCCAAAGTCTGCCAACTGCTCCTCAGTTGGTCGGATAAGCATGTTGTTCTGACAGGCAACTAATCAGCCGCAGCACCGATAATCGGAGCGACGACGAACCATGAATAGCGCATGGTATGCCCTGGCACAGATTACTCGGACCTTAATGCGGTACTTGGGATCCCACTATAAAGAATCAGTCAGTCAAGAAACGTTAGCAACCGAGGAATTGGACGTACACCAGCGTATCCGTCGAACACATAGACGTTGTCGCGGGTATTGAGGTAGTCAATGGCACGTTCACGGTTGATTTCAAACGTGTCTAAGCAGAGAGTCAAGTCGGACCGTCCGTCCATCGGACGTATGACATACGCTCATCCAATTTGATGTTCACAGAACCCCACCTGATCACGACGTCAGCGGGGATGAAGAAGCCAATGCGCAGCGCTCACCAGATGTCATCCTTGCTGGAGTCCTCGTAGACAATACGCTTGTCCTTCGGGCTACGTCCGGTCTTCTTGCCACTGAAGTTGATCAGAGCTCCGGTAGAGGAGATGATGGCGCCTTCGTTGCGGATCGCATCTTCATAAAGTAGAGCTACAGGTGCGTTGCGCTTGATCTGGATCCGGTCCATATCGAAACCGGCCTGGGAGAAGTATTCGAGATCACGGCCGATGACTGGGGAGACATGAACAGCGAGCGAGCGAAGCAGGAGCTGTACGCACGGGTACTGAACTGCTCAGAGTCGTGGGCCTGGGCATAGTTCTTGTGGAGGATGTGGGGCGTCACGTAGGGTGTGTGGGGGGCCATGGTGGATGAATGCTAGAGAGACGGGTAAACACAGCCGCCGAATGAAATGACTCGGAAAGATGACGGACGGAAAGACGAGTAAACTTGTAACGGGCTGAAAAAGGCACAAAGTGTCTTGGTGGAGCTGGGATGTGACAGAATGGTTTTATACTCCGGAAAACAGAGTACATCGATCCTTCCAGATGTAACACCCCTCCTCTCTCTCCCGGTTTGTCCCGAAAGCCGCTTGGCGGCGGGGCCCCGCGCAGGGCCGATCGATTGCTACCGTAGGAATTGCCTTTCCCCGGAGTCACAGGATCATTCCCCGTTTTCAGCTCCTGAGGTTGTCTGCGATCCAATCGTACGGGTCTTGTGGCCTGGGCTTTGAATAGCAGACAAGTTGGAGAGCTGAGAACAGTCCGCCGACGGTGCTCAGCGCTGACGACGTTGCAGAAGAACACCAAGCCGCTCGTTGCTCATCACATGTTTACCAGGCATGACAATCGTGTGCGCCGTGTTCCTTAAATACACACTTCAACCCCCCTGATATCTCTTGCATCTGAAATACCATGTTCCTATTAAAGAGACCCCTCAGACGACCTCGCGCAGTCAATCTGTAATGGCCCTCGTCCGACCCATGTGTGCTCAAGACGTGCCCATCATTCGCCAAATGCACGTAGGGAACAATTTCCCAGTCACACGAGCTGATTTGCTCACTGTTCGATGACGCCAGAGGGACCTGCTGCCCGGAACATACCCATCGTCATTCTTCCTGCAGCTCCTCATACAGGCAGGACGCATATGTCTCGTTGCTGAAAATAACCTGAAACTTGTTGGATTCATCTCGGCTATCGTACATACCGACAGATATGTCGAGATTCTCACTCTTGGGGTGCTTCCGGATCATCGACAACAGGGGCTAGCGACTATCTTGGTGCAGACCGTAATCGATTATCTCGTCTTGCCGTCTGCGATCCCCGCAAACGTCGTCGTCCAAACTTGGATCTCCAACACCGCAGCCGAAAAGTTCTACAGAGTTATCGGTCTGCAGCCTGCAACCGATATCGCCAACGACATGTATAGGGCACGCGGGGTCCCCCAGAGTTGTCACGCCGGTTCCACTTTCCGGGGCCGATTGGTGACATCGCGTAAGGGAGATACTAGATAGCAAACGTTATGTAAAGTGCCGTGAGGTGAGATGTAAATCGTTGGACCCGTCGGATCTCGTCGGACTGGGGTCTGTAAGTTGTAGTAATTGAGAAAGGGATCAGCGACTTGAACGCGGTTAGTCACGCACGCGTGACTTGATCATTCCAGATCACGCGTTTGTGACGCCTTTCTCATCAGCTGCTCTGACCGTCCTGTCATGGCCCCTCGTAAGCCAACAACAAGGTCAACCCTCGTTTATCATACCTTTCCTGCCTTCTATGCGTGCTACCTTTGAAATCTATTCAAACACTAACTTCAACCGCGTAGGTCGACCTGTTCTCGAATCGTAAGGCCTAAGTTGAGCCGCTCATTTCTAGAACATACATAGGCAGCACACCGAATCCTCCTAGGCGCATACGGTGAGCGAAGGATCGGACACTGAGACTTCTTCTGACGTACATCAGCCAGCATAATGGTGAAATCACCCAGGGTAAGCTGGTGCACTTTCGGTTGTTTTCTCCTATCGAACATCAATTCGACCAGGTGCTCACAAAACCCGACGGCGTCGGCCATGGGTGATGCAGATGATCGTGCATGGTTTCCCCTCTAAGCTGGCTGCACTCCAGTTTGAATGGGCTTGGCAGCATGCTCACATATCCCGACACCTTCGCGACGACGCCGGTCAGGCTCTGCTCAGAAGAGCTACATCCTTGATGACACAAATCCGGTGAGTGGCTTTCACCACCGTAAGGTTCATCCAATTGAACTCTGTAGCACCGTGCGAATGATGCTTTCTATGCATCCATGGAGCATGTGGCCTCTGCACATCAAACTATTCACCGAGGCAGCTTTCAAAGGTTGGAAAACTGTCAACGAGAAAGGAAATCCGCCTCCTCTCCCACCCGGATTTACTTCCTGCGTGGAACTGGAAGGAGTAGATGGGCGATCTGGCCGAGTGGGCTCTGGAAGACAAGAACCACTCAGTGTTGATGATGGTAAGCCCATAACGATCTCTGTGTTCCATCTTGAACAATCGTTCCACCAGCCCAATTCACATCCGCATACTTGTTGAAGAACACGGAACTCTTGTCGACATCCAATGGGCATTTAACGTGTTCGATATGCAAAAAGGAGATCGAGGAGTACAGTACTGTGAGCATCGCCCTCCATTGTGCCCCACACTTATCCGTCTGAACCTTTAAAAGACTCCATTACAGACCACCTTGTGTCCGACTTCCGGCTGTTCAGCCGTCTCCCATCTGCACTGTCTTTCGCAAGACTTTCTGAGCCGAGAGACAGAGAACACCGCCATGGTTCCTCGCGGCGGACAATGCCATTCTTGTCGTACTTATGTCCTCTGGGGCGATGTCATCCGTGGTATGTATCGCCGAGTTGCAGGTGGAATCGTTCAAGAGCTGGACGACGATGCGCTTTATCTTTCTGACATTACAGAAGATGGCATCCCCATCTCTAAGGGGAAAGAGAAAGGGAAAGGGAAAGCAGCCTCGTCGAAATCCCTTACGCCCAAGCGACGTCGAAGCAAAATTCAGAGTGATCTGGAAGGCTCTTCAGAAGGCGAGATGTTCGATCTCGATGTGAGCTCGACATCAGACAGTCAGCCGTCTTCTCCCAGTCGTCGCAAAAGGGGGAGGCCACCCAAAGCGGCGGCAGTCGGCAGAGCCGTCGTTCCTGTTTCGCCTCGAAAACGTGGGCAGCCACCGAAAAATCCCGTTACAGACGAGTCACCGCGGAAACGAGCAAAGAAAGCATTAGCTGCAGGCTTTCATACATGGGCTGCTCAGAATGATAGCGACTTCTTCGAGTCGGACAGCCTTGAGCTTCCTCCTGCTCCGCTACATCTGGCCGCACCAGAACACTCGGATGACCAGGCTGATCTCAGCCGGGCCATGTCGGTAGTCGAGATATCTGATTAATTCCTTACTGTATTCTCCCACACGTCTTGCTTGTATTTTCTAGGAACAGTGTATGAAGTCTGTGACATGGATCAGCTCTACCGCAGCCAGACAGTTGATTGTTCGTTCCGTAACTTGACGCGACACACCATGGCAGTGCAGACTCCTGTGCCACTCGTTTCCTACCTCTCCGCAGTCGTCTTCCTGCATATAATCCGTCGAGAACTCACTCCGAGGATACACATACACACCGGGGATGAGCCTGGATCAGAACCTCTTCACGCTCATCGTCACACCGTCAGCCGAGAACCCGCATGTCGTTGATCTCATAGATCCGCAAGGCCGCACGCACTACCGCAAGCAGCGTGTGGCTTCAGTGGCCCCCGTGTACAAAATCGAAATATACGGTTTGCGGGAAACGCTGTGCGCCGTGCTCGGTTGGCTGACGATACCACTGCTACACAGACCGGGAATCAGAAGCGCTGCTAGTGACGGCTACCGCGCCCTCTGCCGCAAGCAAAACCAAGGTTCTCGAACTATGCAATCCCACGTCGACGGTGGAGCTCCGCTACACCGGAACTCTAAGCTTCAGATGGGGATTCAAATGGGAAGAGTGCGTCTCCAGATGCTGCGCCGGATTCCGCTGTTAGGGCTCTTACTTGAACCTGTCTTCCCAGTCACGAATTCGAATGGAAACGCGAGGAATGCTTCATGCTCAGAAAACCCGATCCGCCTGTTCTCGTTGCCGTGACGAGGGAGCCGCCCGGGAGGCTGAAGACGACGTCCGTGCAGATACTGGATTACAACCTCAATCGGTGCGCGATCGTACTGCACTCCAGCTATGTCCCAATTGCTCAACGGGAGGCGCGTACTAGATTCGAGATCGACGACCGCAAGGGCCTTGAGATCGTGATGCTGACTGCCCTGATGACATTCCAAGATGCAAATGACCTGCATCACACACCGGAACCGTCTACGTCCAGACGCGGCTCTGGCAATACCGTCCCGCCCGCCGTCTCCCCCGCATCCGGCACTCCTCCCATCCCCCTGCCTCCTCCCAAGCCACCGAAGAAACTGGGCATTGACCGGATTGCGGAGATGCAAGCGATGCGGGGCCAGTTCAATGAAGTATCTGTCGAGGACGAAGGCAGTGTCGAGGACTACGGTTTATATTGCGCCAACTTATTCCATGTGCGGCAGAATATGACGTTCTCTTGAAGCCGCGCAACTCACTCGGTTGCAGGACGATGCCATGCTGTTCATCAGTATTTTGTCCGCAGAGGCTAGTCAGGTGCCCAAGGTTCTGCAAGTGGTAGAAGAGGCGAAGAGGATACGACACAAAGCCGGTCCGTGTCTTCTCTTCGGTTACACTCGCTCCAGGGACTCACCGACTGGCAGGCATCACCGAGGAACTGCACCAATACGTTCTTTACGACACGCTGCGCAAGGGACCGCGGCGGATCAATCTCGACGACGCCGACAAACGGAAGTACACGCCGCCCGAGAGCCTCATCGTGCATCTTTCTAAAATACCGATGCCTGAGCTCCAACCGCAAGCACCCTCAACAGGAGCCGTCGCGCCGTTGGAGCACGAACGAACAAAGAAGGATAAGGACAGGAAGAAAGAGGGGAAGCGGAGAGAGGACAAGAAAGGTAAGCCGGTCATCAATGGGTAAGACGACGCAGTTCTCAACGCGAGCAGGACCTTCGCCACCGCCACCGCCGCCCACGAACAAGCTGATGCGTCCACCTCACAATCCCGGGACGTACGTGCACACGCCGTCGCCCTCGCAGCTCAACAATCCCGGGATCTACGTGGCTCCTCCGCCGCCCAGGAACACGCATCTCAGGCCTCGTCCAGACGATGAGCACCACCTCGCCTCACCCTCCTCGCGCCTGTCAGGCTTCTTCGGGGATCTTTTGCATCGGCCGCGCTCGGCCGCGTAGTTGATTCGTGTCCAGTAGCATATATTTATCCACACACATCTTAAAAATACATAAACATACCGCAGCATCTCTCATTCGAGTGCTTCGGCCACAGCAAGATAGAGCGCGCGTCCCAACTTTCTCACGACGTCGTTGGAGCAGATGACGCCGGATTCCAGCGAGACGAGGCGGGCCGACGCCGGGGCTTGCAGGGCGTCCAACGTCTTCGCAAGCAGCTGGGCGAACTTCGGGATGGGCTGTATCCCCAGTCCGTCGGGAGGCGGGTCGCCTGGGGCCTGGTACAGCGAGCGCGACCCATCGACGATAAGCACCCGATGGCCGGTCATTATCCGGAAGTCCAGGGCGTGCCTGGGGCTGACGGTCAGTTGTCCGCGCATTTCGTGCACTTGAACAGCACCAGCAGCACTTACCTGGCTTCACTGAACAAGAGGCGATACCAGCCGGCAGATTTCGGGAACGGGTCGACGGAGCCGCTCAGTTGCTTGATCTCCTCCAATTCGATCGCAATGGGAAGCGTTTCCCGGAGACACGAAACGAGTCGATGGATGGAAGGGGCCAGCCGGCCCTGGCCGGCCTGGAGGATGTTCCGAAGGAATGGTTCCGCATCATCGTGTGGGTTGAATTCATCAGCATTGGGCGCACAGCGGGAAAAGCGAAGATCGAAATTGCCACCAGTCGACAGCTGATCTTCACACGAAATGGACACGGTATAGTCCTGCACATGAGCTCAGAAACGGCGCGAAACTTGCGGGTCAGTGACGAACCGAGGCGTAAGCAAAGGCCACAGTCTGGAGATCGAACGACAACAGCTTGATATCCGGCCATTTCTTGTCTTTCGACATTTGGCCTATCTCCCGGGCGATGACGACCATCTTGGACACCCTGGCCCACTCCTCCAAAAACTCATCCACACAAGTGTTAACGTTCTCAGACACGAAAGAAACGACGGCTTCTGTCGTGTCGTAGATGATCCGCTTCGAAGGGCGAATAACTGTACTGGTCCCCGCAGATTTACCCATCGGCTGTTGCACATATTTGAGTTTGACGCAAGTGACAACCTAACGGAACGTGGCTCAGTAGACAGTAAACAGCGATGAGGGACGCAACGTGCCTTGGTGCTCTTGTCAGACCACCAGTTGAGTGGGATGAATCGGATGTTCGGCATCGCGGCCTCGGCAGCTGGAGCTCCAGATAAAAGATCCTGAGACTGGACGCAGATTGCCGGCACGTAGCGAGCCAGCGACGATTGCACTTGCGCAAGTTCGGGCGTGACAGGCTGGGGGTCTGTTGGCCCTACTAGGCTGTAAGGGATGCTGCGGGCCTTGAACTGGCTCTGAATCGTCTTGAATGAGATACGAGCACTTGGGTGGGTCAGCTCGGCTCGAAGAATCAGCAGAGCGCTTACCAGCAGTAACTGTAGAGCTCGCGCAACAGATCCGAATCAAGATTGAAGCTGCGCCCAGTGAGTCATCGCACTGGGAAATGATCTGGGCTCACCCTGCGTGTGGTGGTGCACCATCCACTGCTTCTGTGACATTGATCTGCCCTCCGTGGATCCGTTCGTAGTCCAGCCAGCCCAAGTCATTCATGATCAACGTGTCATAAGGACTGCTCGAAACAATCCCAGTCTCGATGAGCGCATAGCGGAACTCATTATCAGTGATGACAAGAACCAGATACGCCCGAGGGAAGTTGGTCAGCTGGATGTATACTGCTCCCCGCGCATTTAATCCCAGTTTCGCAAGTTCTATGCGGGGTGAGGATAGCGAGCGTGGACAAGGTCACAATCGTACCTTCCGGGCCGAAATTCCGACGCCTGAAGCTCTGCAAGCCCAATGAGACGGCCTTCTGCTCAGCCAAATCCGTAATAGTCTGTAGCCGCACTCAGAACCGTCACCGTTATCGGTCGACAATGAACGCACGTAGATACGAAGGCGGACAAGAACGTTGAACATCACAGTCGGGTCCTCGTTGATCTTGTCCGACAGAGTCTTGAAGCGAGGGCCCTTCTCGGCAGCTGCCAGATCGCCGGTGTCCCGGATATTGAGTGCTCCGGTCCTCAGATCCAATGCGATGATGACGATCTCCTCCGCACAGAGATTGACCCGCAGAACTTGCTGTTGATCTTCAATTCTGTCAGACATTCCTTGCAGGGACTTGTACGATGGCGAGTCTTACTTTCCGTGACCACTGTGACGATCCCGGGGTCCGAAAACACACCGTGAGGCTGCGCCCGCTGCAGTTGGAGCTGGAACAAGTGCAAGATCTCGTGCGTGTGTTTCCTAAGCACTTTGTCGAGCAGCGCTTCAAAGTTGAGGTCACAGGCATCCTACCGTAGCATCAGAACATGCATCAATCATGCGGTTCAACTCACAATGAAGAGAAAATTTTCGGGAACGTCGGGAGAGATAACAAAGCCCAAAGCGCCTCTGGCTGGTTCCCAGCGGACCTCAAACTTGAGCCCTTCGACTTCATCCGAGGGTTTCTGCGACCCCAACTTGGCTCTTTGCTGAAGCTCAGCGAGGACCCGCGCTTTCGGCGATCTTGATTGCGACGCAGACTTGCTTTCCACAATGGAGATCGTCAGAGTGCCACCCATCGTCGGCAACTTGACCCGAGGACGCGTCATTGTCGGCGCTGGGGCTGACGGCCGACTGTCAAATCGTCAGACACCAAGAGTACGTTGCCCGATCGTCACTGCGTCTTACAGCCAATAGGATACAGTGAGCGTTTTTCGATTGTCGCTCATAGTCACGGACATGAAGTTCGCCCATCCTAGGGAGCGCATCCTCTCGGCCTGGAAAAATTCAGCAACAATATTTCAAGCAAGGCAGCAACTGACCTGATACCAGAGAATCTCAAGCTGATAAGATAATGACATCATCTCTGAGCACGAAATCAGATGAGATGGAGAATAGAGCGCGTGACGAACGCAGAAAATTGTATATCCGAACGAGAGGCGTGTCAACAACGCCCTCGGAGAGGGTTGGCCGAGGGGGAGCCTCCACTCCCGGAGGAAGCATCGGATCAGCCGGGAGGGGGAGGAAGAAGGCCAACTGAGAATCAGCCTCATCTGTGATGTGTCGTTTCATCAAGCCAGCAGGTGTCCTTGGAAATTCTGGTGGGGTTCAGCAGCGCTCCAGTTCATCTCCGGCTGCAGTGACCTTGTATGCCAGCCAAGTCGCCTCCAACAGTGATCAAGAACTCGACATGCACGAAAAACCACCCGTCGTCTTTTTCTCCACCGCGCAGACACAACGACGCCTCGAAAAGATTCGGCACCGTAAAGTACACTCGACCATCGGCGATGTGGTGTTCAGACATCTCAACAGGAATGAGCTCATGCATTCGCAGTCGGTAGCGGATAGCATCCTCCATTTCAGAAAGGGTTTTGAGCACTTGGGCATCCGTCAACGGCGTCGGCGGAATCATCATTTTCTAAAACACCAGTGAGCACAAACAGATCCAGTCGGGGATCATAACAGACTTTGATTCCAGTTGGGAGCCCGTGATAGGATCCTGTGGTCAATACGTCCAGTGAAGTCAAGAGATCGTGGTTTCGGAGACTAGCTTCATGAGAAAAGAATGGCGTAGTGATCTTGGCCATAACCTACCGAGCAGGGTCCAAACTCTCCTTTGCGTAATTGAGCCTGTGGATCACATCCTCGAATTGTTGATTCTGGTTCATAAGGAAGGCAGTAATATTCTGTATGAGAGAACGCTCAGACTGTGGCATCCAGACCGGTGTTTGTAGGCACACCATGCATTTCTGGACTGTATCGGCGTCCCGCGACCACTTCACCACAGCGTACAATTTGACCACCTGCTTCTTCGTTTTGACCACCCAATCTGCCAGTGTACGTTTCTTTGCGGGGTCGGACATATTTGGCATCCTACACAGCAGTCGGATTAACACAGCATGTGGCCCGAGTAACTACCCACGTTTCCGCCAATTCGGAGAGTTCTGCATAGATGTTTTGTATGACACGCGACAAGAGTTCTCCCAGGGGTATTTGATCATCGTAGACCACGGGTAGGTCGCGCTCGAGCTCCTCGACGGAAATATCCTCTCCCGCGTCCATCTCCAGTATTCGCGCGTCTATCCCATTTGGGGCTTGGTCGTGAGGAGATGCATCGGTGTTCATGATGTATCCGCGTCACAAATATCTTTGCCGAAGATCATGGACCCCTTCAGCTGCTGTTCTAGTCGCAGCAGGCGCAGAGTGGCGTGTTTGTGTGAGGGCCAAGAACAAGATGGTTTTTGACAGCCGATCAATTGTTCTGCTGTTGCAACACCATGATTGCGACAGGCTCTCTTTCGTGTTCCTCTCTCGATTTTTCGAGCTCCTTGCCCGCGCTATCACGACACAATGGACTATCTTAGGACGCTTGGCTCTGCCGCTGTCTCGACACTGGTACAGAAATCCGGGCTCACGCTGCCTTTCACCCTCGGCCCCAAGGTAACCACATTCGAAGGCGTATGGACGTTGTACGATGCCACAAAGCGGGTGCGCATTCCAGCATCTGCTGCACATCGACATTCAGAGCAGCATGGCAGGATGATGGAACGCAAGTCTCCGTATTCGAATACGATTGTACGGCCCGACGCGGGATGCTCCCGATAGCGAAGAACGCGCTGCGGAAACTACGCACGACACGACATCCGGATGTGCTCAAGTTTATCGATGCTGTTGAAACAGAAACTACGATTCACATCATGACGGAACGCGTTCGGCCGCTTCAGGCGCTGCTGAATTCGTGGTCTGGCCGTGATGCTCAGGAGCGGGAGGATTGGTTATTATGGGGCCTGCATCGCGTTTCTGTTCGTCGTTCTGTCCAAACTCTTTCCGTCTTTACGTGTCAATCATTGGATCAGGTAGCTTTGGCGTTCTTGAACGACTCTTGCGCATCTACACATGGCAATATCAGGGTCAACTCGCTATTCATATCGCCCTCCGGAGAATGGAGGCTCGGTGGATTTGATCTTCTCAGTAATCCAAAGGAGGAGGGGGCGGTTCTCTACGTGAGCGATAACCCTGGCTCTGAGAGGAGACATGGACTGATCAAATGGAACAGACTTTGGGTGGGCAGCTTCCCGAGGCTGGTGCCTGGGCATCTCCCGAGGTGAAGAAAGGTGGTTGGTCGGTGATCAAAGAGTATGGTGGTGCTCTTCTCCTTCTGTACATCTGCTGGGCTGACTTGGTGTTAGAAACGAGCCCGCCGCCGCCGACGCCTACGCTCTCGGTCTACTACTACATGCTGTTTTCAATCCGAGCCATCCTCCACCGGCCACCGCGAATCCACCCCATCCTCCACCCCAGCCTTCGTCTCGTGGCGCTATCCCAAACTCGATTTTTCCGTCGTTCAAGAAGTTACTCAACCCTAACCCCAAGGGACGCTTGACTGCGAAGGGATTTCTTGCCATCGGTATGGCGGAGACAGGCTTTTTCGCCAACAACAGATTGGTCAAAGTCTGCCTCGGTCTCGACAACTATGCGCTCAGCAGCGAGTCTGATAAGGCTCTCCTTCTTCGCACCTTGAGCGAAACCGCCAATTCATTCCCGCCGGAATTCGCATCGTTCCGGGTGCTGCCGTCTTTGGTTTCTGCTCTGGAGTTCGGAGGTGCATCTGCTGCGACGATTCTTCCTCTTGTACTGAGGTTCGGCAAGAACGTATCACCCGAGGACTATCCGAATGTTGTACTTGCCCCTCTAGTCAAATTATATGCAAGCCCGGACAGAGGCACCAGGATGGCTTTGCTGGATCATCTACCTGAATATGCTGATCGACTAGATAAGAAGACGGTGGACACCAAAGTGTTTCCTCACCTCGTAAGCCGTCGTTCGAGTCCACGTCCAACATTGCCATCTCACCAAACGATCAGCAAACGGGATTCTCGGACACAGTCGCTGTGATCCGTGAAGCCACTGTCCGGTCCATAACGTTGATTGCGCCTCACGTGAGCCTTTTCGTTTGGAGATCCAAGTCGTTGGAGTGACCTCTTCAAGCTATCAGACCGGATACTCAACAACGAACTGCTCCGCTTTCTGGCAAAGATGCAATCTGACCCGGAAGCATCTATCCGCACCAACACCTGCATCCTCATTGGTCGGTTGGCTCCGACACTCGGGTACAACACGAAACGGAAAGTTCTCGTCCCCGCATTCTCACGTGCATTGAAGGATCCCTTCGTGCATGCCCGGGTTGCGGGTCTGATGGCGTTCATGGCGACGATCGACTGTTTCGACATTGAGGATCTCGCTACCAAAGTCATCCCGAATGTGTCTTCCTCGTTGATAGACAAGGAAAAGTACTGCAGCAACGGCGTGCTTGGATGATCAATATCTGATTTCTTGCCAGGCTGGTTCGAGACCAGGCATTCAAGGCAATGGAGCTCTTCGTCAAGAAGTTGGAAAGCCATGCAGCTGAAATGGTCGGTTCAATCTAATCTCATGTTCCAGCGGAGACTCATGATATAGCCTGAGACCGCTGCCCCCGCTGTTAGCGACGCGCTCGGTGTCACTGCACCGGCTCAGGCCACCATGGTCAACTCGGCTGCCGGTGCCGCCGGTGCTTTGGCTGGCTGGGCCATTTCATCCCTCGGCAGAACGGTAGGAGGAACATTCGTCACTCTTCACTCAGTATTAACGTGTGTTTCCCAGCTTGCTACCTCTGAGCTACAGACCGGGATCGCCGCCACCATTGAGCGACCGACCTCAGCACCTGGCCCCGCTGCTCTCCCAGCCATCCAAGCTGTCTCAGCAAATGGATCCGGAAGCAGGAGCGGAGTCTCAACACCCAAACCTTCCAAGTCAAAAGCGATGCAACTCGGCGCAAACAAGATCCCGCCGAGTGTTGCTGCAGCTGCGTTGGCCGAACAACTTGCTGAAGAAGCGGCAGCTTCAGCTGCTGATATCGACGGCAACCCATGGGAAAGCGAAGACCTCATGGACGTGAATGCCGATGCCGATGATTGGAGTATGCGTTCTCTCGTTCACTTGTCGCACAAGTACTGAGCTCTGATTAGGCGCTTTCGAGACTGCACCGGCAGAAGGACAGGACGAGTTCCCCGTGTCGCCAGGAATCGATGCATGGGGAGCCGAGTCTAATTATACCGCTGCACAGTCTATGCTCAATACCCAGCCAATCACTCCGAAAGTTTCCACTCGAGCTCGATCGCCAACTCCTATTCGATCGCCGCCAGCCCGATCGCCGCCCGCTCCGGAGCATGACAATTGGGCTACAGGGGGTTGGGACGACACACCGGCCGGAAAACCCCAGTCACCGATTCCATCCGCCTCGACAACAAGTCCAACGCCCTTACTGACGAAAGAAGAGAAGGCTGCGGAGATGGCGCGTCGGAAAGAGGAGCGAAAACAGGTGCAAGGGCCGTCTTGAATTCCTTGCAGAGCTGACTGTTATCACGCAGCGCATTGCCCAGATGAAGGAGCAGAAAAAGTCGTCCGGGAAGTCATAGATAGTCTGGGCCGCCTGGATCTCAGCGTGGCACCTCTGTTGTAGACACAGTCGTTTTCTCTTTATCTTCCTCAGGATCCTGTAGGTCCTCGATCGGGATGCGGACAAGTTGCTGGCCTACGACATCATTTTCCTCGGCGCTGTCCTTATTGGTACCCGAAACTAGGGTCCAAATGAGTAGTCTGCCAGTGATGTAGATGAGGAAAGGTGTCCTACGAAAGAGGTTCAGTATCTCGAACATCCTCGGCCACTGCTCCAGGACGTCTCCGTGGACTGATAACAATATTCAGCCGAGTGCCTCGGATGCAGACCATGCAGCTCACTCCGACCGGCATCAGCCATGATCTCACAGTCGTCCGCGAAGCCCTCGATGCGTTGTATGTACAGCGACGATACCTTGTGTAAGGCAGCTACGGCATCGTACTCTTTCTTCTTTTCATTCATCTTGGCAATCGCTGCAGCCGACTGGACGGAACTGGGGGGTGCGCCAAAGTGAGACACGCGAGTGGATGGACGCGACATCGTGACACACGGGAAGAGGCAACACGCGATGCTGATGTTTGTGTGATGCGGCATCGCGTCAGCGTGTCAACATGTCCACTTGTCCTTGATTGCGTCCCGCTCTTTCCGGGAACCTAGGGCTCTCTATCTGACGACGATCGCCTGGACCATTCTTTCACAGATAGCACCACGCTGACCATGTTGACCGCTCGACATTATCGTCGCCAAGACAAGTATATGTCTGTAACCACAGTACATTCAATACATCGGGTGTATGCATTATGTATATCGTAAGTAAGTCGTGGCATCCCATTCCCTAAAAGTTTTAAACAAGCATACCGCTGCGTGATTCGTTAATCCACCAAATTCGAGATCAGAAAGAACGGGACATACGCAATACCCGCCGTCTGCAGAGTGGACAAGAAACCACAAATCATGGCAGAGATACCGAGCTTGGCGATCACCTTGGTTCGGGACGGTGCCAACGCGCTGAGCACACCGACTTGTGTACCGAATGAGCCTAGGTTCGCAAATCCACACAGCGAGTACGACGCGATTGTGAATGCACGGGGGGAAAGAGCTTGGGGGGTCGCCTGGAGGGCCTGCAGATCGAGGTAGGCAGCGAACTCATTAGCGACCAGTTTCGTAGCCAGCAGACGGGCAACGGGGAGAATCTCGTGGCGAGGGACACCCAGGAAGAACGTGACGGGATAGAAAACATATCCCAGAATGAGCTGGAGGGTCAAAGCGTGAATGCCGAATCCCCGACCGATCCATGTCAGCAAGCCGTTGACCGCAGCAACAAGCGCAAGGACGGTCAGAACATTTGTCCTGATGCAGGTGAATACATTGGATCGAGATCGGCCAAGCTGACGTACAAGATCTGGCCGGCCACAATGAGACCAAAGACAGCACCCTGGCTGAAGGCGTGGAGCGCATTGGCTGGTTCGCCTTCCTTGGTCTCTCCACGGTCAACAACAACGTGCCCACGAGTGACAGGCTCGTCCAACTCTGGCATGCGCATCTTGCTAATCGCCAGGGATGCAGGGATGCTCATGACAGATGAAGTGACCAGGTTCTGGGCCGGGACTCCGAGATTGATGTAGGCAGAGAGGACAGACCCGGCGATAGTCGAGAAACCGGAGGTCATGGTCACATGAATCTATCTTGCATCGGTCTCCAGCCACAATCTAATTGGAAGACGACACACCTCAGAATCGGTCATCAAGTCGACATAAGGTTTGACGAGACACGCGGATTCGCCTGTTAGTATGCTCAGTGTGCGGTCCAGACCAGATCTTCTCCTTTACCTTGACCGATCCAGGGAGACGAAGCAGCAACAACAGCCTCCGCACCCGACACGTTCAGCAACTTGAAAAAGAGCCAGGCGAAGTGCTTGAGGATCCACTGCATGACTCCCAAATAGTACATCATCTGCGGTGCGGGTCAGACACTTCTCCTGCGACGCAAGCAGCTAGTATCACCTGCACAAATGCGATGAAGAAGATGATCGACGACAGGGTGTTGACACTTCGCCGGGTCAGCATCTCCACCGAAGCATGATCGGGAAGACCAAAAAACGCACAAGAACCAGTGCTTGGAGATCGTAGCCGCATCGAAGAAGAACTGGGCGCCGGGGAGTGCCTGGGCCAAAAAGTCGCCGGCGAGATTAGCAATCCATTTGAATATGGAGAATCCGGCTCCGCTCTTGAGCACGAAAAGCGCGATGGCCTGCTGGATGAACAGGCCGACGATAACCGTTGGCCAGGGGATGGCAGCCCGGTTGGTGGAAGACAGATAAAATCCGCATTGGAAGAGGAACAGCCCGAGAACGGAAATAGCACGATCGCCGTAGTTGCTGTTCTATAACTTCGATGAGAATTACAGGGTCATTGAATGGAGCAATGATGCTCACTGCCTCCAACTTGAAGCCTGCGAAAAAAAAAAATCAGCGGGCGTAAGGGGCTGTAAAGGCAGCGAACGCACCGAATGCCGAGCCGAAAACGATCGCAAGCAAGCATAGCCATCCGATAGCCAGGCGGAGGCGATAAGACAATCTGTACCACGGCTCCTGTACCAACGGAATGAAGACCGCGCCGACAGGTTTCGTAACGACCGAGTTGGGAATGAATCGGAACGCGATGATCCTATCGGGCTGTCAGCCGATGCGGGGGTGCGCGGGATGAAGCCATGCGCACAGGACGAAAGCCCAAGCGAAGAGGGTCTGGACAATCCACCGGTGCCGAGTCGCCTTCAGGAGCGTAGCGCTGATCCACCATCCAATGATAACGGCCGCAGTGGCGGCCAGAATGAATGGCCGATACTGCGAGGGATGCATCAGCAAGGCTTTCGGGACGTTTTTACTTGCATGCATAGACGCACTCGAGCGTAAAAGGTCGGCCCCTTCACAACCTCCTCCTCCTCGTCGGCCTCTTTCGCGAGAACAGCTTCCTCATCGGCCGGGTGGGCTTGTTTCTCTACAGAGGACTGCAGCGAAACTTTGCGCTGGACGGTATCGACGTGCTCGGTGGCGGTGGAGGCCATGTTAGAGACGGGTCCAAGGAGGGGCGCAAGGTCGTGTGCCCGATGAACGGGCTTTTATTTGTGTGCTCCATCTGGTTCCAAGCCAGGCATGAAGGTTGAACCATGTGCTCACATCATCGTGATGATTCATTAGGCAGACCATGCTGGTTGTTTGAAACAGGCGACAGAACGAGACGATAAGACCGCTGCCAAGAGAACCTGCCTATCCGGACGTACCTGGATGTCCTCACAACTATTCACAGGCGGATCGAGAAAAGAAGATCACAAGATTGCTCGTGGGTAGCCATAAATACAGGTGATAGTCAGTACATGCTAGAGATGCTCTACAGTCTAGACTTTCAGAGCCCGAATCGACTTTCCACATGCTACTGCAACCCATTCACCTGTGACAGTCGAGTGTCCACTGCTCATTGACATGCCCTGTATTGGCGGAGACCAGGCGAGATTGGTTATCTGACTAGGGGCAGTATACGCCATAACGGGCTCAGTACCACGCGTTTTTTCACATCCGGCCGAGGTGAATTCAGGCGGGAGCCAGCGCTGCGCGGTGATGCCGCGCTCTGTGTATAATTGGCGAGATCCCACAGTAGCAGTTGGCAGTCATCGGCTTTGCGGCGGTGACGTGAGAATCTAGATAACGAAGATCTGAAAAATCGGACATACCTGCCGTTGCCAGCAGCGGGTTCTCTGCAGAGCCCCATCCCAATGCGTTGATAGATGCATGGTGTCCACGGAGCTCCATCACAGGCGACCCGGGACTTCGCATGTCCAAGATCTGCACCTCAGACCCGTCCATGTGAAATGTAGACATATAGTTCGAGTCTGATGGATTGAATGCTATCCGCAACAACGGAGATGTCGGTGGGCGCGCCGAAGCGGACGGCGAGGCAGTTGGAGGGGGGATGTTTTTGGGCGCAGGAGTCTCGTACAAGATCGTGGAGTGTTCGAGGCTGCGCAAATCGAAAGCTCTCAAACTCCCATCAGCCCCAACGGAGACAAAGATGTCCGTGGATCCCGGTAGCCAGGCCACATCATAAACCTCCCGGTCATGGGCAATCAGCTGGGTGATTGCGCTCGCCGTCTCGATGTTCCAGACCGTGCAGGTGGTGTCGATGGACGAGGTCACGATCAAGCTCGGGGCCTTCTCGTTCCAGGAGAAGTTCGTAAGAGGCGCACCCGGCCCTTGACTCGAGACCTTGGATTGCTGCGGACGTCATTATGGAAATGACAGAACAAGGAGTTTCTTGTGCTTACACCGGATAACGTAGCCTTGATGCTCAAAGAGTGCCCGCCCGAAGTGGGTTGCCGACCAACGTAGGCCGTAGCGGATGTCGTCGCGTCTGAATTGTATTCCCATATCCGCAGGATATCCGCAGTAGTTGCTAACAGCTCAGAAGTAGGCGACTTCCCCGCGAACTGGTGTGTAGTCGCGGATATAGGCTGCCACTGGAGACTAGTCGCGGGGTATCCTTGACTGCCTTCACAAAGAGTCACGAAATCGGGATAGTCGGTGTAATCGTCCTCAACCAGTACGCGTTCGTCCTGCAAGCCCGCGATCGCGATGCGATTATTGTAGTTCTCGGTGAAAGACGCGACGGCGAGACGGAAGGCCGATCGAGGGCGCATTTGCTGGCCAGGTGCTGGCGTTTTGCACCAATCCATACTGTGGACGGGCCCTTTGTTGAACCATTATGATCGTTTGCGGTAGATACCAGGCTGTTGCTCACAGGGCGCTTCATATTGTAGAAAGGACGTGGTCATGGCGGGAAGTAGCTGGTGTGTGTTGATTGATGGATGATGAACCAAACAATCCATGGGACCAGTTCTAGTTTCAACTATTCCAGACTTCGCGAAAGTACGGAGAACGCGCCCAACGGTGAACACGAGATCATATTCCTTCGATAAACCAAACGTTTCTCGTTTCCATTCGTAATTGACATGCAGATCGTGCAAAGGGATACGTAATGCTTCAGTGGCCAGTGCCCTTCTCGAATACTGTGATGCTCTCGACTTCGTCGAAGTTGTAGAGCGGCTCGAGCTTGGCATCTTTCCTGAACAGCACCCAGCGCTTGATGAAGTAGGGGAGATACGTTTTGGCGTGATATGAGATATGCCTCCTTGTTGGCACGGCAAAGACGTGGTCTGCAACTCACTGGTGACAAAACTGTTCATAATCAATGAGGGATGCTTACCGAGTTCTTCTAATGTCCTCTGCTTGGTTTCTAATGGATCTCAGCACGGGACTCGAAACGTGGGCGGACGGAAACGCACCAGGCAGCAGGAAGAAGATCATTACGAAAGCGACGACATTCAACCCAGCATAGAAGGCGAACGCTCCCTCGGACCCAAAGGAAGCCAAAATCCGAGGGAACGTTACACCGAGCACGGCAGCGAAGAAAAAGTTGACACAGACAGCATAACCCTGCGGGGAATGAGACTTGCTCAACTTGGACCAAGAAATTGTCACATACCATACCCATCTCCCGATGAGTGAGCGGGAACACTTCCGCAGAATAAGCGAACGGGACTGGCCCTTCGCCGGGACTGTAGAATGCTAAACAGCCTTCAGTGTTGAGAGGGGAGACGTAAAAATGACCACTTGCCGGCAAAGATGAAGATAAACAAGGCGATGAGGGGTACCCGAGCTGGGTTCGAAGGGCTAATGATGAAGCAAAGCCCGGCGGTGAGCAGAGTCCATGCCATGTTGGGGAAAGTGAACAATAGCAGGTTCCGCCGTCCGAACTATGTAGCCGGTGAGGTATCCGCACGGGAATCAACTGTGCCAGACTGACTGTGTCAATGGTCTGGAGCTTAATGAGCTAGTCGTCCAATGCAGGAAAAAGACACTTACCCAAACGGCCGGGAAGGCGGTCACGAAGTTGACGATGCCGAAGCCCCATGATGCAAGAAGAGCGCTCCTGACACTGTAGTTTGCCTCCTGGAATATCGTGGACGAGTAAAAAGCGATGATATTGACTAAAAAAAAGGGTCAGGACACTCATTCAACTTGTTCATGGCGAAGCGGACAGCACTGACTTCCTGGAATTGGAAAAGAAAAGATATTGAGAACGCGGGAAATATAGATGAGACGACAAATGACAAACCACACATCTAGTGCGGATCTCAGTATGTGGGAAACGCGAGAGAAATTGAACGGACCTGCTGAGCGATCATGACGACAAATGCGGCCAGAGACGCCCGCCGGTTTCGTGGAATGGTGAAGAGTTCTGTCAGCCGAGAGAAGTATGTGGAACCATGGAGGATATCGAATTCTTCGACCAGTTGTCGGTGAACATAGTATCTGAGAGTGTTAGTCGAGATAAACACAATTGAATGCCTTACAAGTCGCGTGCAGCTTGGAGCTCCGTTCTCCTGAGTCGTTTGAATGCTGCATAAGCTTCTTGATAGCGACCCTTCTTCATGAGCCAACGAGGCGACTCTGTGAGATGGTCCATCATCAGCGGCGCAAACAGAGTAATGAGAGGATACGAACCAGGGCAGAAATAGACCCCAAGCAAAAGAGGCACCGCAGGAAGGAATGCGGAGCCCAACTGCAGCCGCCAAGCAATCTTTCCAACCTGGAACAGCGCCAGATTCGCAGAGAACCCGAGAAGGATGCCGAATGCGGTCTGTTGAAGTTTAGGCTAGCGCACAGGATGAAGCGGACAGATACTGACCCACAACTGCCAAGACATGACGAGACCACCACGAATCGCCGCAGGCGTGTTCTCAGCCGCATAGACCTGGCATTGCAGGTTGAGCGAGTTTGCATATTCTTCTGGAACACGTACCGGACCGTCGAAGCCTTGGACCTACACCCAATCCAAGCAGAAGCCGGCAAACCTGAGAAGATCGTTCCAGCTGGCTGTGTTATCGCGAGCCAGAGAAAGAAACAGACCAAAAGCTGAGGCCAAGTCTGAGCGAAACCAGAGCCGATCACTGGAGATGTAATATGAATTAAATCAGTGGCCACGAGCTCAAGACCTCATCAAGACCTCACCAGCGACAAGACAGAAAATGGCACAAAAGAAGATAGTACCACGGCGACCGAAGTAGTTATTTAGTGGATCAGTGAGCCATACACTGCGTATACAAATCAATTACAGGGGAAGAACGAGAGCCACACTAGACGGACCCGATGATAGCAGCAGATATGAACGGGCCGCTGTTGATGATTCCGACGATCCATTGGTTGCGAATACCTGCCTGTCCAGGATCCGAGGTATCAATGTTGAACTGGAGTCCATGTCAGCGAAGATCTTGAATAGACATAGAGAGAAGTACCCTGGAATAGACAAATTGTCAAAAGCGACTCGTGCAAACGGTTTCAGTGGACTTGCTCGATGGGAAACGACAAGTTTGCTCCATTGGAACCAGTTTGATCCCATCTGATCGGCAGGAAGGTCAGATCAAAGTACGCTGCTCAGGGACGTGACGAACCCTGGCGATCGTGAGCAGGTGTGCGACAGAGGAGACTAGCCACTCACCCTGGACAGCGGCAGCAACAGAACAAAGAATGACCGTCAAATCTGTCCGCGACACACTGAGCCATCACCTCACTCGAAAACGAAGGGAAATCATTCACATAGATCACGGGGCTGATCCCACTTATCTGCAAGATTATCAGCTGTCTCCCATGATTCGAGGCCGGAGGACATGAATACTCACGCTCAATTTCATGCCGAATGGCAGCCTTGTCCGCTTCGTCCAGCTCGGGAATCGATTCGTACTCCTTGGGACGCTGAGCTAGCAGCGCTCCCTTCTGGAACAGCGGCAGCTGCTCCTCAAAACCTTGTTCCTTCGTGAACACCTCGACCTGATGGAGCAGCTTGTCGTGGGGAATGCCGTAAAGCGGATTCTGGATCCTGCACACGGAACAGTATTGTCAGGAAGCGGCCGAGCTGCTTTTAACGCAAGTCCCACACACCTCGCGTTGGCGTTGTTGGCCAAGTCCAGATGTCTTTCCTCGAAGGCTTCCGCCGCCTTCTCTTGATCGACCGAAGATTTCTCGAGCGACATGGAGGGCAGGTCCGTGGGGGATGTCACGGGCACAGGCGCCGTGCCCTTTTATGAGCGGAGTGGAGTATCGATCATGATAGCCTGCAGGAAATTCACGCGCCGGCAGAAGAAGTTCAATGGCGGAGGGAGATTGATGAGATTGCAACCCGCTTCTTTCCTTGAGCGAGGCGGGTCGTGTGACCCCGCACGCGAATTGCGCGCTCCGGAAAGTCCGCTACTGCATGAGTCTGATGGAAATGAATTGAAAAGTGTTCCAGCCGAGAGGTGGCGAGAGCTGCATCGAAGCTATGTGTACTCGACCTTGTGGGGAAAATAGCGTCTATTGGGGAAGTGCGGGGAAATGACGTCATCTCGCAAACAAGGCGGGAAGCGTCTTCGGCACACTTCCACCTCACGGCATGTATTGCCGAGCGGGCGCCAAGGTAGGCCCAGGTGCACCGATGAATGACACGGTCGGAGGTATCAAAACACACCCGACCGAAGGTTTGAAGCGTGTTCGAAAAAACATCTGATCTTTTCACGGTCGTCAAGCCCTCGTGACTTGAAACATTGTGGTTGAAAATCTCTGATGGACCGTAACGCTGTCGCGCAGTGTGGGACAATTTGGCCATGGCCTTATTAATTCAATATGTTACAGGACAAACACAGCAAGCTAAGTATCGAAAGCAGGAGGAGACAGAGATGAGTGACATGCGACCAGGGCGGGGATTTGGGAAAGGTACCGAAGGAATGGGGGAAAGAGAGAGAGAAGGGTGTCGCAAGGTGTCGGCATTTTGGGATAACGCAGATGGAAAGAAAGAGGGACGGTCGGAGAGGTCGAGGGGTCAGAGGGAAATGATGAGGGATTAAGAACTTGAGCCATCGTCGACCATTGATATAGAGCCGCATTGTTCGCAGAAGCTCCACATAGTGCGCTGGCCGTTGATTCCTGACGCACAAGCTACCTTGAGTTTCGGTATTTGAGAGCATCCAGTACTGTGACGGAAAGTGACATGAGCGTCATGCAGAATTCGGCGGAAGACAGATACGGGCGAAGAGAACTAGGCTTACCCGTGGTGGGAAAACGAGCTGGAAGGTTGCAAGAGACCAACTGGCGGAGAAGGCGGTTGTTGAGCATAGTGAGCATAACTGTGAGAGTTGGGATCGACATTGCCATCAGCGCCAAAGAACGGAAGCGGATACAGGTCGAAAGCCGGATATGCTGCACAGTCGACATGAAAAGCACGAAACGCGCCGGAGAAAAGAGCCGTACCAGGCGACGAAGGATTCGAGTTGGTGGATACAGAGCTGACATTAGAGGGCAAACGTGTATGGTGAGGTGTGGAGAACACAGGCTGAACGTCAGACATGCAAACATCCGTGTCAGGCTCGTAGTTGGGAAACGGAATGAGCTTCAACTGTTTTGGTCGAGCCTGCCAGAAGAGTAAATTCACATTTTCCTAAAACGGAATGTCGAGGCATACAGTTTGAGCAGCGTCGCCAAAGTCCTCAACAAACTTCCTTTTCATAGACATTGAGCAAGAGACAGGACTTGCAAACGTGGAGACTAGGGAGTTGGCAGTCGTAGGTGTCAGAAGTGGTTGCTCGAGGGGGAGATGGAAGTAACGGAAGAGCGAGTGTGGGAAAACGGCTACCTGGACAGGCTTGATCTTATATTGCCGAAGCTGCTTATCTAATTTCCGACCTGTCATGCCCGCATCAATTCCATCTCTTGACGTATCAATGTAAGCATGTCAATGTCAAGACATGCTTCAACTTGTTCAATTTTAGCTGCAATTTTCCGTCAAGTTTTATTATTATTGTTTCTTTCAAAAAGTATTCTGTGACCCTTGCAGACAGATTGCGAGGTGGATTTCCAATACAGGTATGGCATCGAAGTCACGTGAGGGCAGACGCAATAGCTGCCAGCGGCACACCAGAATCAAGCACGTGTCATTCATCGCAACGCGCCTTCTACCGTGACGTCTTGAGTCTAGACTGTGTCCAGACTGCATCATGCAGGTTTCTCCCGCAGATTTGCCGTTGCCCGCAGCACTGGATCCAATCCTCGACTATCTCTCGGACCATTTACCGGGGCCAATATATTCGTTCCTCCTCTCATCACTGTCGCATCTCCTTGCGGTGTGCACGGCCCTTTACTCTGTCGTACTCATTACTGTCGACACACCCCGTCCAATGGGATGCACAGACTGTGCTGCCACCACTTATCGCCTTATTCACATCTTATTTGGCCATCCTCAGCCTCTACCGCACCACAACATGGATGCTCCGCACTAGTATCTTCTTTGTCAAGTGGGGGACGATCTTCGGGGCTTTGATTGCAGGGACGAGTTGGATGTTGATGCAAGGTGGTGGGAATGCCGTCGGCGGAAACGGGTTGGCAGCGACGCTTAGTGGGCTTCTACTTGACTCCTTCTCCGGCGACACAACCACGAAGCGGAAACGCTCCAGATCGCAAACAAGGAAGGCAAGGCCGAAAGCTCAACGCCCGCAGCCGTGGGAATCATGGGATACCCATCGGGACTGGCGGGAACAAAACGCGGACAATGACGACGCAGGCGATGTCCTTGCAAGTGTGCTAGATGCTGCTGGATCCGCCGTGAAAGGAAAGTGGTGGGAATTAGCGAAGGGCTTTCTCAAGGCTGATGACTCCAATGAGGAGAGCATCAAGCAGTCTAAAGGAAGGTCTGGTAAGACCAAGACACGCTCAGCCTAGGTGTGGAATGTGGGCACATGTATTTGTATCGAGTAAATGTAAGATATTATGCAAGCTGGTCATTCTTACTGGATCGCGGCTGGCTTCGATCCATACCGGTAGCTGGGGAGAGATTAAACAAGATGGGTCAAGTCAGGTGCACAGTGCTCACTTGGCTATCCGTGCAACCTGAGTTAGTCCAGAGAGGCCCACAAAGAAATTGACCTTGAACAGCTGGGTCACAAGCACAAGTCATGTCGGGCTTTCACGTACCGCTGCCAGGCTGTAGTTGACTGGGGTGATAACAAAAGAATACCGGACCCAGATAACGCCCGTGGCCGTCAACGCTAACAATATCCTTCAATGGCAGAAACCTCGTGTATCGATAGAACACACCGAGATTCTGAGAAAGACTGAGTTTCTCGGCGGGTCGGCCCATATCCTTCAGTCCTGCGCCAACCAGACACCATTTCATCATGGGAGCCCAGAAGAAAACGGTCTTCGGCCCTATGACACGAATGCGGAGAACCGTAAGCACAAGATAACTTGAGCCTACCCGCAGGGTGATTCATAAAGCTGGCGAATTTCGATGCAAAGCCGGACGATGCTGCTCCCGACATTATGGCTTGGACGTTGAGAAAAGAGGGTGTGGTGACTAATATTGATGACGGTGCCGCTTCTAGCGGCTTGCTTTGACCATGATCATGCTTTGGAGTCAAACTGTGGACTGGGCGCCTCTGGCGTTCGCTGAAGTGTACAGGAGTTCTTCATCCTCTTCAAGTATACCGCTTGGATTAGAATCACGTCCGTTCGATATGTCCAGACTCCACCTTACGCACCCAGTTTGGCTGAAAGCTTACCCCGGGGTCACAATCGATGCCTAGCCAAGCAGGAGCCAAGCTCTCGCTTTGGCTCCTCGGAGTGTATGTAGCCCATCGATCTCATATGAACCCCACTTCATCCCCACAACCCCGGAACATGAGTGACGCAACGACTCTCAATCGATCCTATAAAGCAATGCATCCCTTCCCTTGCCCTTCTTCAGAACGGCAACTTCGCAGCCAGCTATCAACTTAAACGTTCACCATGCAGTACTGGGAACCAGGAGTTTATTACGAGTCCGGATCCGTCGTCGAGTACGAAGGCCACCGCTACAGGATCATTCAACCGCACACCAGTCAATCGGACTGGACCCCGCCGGTCACCCAGGCCCTCTGGGGCCGCTTGCAGGACGGAGACCATGGCGGCGAACACCGCCAGCACGAGGAGCACCGTCACCATGAAGAGGAGCACCGTCATCATGAAGAGGAACATCGCCAGCAGAATTACGGCGGCGAATATCGGCACGACGAGAAGCAGTCGTCGTTTCAGGCACCTCCGGACGGCCAGGAGGTCCAAATCCACCACGAGGAGCGCGAGAAGCACTGGTACGATCTGGACGACAAACGTAAGCAGGAGCTCGAGGTGGGAATTCCAGAACTTCTGCGGAGCGCGTTCCAACAGGGTTCATCTAGGTCGGTGGAGGGCTTCTTGCCGGCGCTGCTCTACTGGCCGGTGGCTATGCGGCTTGGAAAGGTCATGAGAAGTCGCAGGAAGAGGTTCGTTTATCCGCTGGAAAGTGCCATGAAGCGCTGACCATCGGCAGGAAAATGCGCATAAGTGGTCCCTGCAAAACTGGGTGCATGATGCGGAAGTTCGTGCTGAGAAGTTCCGTAACTATGGGCCGCAATCGCCAGCGACGTGGGTTCTGAATCGGGGCAAGAACATTCCCCAAGGCGCAATCGCTGTGGGGCAAGAGCACTCATGGACCTTGTACATCTGTCGGGCGTACCACGAGGTCAGTTCCACCACTCGCACTGTTGCTTCCATTGATATTCTCTTAGGGCGGAATCCGTGGGTCCACGCTCTCATCCGGGAATAATCGTTGACTGCTTTGCAGTTATAGGCAAAGCCTCGGACGCGTTCAAGAAAGGCGCTGTGATCGGCTATCGCCACGAGGAAGTCCATGTAAGCCATTCTCTGAGAACGCGGGGGCATTTTCTGAATGTTCCAGCTCGATATATACGAGATTCTTCTGGGTGATATGAATGGCCTGCGTTGGGTGCCGGCTCAGGGCCGCCTGAACGTCGCCAGTCTCGGCTTCCGGCCGGTCGAGGGAGGTAAGGAGGCCAGCGGAACTCCACTATATATTGCGGAGGCCCCGTACAACGGGGCCGTCCATCCAGGAAAGGCTAGCGAAGATCTGGACGGCGCATACATTCCTTATGATGGGACCGAGAAATGCGTCAAGGTAAATTGATCAGATTTTTGTCTTGCCCCACCGCTCTGAAGCAGCTGTCTCCTAGGAATACCGCGTGCTCTGCTACTCTACTTAAATTGTCTTTGTACCTTGTTACCACTGAAATCCAATATCACTGCGGCGATGACTGGTTAAATTGATAGCTTGTCCGGCGGTTGGAGTGTGAAAGTTGAGTTTGAGCTTGCTTTTCCCGCGCCTTCAATTTGCTCGTTTCGGGAACACCCGTCGATTAATCCGCATCACGATCTCCATCACACATCAATCTCCTCTCGGCGCTTCATACTCCTTAAGATAAGAATTGTCCCTAACAGTGCTCCAACCTCCCTTCCTCCTTCGCCTCTTCTCGGCTCTCGAGCCACACTCACCATGGTCCATGTTCTCGACCTCCTCAACGCTCACGTCGCAGGTCGGCCTTTTCGTCCGTGTTAAACACCGCAGCTGATTGCCGCAGACTCGGTCGTCGGCCGCTGGTTTCGTCTCGAAGGAAGCGGACACCCCAAGGAGCGTATAGGCTCTCGGTGAGTTTCTTGTGGGCCCTCTTCCCTTCGTGCCCCCTGATTCTCTCCTCTAGCTTTACGACTGAGATTAGAGCCGGTTTGACGACATGGGTGCGTTCCTTACATTTTACGCGTTTTACAGAGTCCGCTCAACTCTTGGCGCATTATAGGCTGCCATGGCATACATCGTTCGTTCATCCAACCGTCCGTACTGGTACCGGGCTTATGGCGACTAGATTTCCGTGAACGCAGCTATTCTGGCCGATTCTGGAGCTACCTGCGTCTGTCCGACCCCCGACCACTGTCCGAATGGCTCCAATCCCGAGTACGACGTCTGCCTAGGGGAAGTTCGGAACGACCTCATTATTTCGACGGCCGCTGTCGCTGCACTCGCCTCGTTCCTGATGGGTTTTTTGGCCAACCTTCCCGTCGGCATGGCTCCCGGTCTCGGCTTGAACGCCTACGTACGTCCTTTCGCGCCTCTGCCCAGATGCCCTGATCCCAGGCCCATACTAGTTTGCTTACTCCATCGTCGGCTACCATGGACAGCACAAAACCACCTACCAAGAGGCCTTGGCTGCGGTGTTCCTTGAAGGGTTCGCCCGCTCCCCCCCTATTGCCCCTGGACTCCTCTCATCATCTTTTTTTCAGGTGGATTTTCTTGTTCCTGAGCATCATAGGGCTTCGTCAATGGATTGTTCGCATCATGCCCCAGAGTCTCGTTCTAGCTGTAGGGGCGGGAATCGGCTTGTTCATAGCGTTGAGTGCTTTGCTCCGGTAATCGGCTCGTTTCATCTGACACGTTTTCCAGATTCATAGGATTGTGTACGCTACTTCCTTCGGGTCCTTCTCTTCTGATCAGTGACGTTTCAATCTAGCCAATGGCGGCCTCAAGGTTATTGGAGGTGATATCACCAACTACGTCGGCCTGGGCGGTTGCAAACCAGAAGACATGCTTCCCGCTCTGCCGGGCTTTTGCGCAGGCGGCCAGCTCCGGAGCCCCACGATGTGGCTGGGTATCTTCCTCGGAGGGTGTGTTCTTTTTTTTCGTTGCTCAACTGGTTGCTCAAGAACGCGGAAGCATCCTCACTGTTCTTCTCATGCTTTATCGGGTCCGGGGAGCAATTCTAATCGGCATCTTCCTAACTTCCATCGTCTCCTGGCCTCGATCTACTGCCGTCACCTACTTTCCTCACACGCCGGCAGGCGACGCTGCGTTCGACTACTTCAAGCAAATCGTTCATTTCCGTCCCCTGCAGAAAATCGGGAATGTGATCGATGTGAGTGCCGTGCGTTGCTGGAAGCAGATTAGTCCACTGACCGCCTGCTCGTAGTATCATTACGGGTAAACCTGGTCCTCGGTTGCATTCAGAATCTCCGCTCACCTCCCATCAGGCAAGGCCGAGTCTGGTATGCGCTGATCACGGTCTGTGTCAGCCTGTCTCCCGAACGATGGCGTAACTGACGCAGCTGATAGATGCTTTACGTGGATATTCTGGACACCACCGGCACCCTGTATTCGATGGCCAAATTCGCAGGTCTGCGGGATCCCGTGACTATGGACTTTGAGAACTCGACGATTGCCTACTGTGTGGATGCGTTTGCGATCAGCATGGGCGCGCTCATGGGAAGCAGCCCTGTGACAGCCTTCATTGAAAGCGCCACCGGAATCAGCGGTATGTTATGTCGAGACCTTCCATGATGTCTTGGACTGAATTCGATGTCTAGAGGGCGGCAAGACCGGGATAACGGCTATGGTGACAGGCCTCTGCTTCTTTGTTTCGGTCTTCTTTGCTCCCATTTTTGCATCCATCCCCTCTTGGGCCACCGGAGGAGCCTTGATCATTGTGGGAAGCCGTAAGTGCTCAAAGTTTGTTCCAGTGCTATTCTCACCACTGACGGATCTCGCAGTTATGATTCGCAAGTAAGATAACAGCGGCCGCTGTTGCGCATTTGCTCATTTCTTGCTAGCGTCCGCGACGTGAACTGGGACTACATCGGTGATGCCGTGCCGGCCTTCCTCACTATCATTATCATTCCGCTCTCTTACAAGTAAGTGATGACCCCATTCTTCGCATGCTGTCCGCTCATCCTCGGCTAGTATTGCTTACGGTGTCATCGCCGGAATTCTCTCTTATATCCTATTGAACGGCATTCCCTGGATCATCGCGCGTCTTAGCGGGAACAGAATCCTGCCGCCTAACATCGACATGTCGGAGGAATGGAGCATTCCGCCGGGCAGCATCATTCCTTTCTGGATGTATGTCCTTGTTTATGTGTTTTTTCTTGGTTTGGGCCCCCCGCTGACGATGGCTTCAGGCGCAAGCTGGTCGGGATGGTCGATGAGCAGCCGGAGGACAGCACCGGTGTGCAGCTGGAGGTCCGGGGCCAATCTGCTTCGAACGACACTGATGCACGGTCGGAAAAGACCGACGAGGCGAGCATTATGGAACCCAGAAAACACCGACTCAGGTGATCTCACCTGTCTCTCTTCAAGGGTCGGGTCGCTTGAACGCTTGCTTGCGTGCTTCATCATCTTGTTAGATAATTGTCCACCCTTTTTGAATTGTTGTGCACTTGGATTTGGGTCCAGGGTGGATGTATCATTAACTGTATCTACTCGCAGTAACATAGACTTCCGTCGCTCTTGTCCGCTGCTATATGTACGATGTCGGCTAATTCAATGAACTCTTCGGCTACAGTAAAATATATAAATTATTATATAAATACCCTACTTATGTATTTCTGCGGTGCCTGGATGGCTGTGCCTCTCTGACAAATCCCATATGTGCAGACTGTAACTTATAAGCAACCATATGACCACAACGACAATTGGCGCACGCTCATTTCGCATGCATACCAGGGATGAGATCTTCATCACAGTCCAATAGCATGGCATTCCCGAAACCCCTTCCACTCGGCTCCTCGCCATGGTAGAGATTAGATATTAACCAATCAAGTGAGGAGATTAGATCAGATCGTCTCGCGATTGCTCAAGCCAGCCCTCAGATCGACACAGAAGATTACTAGATTCTAAGACTCATACAAGATATTGCGTACAATTACATTGTTGGAAGATATTAGCGTATTGATTATCGTTCATCAGCTGTAGCGCGGATAATCGATACTCTTGGAGCGTTTGCTCTTCTTGTGGTGACGGTGCTTCCGGTGTCCTGAGCCAATGATGATGGCTTGAGGCTGAAGCTGGCCCCCGTAGCCTGGCTGCATGTATTGGACCTGCGGGGCAGCCGTCTGAGGATAGGCCACTTGGTACCCGGACGTCGAATAGCTGCGGGGCCGGTGATGATGCGAACTCGAACCCGTCTGGATGACCACCGGGGCTCCGCCATAGGGTTGGCTCATAGGCTGGGTGTAGGACATCCCGCCGTAAGACCCGGCCTGCATCTGGCCGCCGTAGGGCTGCTGGCTTGACGCATATGGGACACCGTACGACGAGTTTTGTCCATGGATTTGCATGGGCATCGTCGCGGTCGTTGGGTATGGCGAGCTATTTCCATATGCGCCATACGCTGCAGAGCCAGCTTGTAGCGGAATCGAGATGGGGGCAGAGCCTGTCATGGAGGCAGCCGTCAAATGGCCGCCCAACATCGGAGCACCGCCCATCGAGCCAGTCACGGAGCCAGCTTGTGACATTACCGGCGAGTGCGATCGAGAGATCGACCGGTGGTGAGAGTGAGACCTGTGTCGAGGGTACCGATAATCGTTCCCATACGAATCTTCGTCCGGGTCATATGAGCCCGAGAAGGACCCACTACGGTGCCGAGAACGAGAGCGGTGATAGTCCCCCTCTTCTCTCTCACGGGACTAACAGCTCTAGTCAGCTGCAGCTCTTCGCGTCCACATGAGATAGACCGCGCACGTGATAGAACAGGATAGATGCAGTGGCTGCGGCCGCATCAGACGCATCCCGGCGAGCATATGCGTCCCAGGCACGGTTAGAAAACTGCAGAAGGCGTGACGCTAGAGTTGTACGACGATGAGACTCGGCAGATTGTGAAAGATGCAGACACACCCTCTGCAACCGCTAGCCCAACTAAACCTTCTCTCTGTCTCTCGATCTCACTGCTGAGAGGCTCATACAGCGAACTGTTATGGGTCCATGTCCGATAGGCTTCGTACGCAGCCGCATGACCGATATCAGACGGGAGCATCTGGTCCAACTCACCCTCCACAGCAGTCAGTCCCCAGATCATAGTCACCCGACAGGAAGACTCACCAGCCCCCCGTAAGCACGGCGATGCCAGTGCCGGGCTTCATGCTTGCCCACTCCGAGCTCGAGAGCAGAGCCAGCATGCGATCGGACGCGGCCCCAGGCGTGATCATACATAGATCTGTGGCCCAGTCGTCACTCCAAGGGCACAGACCGTGCGAAACATGAGCACGCACGTTTCGGGGTTCACCGCATGCGCGTTGTAGTAGTCCATCCCACCCCCTTCGGAGATCCGTTGGTTCAGGGAAGACGAGGGAGTGCAAGCGGAACTCACAGTTCGGCTGAGGCTGAAAGGTGGGGGCAGGCGGCCTGCCAAACTGGAGCTTTCAAGGCGTGAGAATGAGTGAACAGGCAAAGCGGTTCGCAATACCTGACTTGTGCCCCAATCCGGCGTATTTTGCCGATAGTAGTTGTATGCCATGCAGATGAGAGAGATTAGGAGGGAGGCTTTTGCGCGCGATGGTGTGAGGGAAGAGTGAAGTGCAGATCGGCGTCAACAGCTCCCATTTTTACTCCCGTGGGCGATGTGAGGTGACGTCACGGTCGGAACATAACATTGACGCTGGCGGAGCTCAAAGCGTTTTACTGCGCATAGAACCGTGGTTAGGGTGAGGGCCGGGAGCAATTTGAGCAGGAGATGTTACTAACAGGGCTGGGCTCTCCACAACTTGGCTCAGTAAGTCAGAGCCCAGGGACTCGTCATCAGCTCAGTTTTGATTGGATCTTGAGTTTGAGCGGAAATGGGTGACATTAGCAGGAAACTGCGGATGGCGCGTCCCGAGCTGGACATTGCGGCTTGCAAAGTAATAGTACGACGGCCGTCTTGGTTTTGAGCAAGGGAAGCTTTATTGACCTCTATTTGCCGTCAAACGCGCCCGACGCCATCAATAGTGGGTGCACGTGCCCGCGGCCAGTTGGCGATGAACGGTACGGATGGCGCCCTCCTGCGTTCGTCTCACTTATGATTCCAAGAGCACTCTGTCTTTGCCAGCGCCGAATTCGATCCCAATGAATACGCGAACGCCATCCTAGCGGGCGAACCCTATCCGCTCACCAACGACTCAAACCCCAAAACACCAGGAACCAAGTCGACTTTCGAGCCCGCCAAGGAGGACATATCTGCCGCAATCTCCAGGCTGACTGTCGGGGTGGATGATGTCTCGAAGCAAATCAAATCCGTGGTGAGTCAAATTGGATCTGCGTTGTTGAGACGCGACCATGAACGGCCAAATAGGTTAACAGTCATCATGAGCAATTGCTGCAACAAGCGGCAAGCGCAAATTCGCTGTCCGGATCTCTTACGTCCGTGCGTTCAGGGCTCTCGGATATGGACTCGTCACTCGAAAAGTATGTCCCCTCCCGACTGGCCCAACGTTAGTCTAACTCGGTTCGGGAAGGCTGCGTCTCAAAATCCGCGTTCCATATCAGTCGCTCCAGAGCAACGTTTCCCGACTCCAGAAACTCCAACAAGTGTCCGATGTTCTGCGCCGGATTTCTCGCTTTGTCGTACTCGCGCGACGGCTCCAAACTCAAATGGCGGAGATGGAAACGAACAGATCCGAAAACACCGTGGCGACAACAGCTGAGTCGCCACTCAACCTGGTCACTCAGGACTCGGAGGATGAGAAGGAGCGGACCATTGCGAAGGCGGCCCTTAGTATTGCTGAATTAGGTATGGCGACAGATTGGATGCGTACCACGCGTTCCGAAGTTGATTTCATCCAGTGGCGCTTCTAGACAGTCCTGCTCAGCCCACACGCGACGAAGATAGACCCTTCAAAGATCACCCTATCTCACCCGCTTTGGAGGATGTAGTGGCGCTTCGTTCTATCGACGCTGTCGCTGCGCATGTGCCGTTCATTGAACACGCTCGGACGAAAGTCACTAGCGAGATGGAGACCATGGTTCTCACCGGCCTTGCATCCCTGGTGCGTGAAATGGCTAGTGACCCATCAAATGCTCATTCGATGATCAGAATCAATCTTTCCTCGCGTCTTCGCTGCAGACGGCGTTCAATCTGAGAGTTCTTCCCGAGCTAGTGCAGAGCCTGATCATGGATCTCTCGCAGGCTGTAGAGGAGCGGATCCGGAGCGCCTTTGATCTCTCGAAGATATCACGCGATGCGGCGTCGAAAGACGGTGTTCCACCGTCTCCACAATCACCGGCGTCTTACAAGTCTCGCGTCCGGACAGAACCCACGAACTACACGGCTCCGCAATGGGCTGCTGCTCTCTGGGCTAGATTGGAGACGATGGTTGATGAAATGGCTGATTGTTGTGTCAAGGTGAGTATCAGTTGAGATGGCGAGGAAATCGCATGCGAACACAAGTTCACAGGTCTACACGTTAGAGAAGGTGCTCAAAGTAAAGCGAGACACTGTGTCTCAGGTTGTCTTCATTGATGAAGCGATGAAGGTAAGGTTTGCCTGTACCTGTCAGGGCTGCCTGGATGTCAATGTGTTTTGCAGCTGCTGGAGAGCAGACCGAGCTCCACCTTTTGGACATCCCTCGGAAAGTCCCTTGAGAAGAATGCTCGAGACGCGGCCAAAGGTAGTTGGTTGATCCCAGCCAGTGGGGCTTTGCGCTGACCTATCAGGCTCCACTTTTCTGCAGCAGACTCTAAGCACAGGATACCCGCGCTTGCTCCGGCTTTTCCACAGGTTCTTCTCCAAAATTGCTGTACACACAGACACGATCTATATCCAGAACTACCAAAGGTCAGCACCTGCGTCCTCCTAGTCGGTCGAATGACAAGCCTCTGCAAGTCCAGAGACCGTATTGGTTCTGCGGGCACTTGGCAGCTTCGAGAGCTCCTATGTTTCCCGGTCTTCAAACAAGCTCAATGAAGCGGTCGCACAAGCCTTCGCCAGCGGTGCTCGCAACCTACCCGGAGCGACCGAGGGCATATCCATCTCCAGAACCGTCGCTAATGAGCTCGATTCGGCCAAATTTGATCCGCTTCTTGTTCGGACTGTGGCAAAGAACGTGAATGCCAGCTTGGAGATGCTTCTGTCTCGAGCAGATAGTTTTGTCAGTGTCAGCGAGTGTGGCTGTTGCGATCACTCACGTCCTACAGGTCAGCCGGGACCGCACTGCCGTTACACTGGTGGGCCCGAGCGCCACACCTCAACAGCTGTCTAACGGGCTGCTTGCTTCCTGCTTGTATCAATGCTGGGCTCGTCTTGACAAACTGGATCAAGAACAGTCGGATACGACTTTGGCTATCATTAAGCCTACCGTGCAGGTCTGTCGACCTATCATAGGATGCACTCTTGTGTTGATGGTCCCTCGTCCAGAACCTGCGTAAGGCTTACGAGCGCATCGTCAACCCTCTCAATCTGGCTATACGGCGAGATCTCGGGGCTGTCATTACGAAGCTGCATAAACTCGATCTGGGCAAGACCGCCGATCCTATGGCCGGGATGAACGGCGCCAGCTCTTACATGAAAGAACTCACTGAGAAGCTCGGCTTCGTCAAGAACGAAATCCTCTCTAAATTCAGCTTGGGAGAAGCTGCGAGGGAATGGTCAGCTGAGACATGGCCGTCCGTCGCTCAATCTGACATCAGACAGGGTTATTTCCATCGTGAAATTTGTAATCCGGACATTTGTGGTTCATATCTCCATCGCAAAACCGCTCAGCGAAGGGGGCAAGCTTCAACTGACCAGCGATATGACCGAACTGGAATTCGCATTGGGTACTTTCTCGAGTGAGCCTGGCCAGCGCGGAGGCAGTCTGGAAAATGTCGGCGACGAATACCGCATGCTTCGTGGAATGCGGTGAGTTTTCTCCACTGGATCACGCTGCAAGTGGCTGACTGAACTGATGCCAGACCGCTCTTGTTTTTGGACAATGCCGAACTTGCCTCGTCGAAACAGACTGCAGGCCTGCCACCGCTCATCGTACTCCATCACATCCTCGTCCGATCGCCCTTGTCCTTGCCACATAGTCTGCATGGCTGGCAGGAAGCAGAGTACGTGCGATGGGTTGAGGAACATTCCGAAGAAGAGGCTCTGACGTTGATTGACGGGGGATTGTCTCACTGGGAAAAAGTGCAGGAGGGAGATGACGAGCAAGGATTAGAATATCTCAAGTTGGCTAGATCCGTGTTAGCCAATGCAGCTGCCCAGGCTTGAAGATGTCGATGATCGTCCAACATTTGAGAGTCGCAGAGTGATGATGGCAACGGAGATAAGCGAGAGAGTTACGATATCGATAATCAAGCCAGCTCCGAGTCAGAAGTTTGTTGTGTATGCGCCTTCTTCACTTGTCTCGAACCAGATTCCACACGATGGCGACCCAGCATTGGAGCGCACGCAAGGTCCGCGAGGAGTTCTTCAACTACTTCAAATCGAAACAGCATACATTCGTTCCGTCGTCCTCCACGATTCCCTATGAAGACCCGACGCTGCTCTTTGCCAATGCAGGAATGAACCAGGTCCTCCAACCTCTAGTCTATGTCCCCCGCCCCCACCATAGCTCATTCTCCCTAGTACAAATCGATCTTTTTGGGCACCGTCGACCCGAATTCGGATATGTCAAAGCTGAAGCGGGCATTCAATTCACAAAAATGCATTCGCGCGGGTGGAAAACACAACGGTGCGTTATGCTTGCTGATCCTTCTCTCTCCCATCCTCAAGCCTCGAAGATCTCGACGATGTCGGAAAGGACTCGTACCACCACACCTTCTTCGAGATGTTGGGTAACTGGTCGTTCGGGGATTACTTCAAGGTATGTCCGCGCTGTGTTCGCGTTTACGCGCATCGGAACCCATCTATTCATTTCTCTAGAAAGAAGCTATTTCATATTCATGGGAACTCTTGACCGAGGTATACAAGCTGCCCAAGGACAGGCTATACGTCACGTATTTCGAAGGCGACAGTAAGAACGGCCTCGAGCCGGATCTAGAGGCCAAAGAGTACTGGCTCTCGCAGGGTGTCGCGGAGGATCACATTCTGCCCGGGAACGCAAAAGACAACTTTTGGGGTGCGTTCGCACTCTCCTCTCCTCAAACCGAGTGAATTTTGATGACCCCCGTGCAGAGATGGGTGCGACGGGCCCATGCGGGCCTTGCAGGTTAGCCGACACTCGCACTGATCGTTGTTAACTCAACCCTTATCATCCCAGTGAGATACACTACGATCGGATCGGCGGCAGGAACGCAGCCCACCTCGTGAACCAAGACGACCCCGATGTCCTCGAGATCTGGAACAACGTGTTCATCCAGTTCAACCGCGAGGATGACGGATCGCTCAAACTGCTTCCGTCAAAACACGTCGATACCGGTATGGGCTTCGAGCGTCTCGTGTCGGTCGTGCAGGACAAGCGGTCCAACTACGACACCGATGTCTTCACCCCCATCTTCGATAAAATTCAGGAAATGACGGGCGTCAGGCCATACAAAGGATTATTCGGCGCTGAGGATGTGGACGGAATCGATACCGCATACCGCGTCGTTGCGGATCACGTGCGCACACTCACTTTTGCTCTGAGCGACGGAGGCGTCCCGAACAACGTCGGACGAGGATACGTTCTGCGTCGGATTCTTCGTCGTGGTGCTCGCTATGCGCGGAAGAAGCTCGGCGTCACGATCGGGTCGTTCTTCTCTACTTTGATGCCAGTCTTGGTGGAGTCCATGGTGCGTCAACCAGATGGACTGCTCCGCTAAGTAACTTAGACGCTGCTTAGGGCGACGTCTTCCCTGAAATCACAAAGAAGCTGGATGAAATCAAGGAAATACTTGATGAAGAGGAAGAGTCGTTCTCGCGAACGCTGGATCGGGGCGAGAAGCTGTTCGATCAATTCGCCACTCGTGCAAGGGAAACCGGGCAAACAGAGCTGAACGGCAAAGATGTCTGGCGGCTGTACGACACGTTCGGGTTCCCAGTGGATCTGACTCGGCTGATGGCGGAGGAACTCAAGCTGGGTATCAACGACGCAGAGTACGAGGCAGCTCAAGCTGCATCGAAGGAGGCGAGCAAATCTTCTCAGAAGAAAGACGCCGGGGAGGTTGTCAAGCTGGATGTGCATGATATCGCGGCATTGGAAAAGAACAGTAATGTGCCCAAGACGGATGACTCTTACAAATACGGTAAACAATCCCAATGTGGTGTATCATCTCTACCCGCTCACCTGCTCTACAGCCTCTGGAAACGTCACCGCCTCGGTCAAATCCATTTTCTACAACAAATCCTTCGTCGAGTCGACGGGCAGCATCCCAGAAAGTGCATCGTTTGGTGTCATCCTAGACAAGACGAGCTTCTATGCCGAGTCTGGTGGCCAGGAATGTGACACTGGCAACATCGTCATCGACGGAGTTGCAGACTTTGAGGTCACGGGAGTGACGGTCTTCAATGGGTATGTCCTGCATGTCGGCCATCTCAAGTATGGCCAATTGAGCCTCGGCGACGAAGTCGTGTCATCATATGACGAGGTATTAGTCTTCTCTATTTAATTTTCACCTATCTTATGATGTCCAGCTGCGAAGATGGCCGCTGCGAAACAACCACACTGCAACACACATTTTAAACTTTTGTTTGCGGGAGGTGCTTGGGGACCACATCGATCAGAAGGGATCCTTGGTCGCGCCGACGAAGCTGCGGTTCGACTTTTCGCATAAGGCGCCGATTTCGGTGCCCGAGATTGCCAAGATCGAGTCGATGGGCATTGACTGGATCAAGAAGAACGTGAAAGTGTTCAGCAAAGAGCTCGATCTGCAGACTGCCCACAAAATTCCGGGGCTGCGGGCAGTGTTCGGCGAAGCGTACCCTGATCCTGTCCGGGTTGTCACCCTCGAGTACGATGTCGAGGAGATTGCGCAAGATATCACCAACCCCAAATGGCGGGGAACCAGTGTCGAGTTCTGCGGCGGGACGTGAGTTCTACTGCGCATTTCATCCACGACGCTGAAGCTGATCTGATTTTTCCAGTCACGTTGCAAAAACCGGCGACATCAAAGACTTTGTAATCGTCGAGGAGTCCGGCATCGCCAAGGGTATTCGACGTATCGTCGCTGTCACGGGGAACGAAGCTGCCGAGGTGGCCCGGGTTGCGCAGACCTTCAAGGCCAGGATCGATCAGACCGAGCAACTGACTGGAAGCGAGAAGGACTCGGCATTGAAGGCACTGACTGTTGTACGTCCTGATCATTTGTGCTGCAATCAGCTCTCACCGTGCCACCAGGAACTCAGCCAGTCGGATATCTCCGTCCTCACGAAGAGCGAGTTGAAGGACCGGCTGGGTGCTATCAGGAAGGCCTTCGACAAGCAAGTCAAGGAGAAGGAAGCTGCTGCCAACAAGGAGGTAGGATTTCACTGCTGCTCAAATAACGCAACAGGTCTTATGCCCCTTGACAGGCGCTGGACAAACTGACCCAGTACTTCAAAGACAACGAGTCGTCCGAGGTCTTCGTATCCTCGCTGGATGCTGATGCCAATGCCAAGGTCAGTGACCACCGCCTGTCCTGCGCACTTTTGTGATCATCGTTTGCAGATTCTCCAGAGTGTGGTGTCGCAAGCCAGGAAACTGGGCAAATCGGTCTATGTGTTCAGCGCAGATTCGACCAAGGTGGCACACGTAAACTTTGTGTCACCAACACTCAAGGCCAAGGGCGTCGATGCCCGCGACTGGGCTGCCAAGGTCACCGAAGTGCTCGGTGGCCGGGCCGGCGGCAAGGATGAGAGCGCCCAGGGCGTCGGGGCCAACGTTGACAAGGTCCAAGAGGCCATCGCCGCTGGCCAGGCTTACATCTCCCAGTATCTGTAGTTTGATTTTAGAATTGTATACTTTTATGCTGTGAGCTATGCTATGATGTCCTTGAGAAAAGTGCAACCAGTGTTCCGTTGGAAACGCCTTTCTTGACACTCAGCCATCGCCCCAACCGATGCTCCTGTCCCAGCCCAGCGACAAGCAGAACCTCGCTTGCTTTTCGTTTGGCCGTGGATTCCGGCTCCTGCGTCCATTCTGCTGTGAACTCCTTGGGCGGAGTGAGCAGCTGGAGCGAGTTGACTACTCCCGGTGCGGGCACAGTCCCAACGAGCGAGAAGGATCTGAGTTTGGCATCCAATTTCCATATTCGGATGTCCCCATCCCAGGACCCGGAGACGATGAGATCTGAGTAGCGCAGGCTGGCTACCGCCGTCACCCATCGTGCAGTGTTGATCACGCCCTCCGTCGAGGATTCCGCAGCGTTCAGGCCGTGAGCGAGGGCCTGGGTGAACACCGGCTTCTTTTTCTGTGTCGTCCACAGACACAACGAACTAGAGAGTTGAGCACAAGCAGCACAAGCAAGGAAAACATCACGCACCCACTGTCGCCGCCGCTAACAAAGGTACTTTCGTCGATCATGGCCACGCACTCAATGCTCCCCTCGATGAACTTGGACGTCTTCCCCCGCTCATCGTCTTCGTCCTCTCCGCGAAGTCCACCCTCAAGTACCTCTCGTATCCGGCTGCGCCCTCCGCCCCGGAATACCAACTGTGTCTCGTCCGCAATTTTCCAATATCGGACCGTTTTGTCACGGCCACCAACACTAACACAAGTCTCCCCGCGTAGAGCATCCAGAGCTAAAACATGGTCTTGGTGGCCGAACAGTGTCTCGACGTATCCCATGACTCCAGGAGTCAGATCGTACACTTTGAGAGATCGGTCATACGAGCCGGTGTAGAGCTGATGGGACCCTTTCCGGAATGCAAGAGACTGTGTATAGTTCGCTCAAAAATGGTGAGATAGTAGATGAGAGACACTCACGGATACGATGTCCTTGTGACCGACCTGCGCCACGAAACTTTTGATCCAGACGTCCTTTTCCGCGTCCCAGACTCCGACCCGTCGGTCCTTCCCAGCACTGGCAAGATATTTGCCGTCGCTGCTCAGAGCCAAGGCAAGAACGTCGTCCGTGTGCCCTTCAAGTTCACCATCCGGGACACCTTTCCCCTTCCCTTTCTTCGTCTGTGGCGCCGAGGGTCGAATTTTGTGGAAGGTCGCGACTCTGCTTCCCTTTGCGAGATCCCATTTGATGATAGAGCCCTCCTTCCCAGCAGTGAATAGAAACTTGCAAGATTCTGTCGCGACGGCGGACGTGACGGAGAATCGGTGTCCTCGTATGCGCAGCGTTCGCGGAGATTGTGTGAAGTCAATCTGCCAGATGCTTTCAGCACCACGAGAGATAAAATGGACGAAGCAAGCGCACCGAATCCGCGACCAAGAGGTGCATCTTCCCCGAATGTTCCATTACATCCTGCTTTAGACGCGCCGAAATGAGCTCCTTGTCGATCTCCGCCGCGTCGAATTCGCCATCCGCTAAGTTTCCGAATGTTCATTTGTACTCAGACTATTGATGGGGATGGAAGGCGCACCGAGACCCTCCTTGACATTCTCCAGGTAAAGTTTTGCTAACCGAAGACGCTTTTCTGCAGGCGTCTCATCTTCGTCCTCATCTCCACTGGCACCAAGGTCGGCATCATCGTCCGCCCTCAGGTCCATGTCATCGATGTCCACTCCATTGTCATCAGTCTGGTCTGAATCGAGTTCCTCATCCGCAGGTCGTTTCTTCTTGGTCGTTAGAGCAGGAGCCTTTACTTTTTTCGCTCCCGATACATCTTTTCGCGCAAACTTCTTCGTTGAGGGACCAGCAGAAGAGCTCTCCGTGCGTTTCCGTTTTCGTGGCTTGGAGGACGCGAAGAATGCATCAGGCATTCTGGAGAGCAGGAAATTTTGAAAGCTCTTGGCGATCTTCGACAAACAGGGACAACGCCCTGATCGGATCCCGCCGAAGTAGCATCATGCCTCCTCCGAGTGTCGAGTACCACTGCCCGTGTCTCTCGCGGACTACCGTGCCGCCCCCACCCCATTTAGCGTCTTCATCTCACGACTTTCATCCTCTGCACGCACTCTTCTTTTGCGAAGAATGCGACGCAGTTCGCTGCAATCGATGCGTTTCGGTCGAAGTGAGCGGATACTATTGCCCAAACTGCTTGTTCGAGGTGCCGAGTGCCAGTGTGCGCGCAGAGAAGAACAGGTCTCGTCTTCAATCCGTACATGACGCGCTATCCTCAGTCTGTTGACTTTCAGATGCGCTCGGAATTGCTTCATGTGTCCCAACTGCCGAAACACGCTATCCGTCGTGCCATCTGATCCTCCCGAGTCTACCGATGGTCGAACGCCAGTCCCAATCAGCACCGTTGGAGAGCCTCCTTTCTTTCTCTACTGTAATCACTGTCGATGGGACTCGGCTGAGGTTGGGATCACCTTCGAGAAACCGACAGGCCTGGCCGGTGTGTGCCATCCGCACCTCTCTTTTCCAGAGTCTCATTATATACAGCGCAGCTGCAGAAGTTCGAGGACTCTGCACCGGAGTCGCTGGAATTCGAGAGGCTCAAGGAGCATTTTGAACCAGTGATACGTGCATCATCACTTTCTTCGTCTACAACAAACGCCCCTGCCTCTGGCAGCGGAGCCCACTCACATCATCGTACCAATTCTATCACAGCCGCTGCATCTGCCGCTATCGCCCGTGACGTCCCCGGCGTCGGCAAATACAATCCTTTGGCCCGTGGAAGCGGCAGGGTGGGCGGCGGTGGCGCGACCAAGGACAAGTCGGTGAATCGGGACGAGATGCCGGATTATCGCAGTCGGGTGGACATCTCGACGGCTAGTGGCCTCGGGGCAGGGGGTGGTGATCTCGACATGGAATACATGCGGCGACTGGAAGATGTGGCTGAAGTGGCAAGCCTGGAGCAGAGATGGGGTGCGAGCTGGGCCACATCGCTGCGGACTGAGTGGGTGGTTTGTATTTTCGTTTTCCCTCTTCTGTTAAACTTCTTGACAGTGACTTACGACCGCTGAGGATACCTCTTCACTCCAAGCGATCTAAACGGTGTCCCGCCTGCGCCCACATTCTCATCAAACCAGAGCAGAAAGCTCAGTCTGTTCGTTACAAGATCAAACTAGTCGCATCCAACTACCTGCCCGCGATCACTGCTCTGCTCCCGCATCAGAGCGCCACTGCTGAGCCGGCAAGACGAGGAGCGAATCGTTCGATGGCAATCGACGAAGAACAGAACACGAACGGAATTCACGCAGGTAAAACATACGCCTTCCAACTGGCTCTCACGAATCCCTTGTACGATCCCATCACTGTCCGTCTTGGTGTGCAGCGACTGCATGCGCATGCTCAATCCAATCCACCGCCGTCCTCGGTTTCTCCCGAAAAGACGAGTCGGCGCCCTCCTTATGCGATCAATCTCCCCTCGACGCCCTTCCCAATTGCTGCGTTTGCAGAGGCTTGGGAGTACGAAGATGACGAAGAGGACGATATGTTTGGGCTCGACGACGACGATGACTTTGGGCTTGCAGGCCGGATGTCAGGCCGGGATCGGGAACGAGACCAGGACCGGAATAAACCGAAGACTGTGGGCGTGCTGGAGAAGAAGGCGAACATGACTGTGGTTGGAGGCGAAGTCATGATCGGCAAGGAGGCGCGAGGGAACGTCAAGGTGAGCTCGTCGACGATTGTCTCTGTGACCGCACTGATAGCGCATCAGTTCAACATGCTGGTCACCTACACGTACCGATCTGACGACGCGACGCCGTCTGAGGCGGAGGGAATGACGAAGGCGGCAGCGAACAAACCTCCGGAAACTAAAACGTTTGCGTTCTACACCGTCGTTGATTTAGGTCTTATTGTGCCGCGGGAGGAACCGCGCGAGGAGTTTTGAATAGAACATATTACGAGTTGCAGCAAAAATAGAGAATGGTAATAAACAACCGCAAAAGACCGTAAATTTACTGAGAGAGGGTGGTATTCAAGAATCCAGCGCCGAGAGTGGAGACGAGGGCATTGCGCAGCGAGTCGATGCCCTCGGTGGTGAAGACCGAGGACATGAGCGGAGCGACGATGGAGCTCTCGCAGGCGTCATCGGTGTGGGCCACAGCGACGTCGCGGCGGAAGTGGACGCCGGGCGAGACGGTGACACAGTTGTACTGGGACTGGGCAGCGCGGAGCTGGCAGATGTCGTCCGACTTGCAGCTGCCGGTGCAGGGCGCGAGGGTGCCAGAGGTGTCTCGCGACTTGCGGGCGACGTACTGCTGGAAGACAGCGTCGTCGGACTCGAAGAGGGCGGTCACGTTGTGCCAGAACGCGGGGGTCAGCTCGCCAGAGGTGACGCCCAGCTGCTGTCCGTATGTCTCCTTGACCGAGTACAGCTTGGCCCAGGTCGGCGACGTCTGGAACGTTGGCAACGACATGTCCGCGTAGTAGACCGTCATGTCGAGGATGGCGAAGGTCACGGGGTCGACGTCGTACACTCGGAACGTCGGGTTGCCGGATGTCGGGGTCAGCGCTGGGGCGATGTAGGACATCATCGTGGCGGTGCTGGCCGAGGGCGCCGACCAGTCGCTGTACGCAATCTGGAACTCATCTTTGTGCGTGTGACCATAGAAGACGCCGACGATCGTGGCGGAGAAGCGCTGGATGATGGTGTCAAAGTAGTATGACTGGTCGTGGAACGCATCGCCGGCGCCGAGGGGCATATGACCGAGGATCCAGACACGTTCGCCAGCAGTCTCCGCGGCCTGCAGTTCGCCGGCGAGCCACGTGAGAAGGCCTGCAGGGTCATGCTCCATCGTCTTCTCGTAAAGCCAGTAGTTCGCCTTGTACCAGAAATTCGTGTTCACACTGATGATCCGCAGCCCCGATGAAGTCAGCGTCGAGTAGCTGCCAAAGTTGTTCGAGACCTGTGAAGCGGCAGCACTGCCGATCCACTGCTGGATGTTGGCCGAAAGGTCGTCGTACGAGATCTGCGTTTCGGGCGCGTAGTCCGTGCTCACTGCCGGCGGAGGGAACGAGTTGACCGGCGCCGAGTCGTGGTTACCGATCACCGCATACGTCTCGCCAATGCTCGCCATGCGGGAGTAAGCGTCCTTGAGATTCGTCGTCACCTCGGTCGTCGAGGACAGCCACACGTCACCTTCGACAACATCACCAGTGAAGATGCTGAATGCCAAGTTCGGCACGAGCTGTTTAATCGCGGAGTACATGCTCTCCTCCAGGGAGACCGGGTGTCACAGGCCGAGTTTCCGAATGGTCCAGCGGGAGTGTTCGTCACACCGGGGGCTTCATCCGCTGTGTAGGCGCGGCAGCAGATGTTCTTCGTGCAGTTGAAGCTGGCGCCGACCGTGTAGTCCAAGTCGACGTGGATGTCGCTGATGTGAACGACCTGGATCGGCTTCTGGGTGCTCGGAGTGGGGCGGCGAGCGTTGGCCGGTTTCGGGGACATCGACACGGAGAACGATGTGTCGACCGCAGGCGCCTGGCACAGACCAAACACAGTCATGCAGAACAGGTCCGCGGTCTTGCTTCCGACCGACATCACACGCAGGTCGTGCGCAAGAATGGGTCCCTCGAGCCCGATCGCGCCAGTGCAGACATCGGGATCCTGCACGCCGAGGCTCTTGCAGACGCTCGTGATCACGTTCGTGAAGTTCGGGTTACCGGTGTGAGCCAGAGCCTGGAGGACAAGGAGCAGTGCCTGACACGATGAACAGGTCGCGGCGTTCTCGATAGCGGAAAGGATAGACGACGCGGTATCGCGCTTCGCATAGGCGGCAAGCGATTGCGCCAGAACATCGGAGACCGTCAGCGCATTGGTGACTGCGAAGAAGAAGGGCAGCAGGGCTCCGAGGACGCGAAACAGTCTCATGATGCGAGGACGCGAGGGATTCAGAGAACAGTACCCCCCTTAAATAAGTCTAATCTATATTTGACAAACAACGATGTCGAAGATCGTCGGACAAGCAACCAACGTGGATCTGCGTCATGTGTAGTTTTTGAGATTCTGCATGGTTCTGCCTTCCATGGCAGCCCGAATCAGAAGCTAATAGCCAAGATCGGCCACAGCACGTTCGAAGCATTGCCTCCGAGCGCAACGATGATAAAGAAGCGGCCGCATCACCAATACGCGTAGCGTTTGAGCCTTGCTGGGGTAACCGTTTACGAATATCTAGTCGGCCCAGGCATTTTGGATGGGGCCGAGTGTTTTCGCGTTTCAGAGAAGATGCATAGACCGCCCGGAAGCACGGAACGTTTCCTGATGCGTCATGCGACTAGACAAGCACACTTACCTTGCGATGGAACCTTGTGCACTCTCAGCCATGGCTTCTGCCCTGTGTATATCGAACCATTGAATAAGAACGAGAGTCTGGGAGTGCATGATGAACGTTGCATGAGAAGTGCCTGACAGTGCCTATTTCTGTTTCCGCGACTAGTGCCGGTTTTGATGCCGCTTGATGTCGGATATCGCCGAGCGGAAGGGGACAAATCAATTGCTGTAACTGAGTCCTGGTTCAAGAGACAGAAAATGTTTTGAGCACAGCAACGATCTCCATTTAGCATCTACGAACTAGATACCACCCGAAATCCACAGGAATTCCAAGACTTGAAGTGTAAAAATCGACCTTGGATCAGAACTACATAGCAGCACGTGAGACCTCACAATGTCACACGATTGTCACGCTTCTCCGTCGACAAACGCAATTCCTCAAGACTCTAGCTAACGATGTCGCTCGTCGTCCCCGAGGCCCACCAGCAGTTCCAGGTGCGTGCGACGACGGTTTGCATCTCCGGATTTCTCACCCTCCCATAGCACATTCTGCGTCTGCTCAACACTAACGTTGATGGAAAGCGCAAAATCATGTATGCCTTGACTGAAATCAAGGGTGTCGGTCGCCGCTACTCCAACATTGTGTGCAAAAAGGCCGATGTCGACCTGAACAAGCGGTGCGTCGTCAAGTGCGCCTTTCAGTCCAAGTTCTCATTCGATGCAGTGCCGGTGACTTGAACTCGGACGAGCTTGAGCGGATCGTGACCATTATCCAAAACCCCACTCAGTTCAAGATCCCGACATGGTTCCTGAACAGGCAAAAAGACATTGTGGACGGCAAAAACTTCCAGATCCTTTCTAACGGCGTCGACTCCAAGCTGCGTGATGACCTGGAGCGTCTGAAGAAGATCCGAGCACACCGAGGTCTGCGTCACTTCTGGGGTCTCCGGGTGCGTGGACAGCACACCAAGACGACTGGTCCGTTCACAACCTTATATTGCTAAACTGCGCTGCTCACTTGGATTTGTCAGGTCGTCGTGGAAAGACCGTCGGTGTGTCGAAGAAGCGTGGTTAGATCCTTCGTGTATTGTTTTATCTCATGCATTCAATCCATGCTCTCCATGCCTATGTACATGTCCGAGTTTCTGCACGATTCTGCGAATAACGTCAGAGCTAGAAATAAGGATCCGCTACGAGAGTTCTCCTCGGCTCTCTGGAAGTTTCCCGAAGCCGTCACATGATGTATTTAGTCGCGCATCTCCTCGTCCCGACATGTATCTGAACTCCATGTGCTCAGTTCACTCCCATCCCTGGATGTCCTCCAAGACCAAGCGCAAGTTCGATTCTGCGTTTCTAATCCCCGAGCGTCCTGCAAAACGCCTTCATACGTCCTTCGAACGTGGTTTTGCCAATCTATCGTTAGACATTCAGCAAACCCCGAATCCTCCTTCAACCTCTGCACCGTCCACCTATCCACCGTTATCATCACGTCCTATCGTTGAGGAACCCCGGACGCCGACTCCCCCCGCGCCGGAGGTTGATATGACCGCAACTTCTTGGTACGAAGCCGAACCTGATCGTGAGTACTTGGCTATCTACTCTCATGCATGTACTCCGTTACGACACATATTTATAGGTATAGTTATCACAGACCTGTCCCTTTACACGCAAGAACTCGAGCAATCGGAAGTTCCCGCGGAAAACGCGTCGGATTCGGTGTCGGTGTCCTCCTCCCTCCTGCAACGCATACACTCTCGCGCAATGGATAACCCATTACCGAACCTTTTGCCCCATCAGGAATCCCAGGCTCTTGTCCTTTTTCGCCCATTGCCCTTTCGCAGCGAAGGACCTCAGGTTGAAGAAGTTGAGGACCCTGAGGGAAGCTTTCCGATAGAACCGGACCCAGACCCAGACCCATATGCCATGGAAGTGGAACCCTAAAAAGATACATACTGATTGCGCTCTTCCTCTCTGTAACTGCTGTACACACATATATATACATAACTGCTATTGATCAGATTTCCATGAAAGATAAGCAAGTGTCTAATGAGGGGGTTCACGACCCATCACTCCCGAAGCCCATGCCTGCCGTGCCGTAGAGATCTTGAGCAAACATCTGCCGGTGGCGAGAATGCGCATGAGGATGCGGTACGTGATGCAATTGTGCAGCAGTACCATAGGGAGCACTCATTGCGTGATGGGCGTGCGGAAAGAGGGAGGACGAGTGGGAATGCATTTGCCCGTGTAGGGACGGAGGAGTATGTGAATGCAAGTGTGGAGACATAGCCGGCGAATGAGAGTGCAATGATGACTGCGAATGCAACGGAGGAGTCTGGGAATGCATCGGCGTCGATTGGGTATGCATGATAGGCGTCCGGACGTGATTCGACAGGGAAGTGGTGAGTTGGACCTGAGAATGCGGGTGCATATGAGGATGGTGATGCCCTGGGTGTTGTTGACCCGGTACCGGGACTGCCGAGTGAGAAGTTGGTTGCCTTGTCGTAAGGGTTTGTGGTGGCTGCGAGCCCGCATGGAGCTGGCACTGGGCCTGGCTGGGATCTAGCTGCATCGGCTGCATGTCGTAGGACATTCCCATCATGGCCATGGTCGAGTCTTGCGATTGCATGTACCCCTCCATTGCCATGGAATCGGCCTGTTCATCGTCTTCCATGTCTTCGTCATCCGCATCAGCCATGTTGTTGTTGAGAGATGCGTTGTCGGGTGGCGAAGCGAAGGTAGATGGCCCAGCACCGTCATCGCCGCCTGCGGCCTTTTGTGCTGCAATTTCTTCCGACGTTAGAAATCTCCCGCCGGGCCCTCGGGGCCTTCGCATAGCGTGTTTGTGTCGCGATTCATGTAAGTAAGGCTAGGATTCTCAATTTCAGGAAAAGTCGATTGCGAGATGTAAGCGGTATCAGGCGTACCTTACGCTGCTTCGACAAACGGTGTAATTCCTCCAATCGCGCCCGTGCGACACGGCGCTTGAGAATGCGAAAGTATTGTTTTGCGTTCACGTAGAGGGGCTCGTCGTCAACGGGAGGAATATAGAGGTCGTCGCTCTGAAAGTAGAAGGGCTGATAGCTCGGCGAAAGATCAGACTCGTTGTTCATTGTGATTGGTGGACGGGAGAGTGTTCAAGACCCGCGAGTCACACCGTGACATTACCTTTCTACTGTCGAAATGGAAACGAAACTCAAGTCCCTCAAAGTAGTAGAGCTGAAGGAGGTCTTGTCGAACGCCCAACAGACAGCTCCAACCAAGGCGACGAAGAGCGACTTGATTGCCCGGATAATTGCAAGCAAAGAAGCTACGGATGCATATTACGCTAAATATGCACCCAAAGACGACCTCTTGGCACCTCCAGAAGAGTATGTCATCTTCAGCCGTTTCACTTCCGTTTTCTGTACTTATAAAGATAGATTGGATTGGGATGAACCCAGCAATGGGCCGGACACCACAACAGCAGCCGTACCAGAGGTATGTCGCGTCGCGTCGCGTGTGGTTCATTCTCATCTGCCCTGCCCAGAAACAGGCCGCTGTAGCGAAACCCCCCATCGCGAAACCCGCTAATGTGAAGCCCATTTCTGTACCCGAAACTCCTGCAACACACGTCGCTATTCCTACTCCCGCCAATGCAGAGCCTGCCCCTGCTGTCGAGCCTACCATTTCTTCATCCATCATCGACGCAGAGTTGGAGAAGAGAAAAATCCGCGCTGAGAGATTCAACATCCCTTTAGTAGAGGTGAAGGCACCGGTGATTAAGACGCCCGCGGTCAAGGAGAACAAAGCAGCCCCCGTCAATGCGCGCAGCAAGAAGATGCCTTCAACAGAGGTGAGCCATCAGCTGCATGTCTTCTTTACTAATCACTATCGAACAGGAACAAGAAAAGCTCCAGGCGCGTTCGGCCCGCTTCGGAGTGGGGCAAAAGCGCCCGGCCCCGGTTGCTGAGGAGGTTGATGCGGAAGAGCAGGTGCGACGTCAAAAGAGGGCGGAACGTTTTGGGACGGGAGTAGCGGCCAAGGCGACGTGAGATCACGGTCAGTTCTTGAATCAGTGTGTCCTGTCCATCCCCGCATCCTGGGTATGTTCATCCCCGCGCCCTGGGTATCACTTGCGCTGATCACGAACCCAGGGCAAAGCCCATCACACTCTTGTATATAACAGTCACAAATTCGTATACTTTGTTTCTCGCCATGACTTCGAGACCGAAACGCCAGACTATATATGGGGAAACGTACACTGTACTCGACGAGCCCCTCGTAACAACCGAACTCGTTCGCCTGACCAATCCACGGACACTCCTCGGCTCAGACATCGTCGAACTCCAGCCGTGCACTACGCCCTCCGAGCGCTCGCAGGATCGCTTCGTCGTTCGTGAATGGCCCCTTCCGAATGGCTTGTGGAAGTTCCAGGCCATCTTTGATGGCCATGCTGGTCACGAGACCGTCGATTACGTCGTTGATGCCGTCCCCGACGCGATACACGAAGCGCTTGTGGGTGCACTGGCTGTGGATGAGGCCCCCGACATTTCCGATCTTCTGCGCGTTGCCATTTCTGGCGTAGACGACCAGATCAAACAGGAGTTTTTGGACCTGTTCCCTGGCGGCCCGGATGGCCTATCGTCAATGTCAGACGAGGAGATCGACGTCATCATCAACGAGGATGAGACGAGCGCCCTCAAGGTTATACGGTGTATGCGTGGAACGACAGCTCTGGTCGTGCTAATCAGTCCTTCTCTGGACGTCTACGTGGCAAGCTTGGGAGATTGTCAGGCGGGTGGGTGCATATATTGACTCGCTGATGCCATAGTTCTGACGATAGTCTAGTGCTTGGCTACCAAAGCAAATCGGGAGAATGGACTTCGCGCGTATTGAGCTCCAATCATAACGGAAGCGACGCTGCCGAAGCCAGTCGTATTAGGAGCGAGCATCCCGGAGAAGAATCTTCCTGTGTGTTAAGGGACCGTGTTCTCGGCGCAATCGCAGTAACTCGAGGTTCGGTTTATCTTGTTAGTCAGCGGATATCGTTCACTGATAGTAACCAGCTCTGGGCGACTTTGTGTTCAAGCTGCCGGCCATTTATACCACACGAATCTTTCTGCAGGCTCGGTCTGGGTTCCAGATCCGAACCAAAATCCAGGATTTCATTCAGCGAAATCTCACTCCTCCTTATTTGTCTGCTGTACCAGACGTTCAGCATATCTCCTTGCCAGCTCTGGAAGCTTCCGAAGCCTTTTTGCTGCTGACTTCGGATGGGTTGATTGATCTGTCAGGAGATACTTATGGAAATGACCATCGAGACCCACAGCTCGCGAGCAAGAAGTGGCTGCAATCTTTGACACGCGCAACTCGACCGCAGCAGGACAATGCAGCCTTGTATTTGCTGAGAGATGTCATGGGGTGGGAGCCAGATCCGTTGTCCTCGCTCCTTGCTGTCGAGTCCAAATCAAAGTGGATGGACGATGTTACGGTCATATACACGCCGTTGCTGTCTAGGTGAGTATCTTCAGTAAGTACCATTGTTCCCTCACTGAAGATGCAAGCCCATAACTTATATCTACATACTGTTGGAAAACGTGGCAATATAATGTTACGCCAGAGAATGCGAGATCATACCGTAATGTGACGCGACGCGGCTAGATCGTGACGCACTCTCTCCTTTGACCTCAGTGAACAACCATCCTATACACCGCGACCTTCATTTGGATTTCGAACATGCCCGTTCTGATACCTAGCGATATGTCTGTGGTCTCACTCAGCCTCAGCCAGCTATCCCCCGACGAACCGCTTTTATCACAATCCCTCACGCTCTCTTCAATTTCTACTGCTATGTCTTCAAACATTCCAACTATTCCCGCCGGCTGCATAATACCTTTTTCTACCATCATTGGACATCGAGAGGGTCCTACAATGGGCTGCACGCGAACTTTCAAAGCTACCCCCACTGCCCCGACCTCGCCACGGCTGAGGACTATGCTCAAAGAGAAACTGTTGATTGAGACATGGCTAGTGCGTATTACCCACGTCTGATATGTCTTTGTTCTCTAAAAATGATGAAGAACGGGGTCGACTCTGACTCTTCCGTCCACGCCCCCTGGACGCACGCAACGCAAGCTGATTCGTCTGCATGGAAAGCTGAAGGCTCCGCACATAGCCCTGAATCATTCAAAGAACGTATTGAGCTTTCTCGCAGAGAAAAAAGCAGCAAGACAACTCAAACCTTCCCGTCCCTCAGCAAAAGAAACAGGAATTCGAATCGGGACGCCTTGGTATTTGAACGAGAGATCATCCTGAACACCGGGAAAGGTAAATCCAAACGTGTCTCTTTGCAGGCTCCAGCAACCCGAATGGATCCAGAAGTTGTCGATATGATCTCAGAGCTCAAGGATCTCAATGCGTTTTTCAAAGAGCAAGAAACTATACTCGAAACACCTCCTGCACTTTCTCTACCATCGCTCATCATTTCAAACTCTCACTTCTCTATGCCGGTTTCCCTCGAATCATCTGGAAACCTCAGCTCAGTGGGCACCCCACTCGCTCTTGCTGCTCGGCGAGGCAAGAAGATGCTTCCTCGGCTGACCTTCAAGAAAGCCGCGGGCGCTACCGATTATCCGAGCATGCCCACCGCGTTTCTGGGAACTCCCTCTGCCTACTCTCCCAACTTCCAGTTCTCTGCGAATGCTGCTGCCAAGTCGTCTATGGATGTTCGGGAGATGATCACCAGCCTCAGATCTCAATGCGGTCCGATTGACTCTGATCCTGAGGAGGATGAGTACAGCATCTGCGTGGCATCTGTTGAAAGTGACGAAGAGGCTGCCAATGATGATGATGACGAATGGGCCTTTGCTGATGGACTTGTTGACACGTCGGAACTAACCGAGTCGGTTTTCCTCCCAGCCTGTTCGCCCCCCGAAACGGTTCCCAGTGCCAGTGCCCCGCCGGCGACACCTTTGCCACCTTGCCCGGGGCCACAGCGAGCCAGTGTGCGAAGCATCCTCAAGAGCTCAAAAAGCGTCCGGTTTGCATCGCTGCCCCATGAGCGGAAGGTGTCTGTTGTCAACAAACCCTCAGCGCAAAAGGCGTCGGTTGCGAGGGCGCAATCGACGTTGGTCCGTCCCAAAAGCCTCAACCCGTCGCCAGTCAAGACCTCGTCATTACCATCTCGTCATGCTGGTCAGCGACGAGCAACAATCCCGGTCTCTTTCCGGCCTGATTCCTCGGCGGAAGTGCCGTCCACCGCGAAAACGACGCACTCAGCCGGCAGGCATTCTTTGAGTCGTGTGTTTTCCAGTGCCAATCCGCGCAAGGAGAAAGAGAACAGGCCTTTTGAGACGGTGAATTCGAGGAGACTCTCAACTGCACCCGCAACGCGCTGGACGGTAAACGAAAGTGCGCTGCGCCGTGCCTCCGTTGTTGGACCGCCAGCGCCAGGCCAGAAAAGCCGCATGCCTGTCCCTTTACGCAACATATTCACTAGATTCAAGTAGTTCATATGTAAAGTGCAAGGGATCCACCTTTGTTGATGAACCGAAAACCTAGACCAGGTGAAGAGCAATGGCACGGTCCGTATGCTACGACTTGAAAGGAGCCTAACAGGGACACGTGATCGCGTCTCGTACTTCGGCAAAAACATTGAAACGACTTGAACTTCAATGGATCCTAGCCTTGCATGAAGTATACCGCACCAACTCACCTTGCCACTGAGCGCTCGGCTGGGGATTTCCCATCTTACCATGACATGAGGTGGAGCCATACTGCGGCGCAGCTATCAGCTTGCCATCTTCGTTCACCACATCGTCCGATATGCCTGCCGTTGTTGAAACGGTAGACGAGCTTTCTGCTCTGCTCTCTAGATCGAGGATCCACTTTCTAGACAATCTTCGCTCGTTTCTCGTCGCCCTCGTCGTCCTTCACCATGCTTGTATGCCGTATGGTGGCGTTGGATCTTGGCCGTACCCTTTGCAGTACCCCGTAGGCCACTCTGTCGTCCTTACGGTGTTCCAAGTCGTGAACCAGTCCTTCTTCATGGGTCTGCTGTTCTTCCTGTCAGGTCACTTTTCGTCACACGCTGCGGACCACAAGACATGGAACCAGTTTGTCCTGTACAAACTCAAACGCCTGGGCATCCCAGCTGTGGTCTATACGTTGTCCGTTCAGCCTCTCAGCATTGTCTTGGTGCGATGGTCTCAACACCTGCCCGTTCTCTCGGCGCTTGTAGAGTATTATCGTCACCTGGATGGTGTGAGAGGTATAGTGTGGTGCGTTTCAATGGGTAACCTTTTGTGCGGCTTCGTCGATCTAACATGTCCAGGTACCTTGCCGTCTTGCTCGTCTTCGACCTGGTGTATATCACTGTCAGGAAGTATCTTCCGTCTCTCACCTATCTGGTCCCACGATCACTAGGGGCATTCAGAGCCGCGGCCTTCGGGAGCATCTTGTCCGTGATCGTGGCATCGTTCCTAATCCGCTTGTCCCATCCTGTGGGACGCTCGACCCCGCCTCTCAACGTGCAATTGGCCTACGCCCCCCAATACGTGCTGGCCTACACCGCTGGCACGTGTCTCTCCAAAATCCAGCAGTTCATTCTTCGTCCCCATCCAGGGAGAGATCTCGCGCTGACTTTGCTCGTCGCTGTCTCGTCGGCGGTCGCACTGTACACCATTTCTCCGAGCATCAACCTGATGTTGGGTGGCATGAATCCGTTCGCGCTGCTCTACGCGATCTGGAACGAGCTTTGCTTCTACTTTCTGGGGACATCGCTTTTTGCCGGGTTCCACGACTGGAAACTGACCTCCAAGAAGTGGGGATCCACCGCTCGTTATGCATACGGCGCATATCTCGTGCATGCGCTGGTCGTGGTGGGCTTGCAGATCCTGTTGCACAGCTCACCCGCCCCTCCATTACTGAAGGCGCTGATTGTCGGGTTGTCTGGTGTCTGTTTGAGTTGGGCCGGGGGTCGGGCTTTACTTGGCATTCCGGGTGCTAGCAAGATACTATAATCGGATGTACATATCACAGAGAGCTGTCCTATTAGACTCTAATTGCCTCCGGTCCTTCTCTCGATGAACCCTCGGATACTCGCATGGCCGTCCAGACTAGCAAAGAAACACCTCTTCGTCGCATTCTCCCACAGCACAACATCGATCTGCTTCGCATAATTCAGGACCAATTCATAGTCGGCTGGAGATGTGAACGCAGTGTACAGGTATCCTGGCATGAGATCAGGCCAGGCTGGCGAGCGGAAAAACATCCACTCACCCTCTTGGGACTTGAGTCGGTTCTTTTCCAACTCCCACAGTCTGATCTGATCCTGCACCGTGACAGGAAGAAGCGGATTCTATCGCCATGCGTCAATCATCCACGTTTGCAACCCCGAACGACGACGAACGTTTTTGTGCATTTGAGGATGCGCATGTGCGATGAGATATGTGATTATCTGGGCAGGCTTCTTTCTTGGCTGTGATCAGGATCGGACGGGCAGACACTGACCTGTTCTGCGGTGATCCCATTGTTGAGTGCTTTCTTGACACTCTCGCGAGTTATGGAGCCCACCACAAGATTTGGGAAGCGATACTTTAGTGTCACAAACAAGTTAAGCACGGCGGTCTGAAGTGGATTATCTGGATCGAGTCAGCTCGGGATATCTTCTGGATGTCGGTCTCACCAGTGTAAGCATACACTCGATAGTTGGTCTCCAGGACGATAAATCCCTCTTGAGGACCAGAGCCTGCCGAAGACGGTAATGGAGGTGAGGACGATGTCAGTGTAGTAGCAAGTCTTGTAGGGTAAAATCGTTTCGACGAGGGCTACTTGTGCTGAGATCAACTTGTGAGATAGACTTTGAGGAATGGGACACACCCTTGGCTGCCAGAGAAGCCCATAGTCACGCAAGACGTCCAACACGGCCTGATGTGTGAGGGCCGCTGTTTCTGTTGTACTGAGTCCCTCCGTGGTGTACTCCTGCGATGAGATCAAATCCAGCAGCGCTGCGGATCGAATGCACGTACCTTGCCAAGCTGCATGGTCGATAGCATGAATAAGAAGCTCAAAACCTCCACCAGATCCATCCCCAGCTCTTCAGTCATCCTCAGATACTGTAACAGAAGATCCCAGAGTTGCTCGTGCGGTGAATAGAGCAGGAATTGAAAGCCTGCAGATGTGATTTGCATCGAGCCACTGAAGCGAGAAGTGAGCATGTAGAGCAAGTTACATCTCATTCGAGTGTTGCTTACTTGGGACTTGCCATGAGCCCACTCCTTGTAAGCAAGTACAACACCTCCTTCGACGGCCGAACGGAGCTCGAGCCTGTGTTCGAGGACACCATAAAGTGTAATACCGTCTGTCCAATGCATTGAACACGAAATTTAGCCGAGGAAAGACAGAAACGCGCCTCCCATCGCTCGAGCGCATACGCATCCAGTTCCTCCACCGACATTGTTTCGTACTGGCGATCCGGCTCCGCCAGCACTCCAAAGCTCCCTACGGCTCCGCTGGACGGAAATGCGAGCCCGCTCATTGACAACTCAGGTCGCGACCCACCTCCCTGTCAGCACCTGTCGAAAACTCGTCTTGAATGTGGGGTTCAGCGCAAGCTTGATGGGCGAGGTCGTGATGATGTGCAGCCCAAAGAGAGGTTTCAACGCGATGTCGTATCGTCTGAGGGCGACAAAGCTCAAACAAGAACTCGATTCTCTTTCCTCCCACATACTTTTTCTCGTCGCGGACGACCCAGGCTGCCATGGTCGAAAGTGGTACTGCGGAATCCAGCCACAGCAAGTTCATGACGATTTGCTGCTGCAACGGCGCGAGGAGTCTATCGAATAGCAGAGCGCACGCGTTAATGGTTGGTAGCTAACAGGGATCCGGGAGTGTTACCGGAAGACTGAAAGGCATGATGAGGGTCGCTGGTATAGACGCGTTATTGTGTTTTGCGATTGAGACTGCAGAAATGGGAGAAGCGAATGTGGACTGTCGACCTGCTCAACTGGCGCGTTCAGTACTAGAGAAGGCATAATGAATCGGAACGTGAACAGTCAGGCGACAAGACTGGATCAAGTAACCGGTTTGAAAGTCAATCAGTGGCAGTGTCGGATTCGAAGTAGTCCGACTCTGGAGTCTGGAACATATCTGACTGTCTTCCGCAGAGCCTGCCGTTGGTACGATCAATCCAAATGTCATGGTAGTCAAATTCACGCACCTCTGACGGCCCCACTTACATCTCCAGTCCTTTTGCTCGAGCCTTGGACAGTCACACACTGACTGGGTTGAATAAATGTTTCTTTCAGATGAACACCCCACCTCAGTTACCACCGCCATCACCCGGTTGCACCCCCGCGGGGGTCTACTGGGTACCCTCAGACGTAGCTCTGAGGGTACCCAACAGGTACCCCCCTGCGGGGCCCGCGGGGGGGATTTGGTCCATTTGGGGCAGGGGCATATGCGGGGATCAGCAGGGGGGGTGCAGGGGGGGGGGGGTCTGTACATATCATGTGATTTATCATTGGGAGCGGGCAGGTGGGCGCGAAAAAAAAATGAATCACATGACACATCCAATGGGCGGGATGGCGGCTGATGGCGGGGTAAAAAAATCACGTGATGCACCGCATGAAAATTATCAAAAATGGCTAGCAGGGGTTGGCAGGGGTTGGCGGGGGGCGCTACTGTCCCCCCGCACACCATGGCGGGCAGTGGGCGCATTATCACGTGACTTTTGGGGGGCACCTTTTGTGCACCATTCGGCATGATTTCGAAGGTGTTGCTTGATCCATTGCATGCTGTGGCAGACAATGGGCGCATAATCACGTGATTTTCCGCCCAAAAAATGGAAGCCTTCCCAAATCATCCTGGTATCATTTCTATAGGTAAATACACTACTTAAGCATGAATTTGAGCTTGGAAAGCCCAAAATGCACCCTGCACAATGGGACTGGTGATGCACTTGATCCCATCATTTGGCGGGGTCTGCTGCGGGGGGTGCCACGGGGGGTGCTGCGGGGGGTGCCGCAGGGGGTGCCGTGGGGCCCGCTGTGGGGTCAACCACAGGAGCAGGGTTAGGGGTGCATTGCATTATATTTTGATCTATCTATTCTCGCTGTGGTCATAGCATGCAGCATAATTATCCTTCATTTTGCCAGGAGTTTGGAGGCTGTGTCTGGGGGTGGTCTGCACCTACAGCCTGTTGAGCACTGGGGAGAGCGTCTAGCAGCTCACCTGTGTGAGTTGAGAGCTTAGTGTGGGCACTATGCGGGAGTAGTCAAGAGACTTGTTATTAAAGGGTAATAGAGCCCTCCTTATATACAATACAGGGGGCTATTTGTGTCTATTTTGGACGAGTCGACATGACTCTAGATGACACGTGATGGAGTCATAAGATGTGTATCACGACATTCATCTGGCAGATGATAAGATCATCATTTGATCAACACTCCCCCACGCTGAAAACCACAGGATAGTGTTTGAAAGCGAAATCTTCATCGGCCATTCCTTCAGGACAAGTTGAACTCAAGTCCTAGTTGGGACCTGAACTTCTCGAACTTGACGCGTCCTAGATTCTTGGTGAACATATCTGCAGGATTCTCACTGCCCGGAATAAAGAACAGTTCAACCTCTTCTTCCTCGACTCGCTCACGAATGTAGTGATAGCGGATGTCTATGTGTTTCATCCTGCGGTCTCGGTAGGCATTGCTGCCACTGAAGAGTGCACCCTGATTGTCACCGCAAATGGGTACTGGGATGGTGAGTTTGAACTGAAGTTCCGAAAGGACGCTCTTCAGCCACATCACCTGGTGACTACAATCTGAAATCGCCATGTACTCTGCTTCGGTAGAAGACTGCACGACTGTGCGCTGAAGTCTAGACTGCCAGCAAATAATCCCATCTGCCAATTTCGTGAAGAAACCAGTGGTAGACCTCCTCTTGATCGGATCAGCAGCCCAGTCTGAATCGCTAAATGCAATGAGCCCTCTATCCGTCGCACCATTGAAAATGAGCGAATAATTCCTAGTACCAGCCAAATAGCGGCAGATATACAGTGCTTTATGGAGGTGGTCTTGGGACGGATTGGCAGCAAATTGTGAGAATTTGGTCATAGCAAATGCAATGTCAGGACGTGTGCCTAGCATGATGAAGAGAAGAGATCCAATGACTGATTGGAATTTCTTCCTGAGCTCTGGATCGACTTCATCCTCATTTGGCATTGGAACATATCCAGCCGGTAGAGGGGTCGCTGCGAACTTGGCGTTCTGCATTCCAAAACGCTCTAGCACCTTGTCGAGATAGGGAATCTGATCAATCTTGATCGAAGATCCTACTCTACTGAGGCGTACGCGCAAGAACTCTGGAGTATCTTCAGAATTGCGGCATTCCCATCGCTTGTTGAACTCAGCCTTGAGAAAGGCGAGGAGCTTCTTGTTCTTGGAGAAGAACAGTGCATCATCCACATAGACTATTATAACGGCTATGCTGCCATCAGAGTCCTTGTAGAAGAACACGCCGGCATCCGATGTTAGTCGGATCCAGCCCATGGCTTTCGTGGACTTGGTCAGCGCTTTCCACCATGCTAAAGCAGCTTGTTTGAGTCCATAGATTGCCTTGTGTAAGCGCATGACTTTGCGCTCTTGGCCTCTCGCCACAAAGCCTTCGGGTTGTTCCATGTAGACCTCTTCGTCAAGCTCTCCATAGAGAAAAGCCTTACTGACGTCTAGTCCAAACGTCTCATACCTGACAACAGGAGAGAATATCTCGTCATAGTCAACACCTTCGACTTGACTGAAACCCTTGGCAACTAGGCGGGCACGTTTTCGGCCATCAGATTTTTGGTCAAAGACCCAGCAACATCTGATAACCTTCCGTCCTTTCGGACGGTCCACAAGGGAATAGACCTTACGCTGACAAACTGCCTCTAACTCGTCGCGGCAAGCATCAATCCAACCTTTCTGTTGTTCAGAAGGCAACCGCTTGATATCGCGGAACGTCCAATCGCGAATTTTGGACGTGTCAGGTAGGTTCTCATTTGGAACTGCTTTTGACAGCAGCGCCGTGATGAGCTCTACTCCCCCTTCCCGGCATAGCTTCTCCATGCGTGCATCCTCGTCTAGATCATCAGAAGCACCCGCGTTTGAGGAATCTGGTTGCGAGCTAGGGTCGGGAACCCCTGCATCAGCACCGGTTGATGGTTGAGATTGGGAGCTACCCTTATCTTCACCAACATACCGCTTCCACCCTCTGCTGTTCTGAATGTCACGGACTATATCCGTAGGGGTACGCTTTTCCCCATAGACGTTTCCTGGACGTGTAGGCACATTCCGCTGGCGTGAAGACCTCCGAGGCTCGGGAGCTGGTGAAGCTTCCCAACTTGGTCGTGGAATTCTACTTCTACGAGACCTCTGAGGTTCATCCCGACGCTCTGGCGGTGGGTCCTGATGATTATGACCATCGTCACCATCATCATTTCCTTGTACAGGAGGTGGTGGAGCCGGATCAGATGGCGTGGGAAATGGAAAAGGATCATCCCCATATAGCCAATCTTCTCCGTCTACCTGTGGTGGATCTTGTGGATTCACTGGGTCATCACGTTCTGGAAATTCCTCTCCAACAGGAACGTGGGGTGGTCGATTGCTGTCAGGACAGCGGGGGAACAACTCCTTGTCGAACAATGCCTTGGTGGCAACGAACGTGGAATTGTTTGTGCGCATGAACAAAAATCCTTTCACACCATCAGGAATGCCCAAGTAGGTCATCAGCTCCGATTTGGGCGATAACTTGTTGGCGCGCTTCTCATCAGGGATAAAGACATATGCAGCACAACCAAAGACTCGGAGTTCGGAAACATCCGGTTTTTCCTTGTGAAGAGCTTCAAATGGAGTTTTCCATTTTAGACGCCTGATAGGTGTCATATTGTAGATCCGTGTCGCATGTTTAATAGCGAATTCCCAATAAGAATTAGGAAGACAGGCAGTGAAGCGCATGGCTTCTGCCTTATCCATGATCGTACGATTGAAGCGCTCGGCATGCCCATTCTGCTGGTGAGCATATGGAGCACCCTTCTCCACTAGAATTCCTTGTTCCGCGAGAAATTCTTCCATTCCCATCCCCATGAATTCTCCCCCATTGTCAATATGCCACTTTTTGATGGTGACATTGAACTGGTTCTTGACCATCGCAATGAAATTGCGCATAGCCTGCTTGGCATCGGATTTCTGCGCAAGGCATACTGTCCAGCCATAGGAGAGTGCTTTGTCGAAGAAGCTCATGAAGTAGCGGTACTTGTGATAAGACACCGTGGGAAATTGTTTGAGATCCGAGTGGATCAGATCAAACGGGTTCTCCGCTTGTTTTTCGGAAGGCGGGAAGGCACGTTGGTGCATTTTCCCTTGCGCGCATCCTTTACACGGTCGGGTTTCCTCGGGAAATACTAGGTCTTCTGGAAAGCCCTTGGTATTCTTCTTTGCCTGACGTAAAACGTCTTTCGACGGATGTGCAAATCGCCGGTGCATGATCTCATAATCCACCTTGTATACAGTGGACATGGATCGCACTGTCTCAGCCATACTAGGCTTTGACATCAGGAAGTACAAGGCAATGTCCTTCCCTAGAGTTCTAAACTCCATGATCGAGAGTGGGGACTTCCCTCGATGTAAGCTGATCCGCGATTCGTCTCCACGAACGCGAGATCCTCCTTTGAGTAAGGAGCCCAAAGACATGAGATGACCATGTAATCCTGGCACTAGGTACACTGGATATATCTGAGAAGTCACCATAGTCTTTTCTCCATGCCTTGTGACGTAATGATCGATGAAGGCTGTTCCTCGACCAATAAGGGCAACACGTGTGTTCTTATCAGCGGTCTGAGCAACAATAGGATCTGAGAGCTTCTCATATCCGACCAGATCACTAATCTCCGATGTCACATGGAGAGATGCACCTGAATCAAGAAGCCACAGAGGCCCTAATTCATGATGATGATGATGTTCCCCTTACACTTAGAGCAGGCAGCAAAATCGGAGTGCACACAGAATAGATTGGTACAAAAATCATGCGAACGTATCATCAACGAATTTAGTACAGAACCCGGGGCGGCGGTGATTACGCGCTCTGGCTGTGAGCAACAATCAGAATTGTGCATGTGCCCAAGAAGGCAGGGTACTTGCCTTTCGGCGGAAGGAGCGTCCATCTCCTCCAGAAGGGTGTTGAAGTCGACGACTTCATCCCAATTGACCGGTTCAGCCTGGGCGAACTCGCTATCTCCAAACAGAAGATCAAGATCGTTCTGTTGGCTGGTGGCCATCTCGACGTCGGGGATCTCCTCGATACGACTGCGTTTGGCAGGAGGACCACCATCCAGCATGTGATTCGAGCCGGAAGCAACCGGAGATGGAGAACGCATGATTGCGTCCTCGCGGAGCA